TCTCAATTGAGTGGATCGATGCTCATGATGTCAATCACTGGATTGTCTTTTCCAGACTGGATTATTTACAGACCGCCGTCATTTAGCTGGAATATTGCTTAGGGCGGCATTAAACCACAAACAAACAAACAAAAAAATACTGCAGTAATCTAGAGTTGCCGAACATTATAGACCTGCATGGGCTAAATTGGATATATTTGTGTCAGGATCTGTATGTTGCACCAACCACACGTTCACGCTTTGACTGGTGCAGACTTCCTTGTGCCATTGCATAAGCCACAAGTTTAAGAGTCTGGTTTAGTAATCTGAATAACATGGTAGACACTAGGCAGGAGGAAGATAAACAGCATCCTCATCGCAGCCCACTTGTTGAATAACAGTATGATGGAAATAGATACGGCTGCCTCAAGTTCCACAGCTGCCTGGGTTATGTTAATGGCCAGCTAGGCAACAAACATGTAATGTGTAATAGTGCATTTGACAGAAGTTGTATTTGGGTGGGATCTTTGAGGTTGTCTGCTAGGTATTTGAATCTTGGGACCTGTATATTTTTAACGTTAAAGATAAGATGGAGTATATTATCCTGAGGGAATTTTTTCTTGCAACCTAAGAATCTTAGCAGCAAAAATATAGAAAAATTTGTTTGTTTGTTGTTTAATGCAGCACTCAGCAATATTCCTGCTTTATGATGGTGGTCTGTAAATAATCAAGAATGGGCAACCCAGTCATTGGAAACATAGTATCAATCTATGATTTTGGAATACAATGACATGCATCAACCAAGTCAGCGAGTTTGACTAACCAGCCTGTTAGTCGACTCTTACGACAAGCATAGTCGCCTCTAAAAGGGCAAGTTTAGTCAACTTAGCAACTTTGCAGAATTTAATGCTTTAGCAGATACCTGATCACAAAAGGGTGACCAAAATTAAATTACAAAAAGGCAAATACCATAAAACGGATAAAAAAAAGTCAGATAAAATCTTCCCGCAATGGAAAATTTTGCCACTGAATGGCATCCCCTGAGCGGCGGTTAAAACTGGCTACCAGTGTTTGACCTGCTGCACAATTACAACGATTCTGCCTGGTTATTTATTAGTGGTCTTCCTACTTGTCAGATTGTGATGGTGGTGAGACTATAGGGGATTTAAGGGTGCATCTCACATAAGACAAGATCTTGGTGAATAGCGCTCAAAATATAACACCACAACTATTCACATACACTGTACTGAGTGAAAACTTTTAAAATGTACATCATTGTGTAAACATAATCATTTTGTACGATTGGGCTATAATAGGAATTAAAGACAAGAAAAAGTATTCTACCATGGCAAATGTGCAAGCTGATTTACAGTGTTCTCCCAGTTCTGAGAGGGATCATACAAGTTCATGAGTAAGACCAGACATCAAACTTCCACTCTTTGGAAATATCCCCAAAGAGGATGCCCAGCCATCATTGACACCAAAGATGACTTTGTCATGAAGCACAATTATGTATCTGAGTAGTGGGATGACGCCACAGATCACCTCGAGGATGGCTTCCAAATATGTACAAATTCATTGAGATACTGCAGGTCAAGCTGGGTGATACTGCGATCACAATCCAGGTAGTTTGAGGCCACCAAGAAGAAGAAACATCCAAACTTAGCCCATGGCCATGAGAGGGAGAAGAGACAACTTTTTGCCAACCAAAAAGAAGTGAACGATTATCATAATCTGTTTTAGGCCTAGTTGGACTGTGAATTATGTCAATCGAAACATTAAATGTGAAACTGAACATTTAAGACAATATTTTTATACAGCGCTCATTCTTTTGATCGATTATGTTTATTTTGGTTTTAAAGTAAACAAATGCTGGATGATTAGGATGAAATGAAGGAAACACAATGAGCATTATCCCTTTGGCCAGCTGCTGGACAAGTAGGAAGTCACCGTATATTGTACCCAAACGGGATGTTTGTCATAGAAAGCTCCTTACAGACATTAATTGTTATTTTTATTATTCACAATGTCAAGCTATCATTTTTGTAGGAATGACAGATATAGCAACACTTTTAGATTGACCTCTTCCTGAATTATCCATATAGCTGCCAACCATCACAAGTCAGACAACATATCAGCCAATGAAAACGTTTGTCACACATCATTGCATCAGTAGCTTTAGGCCACTCCCCAAAATAATTTGTTTTAGTGTTATTTAGTAAATCTGGGATTCTATCCCACAGTCTTAGTTTTCTGGCACACTTAAGGGACACAGCCCTGCACAGTAAAGTGCAGTTCCTTAGACATCATAAGATGGTCTATATACTTTATGATTTTAAATAAAATATGTGATATTAACATGATAAGAGAACGATTTTCAATGTATTTTGTGTCATGTTGTATGGCTTTATGTTTTGAAGTTAGTAACCATTGGTAACTTTGATAAGAGGGATAATTAAATTGTGACTTTTTGTAATGACTTATTTTCAATATGGTTGTCATTCATGAAACATGCCATTCCCTGCCTGACATTCCCAATAAGTTTAGATCAAGGCTAGCAGTTGCAAGGTCTTCGGTAAACAAACATGGCTGCAAAGAAATTGTCATATGATAAATGTGATGTCCGAGGTTACAGTGATTGAAAATATTCTGTATCATAAAGATCAAATATCAAAAATTATAATTGTACTATGTGAGCCTGTGGCAAATAATTTCTTTATCGTTTGATGTTAGTTTTTTAATTATTAAAGTTTCAGACCAGTTGCGTCAGGAGAGATTACTACACATTCTAATCAGCCAATCAATGTATGTCAAGGCTTCTAAATTGAGTGAGCAAAGCATTCAAACAAGCATATCTGATTTGAGTGATGTCTTTGTCTCGAAAACAAACTAAAGCAACAAGTTCCATAATAAATATGGATCAGACGCTCGGAATGACCAAACGAAAGGCTGATGATTTTGGTCAGCCTATATCAACTTCAGCTAAGCATCTTTGAGAGGCATTTAGAAGAGTGCTGAGTGCTGCATTAAACAAACAAACATTGTACCCTATTGGTGTGGATCAGTGCTCAAAATATCAATCACTTGATTGTCTTGTTGAGATTCAGTTAGTAATACGTGACCGTCATAAAGCTGGAATACGGCTGAGTGCAGAGTTAAGCAACAAACAATGTGTTTAAGACAAACAGACCATCGAGTACACTGATATGGGTAATATGCTGCTGTTTCAGTGGTAGAAACTAACATTTTAGTCCACTAGTCCTTATAATAACATTTAGCAAAACCCATAAAAATGGCAAATTTCTACTAGTCCTTATGATACCTTAACTATTGGGCATTTTAGCAAGGACTACAGGACTAGTGCCAAATTCTAATGCTGTGTTTTGTGGAACACTCTTGTGTATAGTTTTTAATTGTGGATTCATTGATATGTTGACAACACCAGACTGTTTGAATGCTAGGGTGACTGAGCTCCAGGACAACGTCAGTGAACCAGCTGCCGTAAATCTTCTGGGAGTATTTTCTTACATTATAAATCATCCAATATGTGCATGTAAGTTCACCGTTGGCCATTTGGTGGCACCAGTGACAAATTGACAGTCGTCTTAGAAAGATAAAGCTGGGGACATTAAATATATTAGCAATATTGATATGACCATGATAACGTGCTTGAACTACTGAAGTCGCATGTGTATGAGACTTGGCTTTGATAAGATGTTTATGTATTACTAGACTTGCACCGTTGTTAATATTTATGATATAAATTAGTATGATTTGTATTTCAATGAAAATAGTTTGTCCAAACTAAAATGGGTTGATCCATTTCTGACAAGTTGGTTCAAGTCAGTGGTGTTAATCATTGCAGCTAGGAACTACTGATAAACATGATAAATGGTTTTTAATATTGGGCAGTACTTTAGCCCAGCTGAGTTTATTTCAGTTCACTTTAGCTCACCTGGAAGCATTATAGCTCACCTTGCCATCAGCCTTGCATTCAATACACTTGTGGTGTTTCTGAAAAGCTTTTGGTTCGCTAAATGAACATCTTGTTTTGCCGTAACGTTCTTGAAAAAGTACAACTACTTACACTCTGCCACATACAGTACTAGTATAATAAGGGTAGAACTATGAATTTGCACACACATCAAAATATATCCTAATATGATGAACACTCGTGTCTTGTTAAGCTATCAAACAAAATGTGGCATTCGCTACATGAGAACAGCGTTGCTTCTGTCTCGGACGCCATTTTTTTGCCCTCTGTGAGTCATCTCGTTGGAAGACACGAGTCAGCTCGAGATGTTACAAGAAAACAGTCTGTTGAACAGACAAAATGCTCGGAGTGTTATAAAATGTTTTGCCTATTGAACGCTTGGCTGTTTTCCCCAATTCGTCCATCCACTAAGACTGAAAGGACTATCTAATTCCTGTAGTTGACTAGTCGGAACAGCAGTAGTCAACTGGCTGCTTGTTTCTGCTGCCTTGGACTTATTAAGTAATAAGTAATATTGAGTCTTCTTGTTGTGTACCCGTATTCCCATCGTATTACAATTTTGTTTTTAACTGTGTCAATGCTAGTGCAATCGTAAAAATGCCTTCAATAGCAATCTGCAACTTAAAATTTTGTTCAATCAAGCAGTGTGCGATATAAGTCCGAAGTCCGAGGTGAGCTAATAATAGTCCACGCAAAATTATATTCTACTGAAAATGATGCTAACAGCAAAGTTCGGGCTAGTAGTCTCAAAAGTTTTTTGGCACAGACTGGTCTACTCTCGTAAGCTAAGCTAATAGTGGTCCTATACTAACACTAAGATCCGCTGAAATTGCAGAAGCAGTCAGACTAGAAGACTCAAACGTTTTTGTCACAGACAATGAAAGTCATCCCTCGTGATTTATCTAGAATGTTGCTGACTGAGTGCTTACTATTTGGTGCATACTTGAACACACAAGTTTTTTTATTACGTCTCTGTACAGGAAGCTGCATACGGACCTCCTCTCACGTGGATTCATTTGTGTTTCAGCCGGCGGCCCCAACAAGACAATCCAGCTGGAGTTCAAGAGCATGTCAACAGAGTGCTCGTTTGACTTCCTGTTTGTGTATGATGGAGACTCACACACAAGCCCCATGTTGGCCAGTCTGTCGGGGGACAGCCACCCATCGCCTGTTGTGGCCACTTCGGGATATGTAAGTAGCAGGACTGACAATAGGTTTTCAAAAACGCCTTTTTTTTTCCAAAATTTTATTTCGGTCAATACTATTTACGTTAGAATTATTTAAGGATTGCCCCATGCTAGCTGTAAGAGGCGATTAATGGGATCGGATGGTCAGACTTCCTGACTTGGTTGATGCATGTCATCATATCCCAGTTGAGTAGATCAATGCTCATGATGTCAATCACTTGATTATCTGGACTTAGTCATTTCATTGGTCGGTCCAAGTTTGTGAAAGGTCGTTCTGACGTGACCTGTGTGTATGGGATGTCCTCGGCGGTTGCGAGATCTTTTAATGAGATTGAGCCAATATAAGCATGTGATTAATCCTGTTTTGTTTATTTAAAGCATTTAATAAGTGTTTATTGTTAAGCAAGTTTATCTCTGCAGCCAGTGAAATATGCAGCTACCATCTGACTCGTCTCGCATCAAAACACAGGGCTGTGTACTCGCGGGCAGATGAACACGGAGTACGCTGATCACTGTGTCAAATTAACGAGACTGATTATTGAGTGATTTCAGTAATTTGTTGCAAATTCGCTGTGTCGGAGTGGGAGTGGGAGTGGGAGTGTGAGACTGTCAGATTAACGGGTCTAAATATCACTGATTTAATCGGTTCACATCATTAGTGTTGGCTGAAGCCGATTGTCGGATTAACGAGACTTGACTGTAGATGTGGCTAGTCAAAATTTCACCCCTACTCTGTGTATGTTTAATTTTGTTAATTGGACACTACTCGTGAATTGAGTAATTTCCATGAGAAAATATTAAGGGGGATGAGGTCGTGTGAATGGTTAACTCAACGATCATCTTGATAGAATGATACAACTGGTGGCCATTTCGTAATGTTGTGTAAATCAACAACAATTTTTATTTACTGATAAATCTCAATGAAATGAGGCAAATGGAAGCCAACAGTTAATCTCAGAGTGCAAGAAAAGACGTTTTAGAGGTAAAGAGTTTTAAAATTTTCGGAGCCCCCATCGCGGTCTCCAACATTTAGTTTTGAGCCAGTTAGTTTTGAGAAGGGCCAGCATTGTTTTAAAGGAGCAGGCTTGTTACATAAGAATTTGTTGTTAAATCTACCTTTGCTGATGATATTGTCAATAGTATGTGAAACAATCAATAGTTAAATAGTCACAGTTAGTTAAAAATAAATTTTAAACCTGCCATGTGTTGATTAGCAAGGATTACAGCAACTCAGAGTTACTTCCCTTTAGTTTGAGTAGCAACAAGAAGGAAAACTGCTGTCTTTGACATTGTCATAGACACTTTATTCATTTCTATTACATTGATTAATGTAATTATTAAGTTTAAAGTTTAAAGCTAAAAGTTGGTTTACCGTTTAATACTATCACAATACTATTGCAAGAGAGTAGGACACTCTAGTAATACTATGGCAATGCCCCAATAGCCATTATCCTTCCCCCAAGCCATGTGTAGTCATTTGGCTGGAATATTGCTGAGTGCTGCATAAACAATGTTAAACAAACAAAATTTAAGCATTGAGTTTAGTACAGTAATGTATGTCTAAGTATTAAAGCTTTCCATTCTCAATAAATATTGATCCTTAATTTTTATCACATAATCAGTGTAATCACATAATCAGTGTAATGACTCTGTAGTCCTTTGGTAGATCGTCTGCCCGGAGAGCAGAAGATCCAGGGTTCAGTCCCCGGCCATGTCATATTAAAAGATGGTACTTGCTGTCTGGTGCACAGGATTAAGGGGCTAAACCAAGGACTAGTCGGTTCGGAATTAGAATACTGTGTCTGAGTGGGGTATTGAACTGCGGCATGGTATCTTAGTGGACTAGTACAAGCAGCCACACACAAACACACACATACATGCACATCGCTATATAAGTGCGAAAATCTTGGACGTTAAACCCCATTTCACCTCACCCACTTGTTTGATAAGAACCTTCACCAAAATGTTGCTCCTAATTGTATAAAGAAGTTGTTCACTTTAAAAACCAAGGTTTTTTTTGTTTTAACCGTTTCTTTACTTGAATGAAATTCCGAAAAACTAGTTAATCCCATTCCACATGATTCCAATTATGTTATTATTTTTGTGAAATTGTACGTTTCAGATGTTGCTGTACCTGTTCACGGACAGAAACTATATGCGCGATGGCTTCGAGACCAACTACTTCGTCTACGACTGTCCCTGGAACTGCAGTGGACATGGACAGTGCGTCAACCACACATGCACCTGCGACAAAGACTACACCGGTAGTGGTTGCGAGCACCTGCTCTGTCCAGAGTCGTGCAACAGCAACGGTGTATGTGATAAGTATGGGGAGAAGAAGTGCCTGTGCAGCGAGGGATATACTGGGCAGAGCTGCAGCCTCTCCACTCACGACAACAGCGGGACAGGAAAGTGGTACACGCTGGCCAAATCCGGCTACCCTGCTCGCACATCTCACTCTGGCTTCTTTCACGAACAGACGGAGTGTTTGTGGATGTTTGGCGGATATGATCTCAACAGCGTCCTAGACGATGTGGTCCGCTACTGTATGAAGGACAACGTGTGGGAGAGTCTTACAAAGTCTGGATCCTGGCCGGAGGGGCGACGTGGCCATGCAATGGCCGGTTTTAAAGAAGGGTTCTATGTATTTGGTGGCATCCTTGCCAATGACTCCCATAGTAATGAATTGTGGTTCTTTAACCTGACCACTTTTGAGTGGACGGAGAAAGCTTTAAACAGCACAGTCAAGCCGTTGGCTGTCACTGGCCACACACTGACCACGGTGGAAAAGTGGATTTATTTATTTGGTGGGAAGACTGAGGATAGGGTATTTATCGATCATATATACAGAATAGCCCTCTTGGAAGGGGAACAATGGGAGAAGGTGCTGGTAAGGGGAGGTAACTACCCTCCGAAATGTCTCGTAGGGCATACCATGGTGTATTACAAAGAAGCCAAGTCTCTGGTGGTGTTTGGTGGATACAAGCAGAAAAATTCCATCATTAGTCACAGAATTAATCAGCTTCACATGTTTCATATTGAGGACAATTACTGGTCACAGATCCATAATCAGGAGGTGAACCTGTCCGGTATTCCTGGGGACCGGGCTTTCCATTCCGCTGTGATCCTGGGCAATTACCTCGTCGTATACGGCGGCAACACTCACCTTCACAACAGCCTGGAGATATGCTTTAACTCAGGGTTTCATTTCTATCATCTTGGCTGCCACATGTGGGTGAACCATACTCATTTCACCGGTGAGTTCCCAAGTGTGCATCCATAAATACTTTTGTTCTTATTTCATACTAATATTTCGGACCACCTCTGTGGTCTAGTGGTAGAGTTCGCTGTGCAGAGTTGCATTCCTTGGGCATGACAGAAATCTATGATTGTGGGTTCGAAACCCGGTTCGCCCCGATTGTGTTCCTAGGTTTGTCAGCATCATATCCGTGCTCGTTGGTTTCACCAAAGTGTTAAACGTCTGAGACCTGCATCACGTCAGGCTTTCCTCACACGTTATGCTGATATAACATGTATAACTGTAATCCTGATTGGTCATACCAAAAGACGATAATAGATATATTTGTTGTTACCCTGTCTGGTGCTCGGCATTAAGGGGTTAAAACAAGGACTGTTTGGCTCAGAGTCAGTATACTGTGTCTGACTGGGGTATTCATGTTAAACTGTGGCATGGTATCTCTGTGTGCTAGCACTATAAAATTGGCATTAGTCCGGACTAGTACAAACAGCCGCACACACACACACACACGTACATGCATGTGGATATATAAGTGCAATAATCTTGGATGCGACATGGATGTTAAACCCCATGTCTCCTCATCCACTAATATTTCGGCTAGAATACATAATACCAGATGCCTTCTGCAATACTGGTAAGGAATGTGCACAAGCTGGTTCTTTCGTAACGGTTTGTAAATATTTTAAGCAGCCTTGCTAAAGTAACAGGGGTTTCCCCTACACAATGGCTTAAAACAAATACCGTCCCAAGTAAATGTCAGGTTTTTTTACAGTTAGTCAAAAACATGTGTTTGTTGAAATGTGGCACTGATGGATGTCACTGACGAGGTTGTTGCACACCATTATGCACAACTTCTATTTTTGAGTAATATTTCTATGTTGTTTGCACACTTATCCAAAATCAGCCATCTGTTACATCTGTGTTTCGGACAATTCTTTAGATGTGTCCTCTACAATGCCAGTACATATATTATTACATAGTTAATTAATAATACTTAACACATGCTTAAAGAGACGTTCCAGTGAATGATGCAGAAACCCTTGCTCAATTGATAGGCAGTCACACATACAAGTGACCCTACCTCAGACTTTGTCAGCAGCGTAACCATGTTAACCATGCTTATTGGTTCACCAAAGTGGTAAACATGGTAAAAGTCAAGGAGTTGCATCACTTGGAGCTTTCCTCCCACATTGAGCTGATATGCCATGAGATAACTGAAGTACTGTTCAACATGGTGACACTCACTCACTCACTCACTCACTCACTCACTCACTCACTCACTCACTCACTCACTCACTCACTCTTCTCAACAAAAGGACTGTCTCACTCACTCACTCATATTTTCTGTTCAACAAGTCACTCACTCAATCTTCTTAACAAAAGGACTGTCTGGCCTCCAGTGGAGCAGTAAATTCTGTCAGCTGTCTTTAAATCTGTTCTAAGAAATACCAATCTGAACTCACTCACTCACTCACTCACTCACTCACTCACTCACTCACTCACTCACTCACTCACTCACTCACTCACTCACTCACTCACTCACTCACTCACTCACTCACTCACTCATTGTTTCCCGGACAGGTCTTTCAACTGCGTCATCATCATTACCAAAGACGGGACGGTTTGGCCACGTAGCAGTAGCAGCGTATGGAGATGTCATGTTGCTAGCAGGGGGCTACTCTGGAAAGGTCCATGGGGATCTCCTTGCTTACAAAGTGCCAATCGCAGTTGCTCATCATCAGGTATTGGGCTTAGGATGTATATGATGGAAACCCTGGGTTCTTGTTGATTTCAGGGTTTACTGGAAAAAATATTGCATCCTACACGGAAACAGCTTAAAAGGATGCAAATAATTAGCATTGCGAGTTCTTAGGGATACAAAAAATTGTCTGTTTCAATCATTCAAGCTTTTCAAATTGTAGATTGCATGTTGCATAAACTGACATTTCTAGTCTGGTAAGAAATGCATTCAAAGTTTATGGAATTTTAAAACACGTGATGTTTGTGAACCAGATCATGGGATTGGGATTTCTGTAATATTCCAAACTCTGTGCCTTTGGCAAGCAAATTAGGGGAAAAAATCATAATTTTGTTCAGTTTGATCTGTTCGAAAAATGGGGGGAATATTGTGATCACCATGTCCATCTGTCCATCAGCCGTCCGTTTTCCATTTCCAAAGCAGAATGCCAAAATCGTTGAATATTTCTTGTTGGAACTTGCTGTATAGAGCAGTCTAATGGGGAACTGGTGCCTTTTGATGATTTGGGAGATTTTGTTGTTTTTTATTTTCTTCAATGATGACAAAAGAAACTTATACTGAAAATGAGGGTAGTGTTTGTTTCAACTTTAAAATCATGGAATATTTGTACATGAAACTTGCTATACAGATCAGTCTTGTGGTGAACTGGTACCTTTGGATAATTTGGGATTTTGAAACTGAACAGCATTATTTTTTTCTTTACCATGTTTACTGAACTGAATTGCCATGAACCCAAAGTGGGGTGTAAGTAGCCCAACTCCATGTCCTAGTTGCACCAGCCCTGATGATTCTTGTTTATCTTTACTGAAGGTATTTTAACATTGTATTTCAATATTGCATTCAACATGTTTCATGCAATAATGTAAAGTAAGCATTAATCTGATCATGCCAATGAAAGTCTCTTCTACTATTGGTCTTGTAAGGGTTCCAGGTTAGAATTTGTTCCTAACAACCTGTCGTACAAACACAACTACATGGATTGGGTGTCAAACTCACTGACTAAGTGGTGTGTTAGTGTATCCGATGGGTTGGGATGTTGCTGATAATATCAATATATCAATCACAGATTTCTTTGGGCCAGACTTGCTCATTTACAGGTGCCTGTCATATATACTGAAACACTTTGACAACACATTTTCAAAATCTCCACAAAATTCTAATTAAATTGCTCTGGGTATTTAGGCAGGAGATAATCAAACACAATAATGACTGGTTGGAATCTGAAGTGACGTGTTTGGAGATGGACTTGAGCACCAAGATGCATCTTCAAAGTTGATTATGAGTTTTTAGTATGGCTAGAATATTGCTGAGTGCCAAGTTAAACAACAAACAAGCAACTCAAAGGTCTTATTTGAAATTTATGTTAATATAAGGAGAAGCCTGTCTGTTTCAGTCTAATTACACGGATGCCAACTACAGTCATTTTTTGTGGAATCATTGCTTTATTTTAAAGAAATTCTACCAATATGATGAGGTGAAATATATGACGAATTTTGTTAAAAAATCAGTAATTTATATATCAAATTAATATATATGGTTTTCTTTCTCCAGACGTTCACAGGGGTGAGAAACACAACATTTGACCATTGTGAGGACTACAAGACCTCGGACCTGTGTGTCGGGGACCCAGAGTGTGTGTACTGTAGAAGTGAGATCATTGGACTACCGTTTAAGACTCACTGCTATCATCGCACACGGAAAGAGGTATGTTAGAACAGTTGTGCTCAGGCTCAGGCCATATTTCAAGCTATCCATAATTCATTTTTACCTGTAGGTTCAAATTCTATTATGTATTAAGTTCAGTTCATTATCACCTACTTGCTCCAAAAAAGTGTCTCAGAGTGTCAAAAGTCATGAATTACAGTGCCTATAAATGACTAAAAATTGTCAGTAGACTGTGTACCTGTGAAGATATCCGGGGTAGAATAGGTCTTCAGCAGCCCATGCGACTGTGCTTGTCGTAAGAGGCGACTAACGGGATCGGATGGTCAGGCTGGCTGACTTGGTTGATGCATGACATTTATCCCCATTACATGGATCGATGCTCATGATGTCAATCACTTGTTTGTCTGGCCTGGACTCGATTATTTACAGAACGCCATAGTATAGCTGGAATATTGCTGAGTGCGGTGGTATACAACAAACAGACAAACAGCTGACTGTGGCACCAAGTCTCTGCAAACATGTAGAGCTGTAAGTCAGCTATTGATGTAGGCAGGCATTGTAGAAAACAGCCTTAGTAAGTTGTACTGCTACAGACTGCCCCATGGTGAAGGTAGTCACTTACTCTTTTATAAGGTTTGCCTTTATATACACTGTTAAGGAATTGGCATTGGAATTCAGCAAATCAGTTGGGTGCAGTTTTTATTGAAAGCACATGTTGGCATGCATTAGAGAGTTAGATCATGTCTGCCTCACAGCTGCCTGATTACATATGGAAAGTGTGTGCTACAGAAAATTATTGATAACTTTTTGTACAGAGGTTGATAAACATGTGTTTTCAGGTTTGCAGGTGTTATTTGGCAGGGATTTATCTCAGATTCCAAAGTAAAAAAAAAAGATTTTTTTTTTGACATGTTTGATATTGTTCAAAATTGAATTTTTTTAATGTTCTTATTTTCATCAATTTTGATGAATTGGGAAGTTTTTTAATTCAAATTGGGAATTTTTACTGTCTTTTGCTCAGACTTTGGGCTGAATATGGGGCTCTGAGCAGGTCGAAAAGTTGAAAAGTTGAAAAGTAAAATGAAATCTGTACTCATATAATGAAGTTAAATTGTGTGAATTGGGATGGTACTGATAAATGATACATATGTATACATGTATGTCTCTACCTCATGTTAAGTCACATGTTCCAAATCACAGTGACAGCAAAGTGACTCGTTGTGTTACCCTCATGTCATAGATGCAACCTATGCTGGATCGGGTGGTCAGGCTCAGGGACTTGGTTGATAGCGTGTCCTCCTAACCCGACGGCTTGGATTGTTGCTCACAATATCAATCACAGGATTCTCTGGTCCAAACTTGAATGTTTATAGGCCATTGTCATATAGGTGGAATATTTCTGAGTGTTGGGTTAGATAAAAAACAAAACAAATAAAAACTTGTATAATAATTATTGAAGAAAAAGGTCCCGTTCTATAAGTGATTGTAGCACTACGATAGTTGTAAGTCTGTATTAAAATATGGGAGTTACGATCACCTTAGCTCTACAATCGCTTTGTGGGACAGGGCCCACCAACACTAAGGCTGTCATGTTGTGTTATGTTACCATGGTAACCATAAGGATGTGACATTGTGTGTTACATTACCTTGGTATCAGTTAGGATGTGATGTATTGTGTTATGTTACCATGGAAACAGCAAGGATGCGATATATTGTGTTATGTTACCATGGTTACAGATATGCTTGGAGAGAAGTCACAGTGAACTCCTATCCAGTTGTCCTGGTATCTGTCAAGCGTTACATTCGTGTGGCTCGTGTGCAAGTCAAGGTCGCGGGGTGGATGTCACCAACTCCCCCAGGCTCCATGTGTACAATGAGAAGTGCATGTGGTGTGTCAAAGAGGCCCAGTGTCAGAAACAGACAGGTAACATGGCGTCCTCAGTTCACCTTCTAGCATGGAGCTGGCAATTTATTAACATTTCAGATATTGAAATGAAATATTGCCAGCAGTTTACAATACTCTGCAACAGAAACACATCCACTAGGAAGGCTTCAAATATCAACTTTGCAACAGAAACACATCCACTAGGAAGGCTTCAAATATCAACAGACCTTGAACCGTATTTAAAATAAGGCAAGAAAGCTAAAGGGTCACTGTCAAACCCTACTGTTAAAAGAATGCTTTAGGGGATCCCCATATTCAAATACAACGCAGGATGTCTTTTATGAAACTTTTCTGTTTTATGCCCAATTTATTAATAATTAGAAACAGTTGCAAATCCTTGTCTTTTATCAAACATTTTGTGTTTATAATTTAACTTATCATTTGTTTATTGTTTCCAGATTTTCGTTAATATGAAGTAATATACATTGTAAATGATCAGTTGATTGATTCCTTGATTAGGAACTGAAACCTGTCAGTCTTCATGAAATTGATTCATTGGACCAGCACTTTCTGCTATGGCCCAGGTCACATAGTGACTGTAGTGCTAATGTATAGGAGTTACAAATCCCAGAATGGCTTGTTTCAGATCCCAGAGGAACATGCGAGTCGGCCAATAACACCGAGTCTGGGCTTGAGGGCTGGTGGGAGGGGCTGAGCCGGAACCTGACCACCATAGAGCAGTGTGTCCTGGAGGACTTCCCTGCTGGGCTGCACTGGATCCGCTACAGGAGTCCCAAGAACGCCACCTTTCCTGATGAAGTAAGCAACACTTCATTGTTTGGCTGTTTAGATCACCGGGTACACATGAACAAAATGTGTATTACATGGATTTATCCAGGATTGTAGACTAGGCGCCCTTGGCAGCCAATTTGGGAATGTTTTTTTTTTTCGTTTTGCTCAAATTGATCAGTGGAATACAAGTCACTTCTAAAAGGCCATAACATTTGTTTTTACTGTATGAATTCAGTTTTGGAATTTTTACTGACACCTGCTGAAGACTTGAGTAGTATGGTCAAAGAGCCTAACAAAATTACCCTGGCCAATGTATCTGTGCATTTCAATATTGCATTCTCAGTAGAATCTGCTTAAAGATGCCTATTTCAAATACATAATCTAAAGTAAGATGTACCTCAGGTATGTCAGTATATATATCAGATTTAGTTAGCGTGTTTAGTAAATGAAGTAATTTGATGTCTGAGGTTTGACATTGCCTGTTTGTCAGTGGATATCATCCCTTTCAGACCTCTCGGCTACTATATCCTGGCCTTTGAAAATTCTTGATGCAGATTGGTCAGAGGTTTCAAATCAAAATAACCACCTCTGATTGAAACAGGTGATTTGATGAATGCATCACTGCAGAAGTCAATATTTGTTGGTGTATTCTTTCTGTTTCATTGTTCTTGGGCATTTTGTGTCTGTTTTCTGTTTAGCAGCCTTATATCTATAGGTAACAGCTCTACATTGAAAAGACAGTTTGTTAATCTACTAGCCCAGTCTTTCATACATATTGACTAATGATTTCCATGACATTAATAGTGAAAAGGGAAAAGATTTTTTTTCAGAGTTTGAAACATAGGGTAAATTTACGCAAGTATCAACAATCTTGTAATCATTTTCAGGTGACCCTGATTCGCAAGGCAGAAGCTCGTCTGAAGTTTGTCTACAACTTTGAAGGAGAAGTGGCAAGGCCATTTGTGTACAGTGCTGACATCATCGGCTACTTGCATCCTCTGAATGCAGTGCCCACCCCTGACCGCGAGCTGTGTCTGTACCTAGGTATCCAGCAGGCTGAGGGCAAACTCTACCTCAGCCGGGATGAGTCCAGGGATCACAAGGTGTGTCACAGCTGTTCAAGCTCTGGAACTTTAGGACAGTACCCTTGCTTCGTGCTTGCTGGCTATATAGCAGGGTTTGACACCCTCTGAATGTAGGACCCCTTACCTCATGCTTGCTAGCTGTAAAGCAGGGTTTGACACCCTCTGAATGTAGGACCCCTTACCTCATGCTTGCTGGCTATATAGCAGGGTTAGACACCCTCTGAATGTAGGACCCCTTACCTCATGCTTGCTAGCTGTATAGCAGGGTTAGACACCCTCTGAATGTAGGACCCCTTACCTCATGCTTGCTGATTATACAGCAGCGTTAGACATCCTCTGAATGTAGGACCATCTACCTCATGCTTGCTAGCTGTATAGTGGGGTTAGACATCCTCTGAATGTAGGACCCCTTACCTCATGCTTGCTAGCTGTATAGCAGGGTTAGACACCCTCTGAATGTAGGACCCCTTACCTCATGCTTGCTAGCTATATAGCAGGGTTAGACACCCTCTGAATGTAGGACCCCTTACCTCATGCTTGCTAGCTATATAGCAGGGTTTGACACCCTCTGAATGTAGGACCCCTTACCTCATGCTTGCCAGCTATATAGCAGGGTTAGACACCCTCTGAATGTAGGACCCCTTACCTCATGCTTGCTGACTATATAGCAGGGTTAGACATCCTCTGAATGTAGGACCCCTTACCTCATGCTTGCTGACTATATCGCAGCGTTAGACACCCTCTGAATGTAGGACCCCTTACCTCATGCTTGCTGATTATACAGCAGCGTTAGACATCCTCTGAATGTAGGACCCCTTACCTCATGCTTGCTAGCTGTATAGCAGGGTTAGACACCCTCTGTATGTAGGACCCCTTACCTCATGCTTGCTAGCTATATAGCAGGGTTAGACACCCTCTGAATGTAGGACACCTTACCTCATGCTTGCTAGCTGTAAAGCAGGGTTTGACACCCTCTGAATGTAGGACCCCTTACCTCATGCTTGCTGATTATACAGCAGCGTTAGACATCCTCTGAATGTAGGACCCCTTACCTCATGCTTGCTAGCTGTATAGCAGGGTTAGACACCCTCTGAATGTAGGACCCCTTACCTCATGCTTGCTAGCTATATAGCAGGGTTAGACACCCTCTGAATGTAGGACACCTTACCTCATGCTTGCTAGCTGTAAAGCAGGGTTAGACACCCTCTGAATGTAGGACCCCTTACCTCATGCTTGCGGGCTATATAGCAGGGTTAGACACCCTCTGAATGTAGGACACCTTACCTCATGCTTGCGGGCTATATAGCAGGGTTAGACACCCTCTGAATGTATGACACCTTACCTCATGCTTGCTAGCTGTAAAGCAGGGTTTGACACCCTCTGAATGTAGGACCCCTTACCTCATGCTTGCTAGCTATATAGCAGGGTTTGACACCCTCTGAATGTAGGACCCCTTACCTCATGCTTGCTAGCTGTAAAGCAGGGTTTGACACCCTCTGAATGTAGGACCCCTTACCTCGTGCTTGCTGGCTATATAGCAGGGTTAGACACCCTCTGAATGTAGGACCCCTTACCTCATGCTTGCAAGCTTTATAGTATGGTTAGACACCCTCTGAATGTAGGACCCCTTCCCTCATGCTTGCTAGCTATATAGCAGGGTTAGACACCCTCTGAATGTAGGACCCCTTACCTCATGCTTGCTAGCTGTATAGCAGGGTTTGACACCCTCTGAATGTAGGACCCCTTACCTCATGCTTGCTAGCTATATAGCAGGGTTAGACACCCTCTGAATGTAGGACCCCTTACCTCATGCTTGCTGACTATATAGCAGCGTTAGACACCCTCTGAATGTAGGACCCCTTACCTCATGCTTGCTGACTATATAGCAGCGTTAGACACCCTCTGAATGTAGGACCCCTTACCTCATGCTTGCTGACTATATAGCAGGGTTAGACACCCTCTGAATGTAGGACCCCTTACCTCATGCTTGCTGACTATATAGCAGGGTTAGACACCCTCTGAATGTAGGACCCCTTACCTCATGCTTGCTGATTATACAGCAGCGTTAGACATCCTCTGAATGTAGGACCCCTTACCTCGTGCTTGCTGGCTATATAGCAGGGTTAGACACCCTCTGAATGTAGGACACCTTACCTCATGCTTGCTAGCTATATAGTAGGGTTAGACACCCTCTGAATGTAGGACCCCTTACCTCGTGCTTGCTGGCTATATAGCAGGGTTTGACACCCTCTGAATGTAGGACCCCTTACCTCCTGCTCGCTAGCTATATAGCAGGGTTAGACATCCTCTGAATGTAGGACCCCTTACCTCATGCTTGCTAGCTATATAGCAGGGTTAGACATCCTCTGAATGTAGGACCCCTTACCTCATGCTTGCTAGCTATATAGCAGGGTTAGACATCCTCTGAATGTAGGACCCCTTACCTCATGCTTGCTAGCTATATAGCAGGGTTAGACACCCTCTGAATGTAGGACCCCTTACCTCATGCTTGCTGACTATATAGCAGCGTTAGACACCCTCTGAATGTAGGACCCCTTACCTCATGCTTGCTAGCTATATAGCAGGGTTAGACATCCTCTGAATGTGGGACCACTTACCTCATGCTTGCTAGCTGTATAGTGGGGTTAGACATCCTCTGAATGTAGGACACCTTACCTCATGCTTGCTAGCTGTATAGCAGGGTTAGACATCCTCTGAATGTGGGACCATCTACCTCATGCTTGCTAGCTATGTAGTAGGGTTAGACATCCTCTGAATGTAGGACCTCTTACCTCATGCTTGCTAGCTATGTAGTAGGGTTTGACAACATCTACTTCCAATAAGAGACAATTATTAATTGAATAGTTTCTATGGATACCATGTTATAACCAGCTGATTACCCAAACATTTATTCCTGAGTGGAGTCTTTATCTTGGTGACCCTTGCTGTTATATGGTAGGAATAATGGTTAGACTCAACTCACTTCGTTATTTTATTGACAAGATGGTTTTATTTTCAGGAACTTGTATCCCATGTGGAGAGCCAGAATGAATATACTTCTGCAGAGGCTCGTCGTCGTGACAACAGTCCAGTCTTCCCCTACGTTCAGAGTGGCTTCAAGTACTATGTGGAACAAGAAACGGAACAAAAGATTAAAAGCAGCCAGAACCTGAACAGCAACGATATGTTCTATCCTTCATCACATACAAGAGTGGCCTGGAACCGAGAAATCAAAGCCACCTTCAACCAGCCCCGAGACATCACGTACGAGTTCCTGGAGCCGTACAGGAATGGCTCCTGCGGTGGCCATTACAACTGCCTGTCCTGCCTGACTGACTCCCTCTGCAGCTGGTGTCCTGCAACAGACACCTGCTTGAGACGGGACACTTTGAGTAACGAGTCTGCATGTAATGGTGCTCATGATCCCTACTTGATAACCAGCATGGCAGAGTGCCCGTGTTGTGACTACTATGTCAACTGCCACACTTGTGCGTCAGTAAGTATCTTCTCAGCTCTCTCTGCAGATCTGGATATATTATTGGGCTTCCCTCGAGTCATGTTTGTTGTGAGAAGTGACTCACTCTGTCAGTGGTCAGACTCAGTGACACCCTTGAAGATCCGGGTTAGAATAGGTCTTCAGCAACCCATGCTTGCTGTAAAAGGTGACTGTGTTTGTCGTAAGAGGCAACTACAGAGATCCCTCGTTACAAAGCTACCTTCGGGATGGTGGGATCCGGTGGTCAGACTCACTGACTTGGTTGATGAATGTCATCGTATCCTAATCACTGGATTGTCTGGTCCAGACTCGAATATTCACAGACCGCCGTCATACAGCTGTATTATTGCTGAGTGCAGTGTTAAACAAAAAAAAGGAAAAAAAAAGACAGCATAGATCATTGCTTATTCAGCCAGCTGCAGGTTAGCTGTTGATGAAGCTGTAATACTGGGGCTGATGCATAAAATAACTTTCACTCACTCTTTTATTGGTACAAAAGTCCTCAGTACCTTAAGATTGTCACAAAAGCCAACTCTATTCATGATTGTTTGACCACCATAGCTGAAGTATATGGATATTATTTGGAGGAGTGTTTGTGTTTACTTTGCTTCTTTTACACCTTTCAGCCCTGATAAATAGTGTTATCAATTACTTGCTGAGCTCTGCATATGTTTAACATTGACTGAAGGCTGTCTGCTTGTATGCTTTTGTGTTCACTGCATCATACTTAACTGTCATGCATCGGAAGTTCTTTTGTGAAAAGTAACTGACTGCAAACCTAAATCACACCATACATCTTTGGTCATCTGTTTCCTAGAACCCCCTGTGTGAGTGGGTGTCTGGCGATGGTCAGTGTACAAGACGTGGACGTGTTGAGCAGACAATACGCAATGCCAGTGAATGCCATCCACCTTGCCACATGTAAGTAAACTCAGTTATTGTCATGATTGTATGTTCTCTATGCAACAATGCTACAAAATATATATTTGATCAGGCACAAATGTATTTGTACCAAGGCTGAATGGGTTACCAGTACCTTCGCTTGATTGGTGACACTCAGGCGGCCACATTAACTACTGTTCAGTAGGAGAGTGTGTGTAGCTTAAGTGAGGATGGGGTGGCCACATTAACTACTGTTCAGTAGGAGAGTGTGTGTAGCTTAAGTGAGGATGGGGTGGCCACATTAACTACTGTTCAGTAGGGGTGTGCTTGTAGCTAAAGTGAGGATGGGGTGGCCACATTAACTACTGTTCAGTAGGAGAGTGCTTGTAGCTAAAGTGAGGATTGGGTGGCCACATTAACTACTGTTCAGTAGGGGAGTGCTTGTAGCTAAAGTGAGGATGGGGTGGCCACATTAACTACTGTTCAGTAGGGGAGTGCTTGTAGCTAAAGTGAGGATGGGGTGGCCACATTAACTACTGTTCAGTAGGGGAGTGTGTAGCTAAAGTGAGGATGGGGTGGCCACATTAACTACTGTTCAGTAGGGGAGTGTGTAGCTAAAGTGAGGATTGGGTGGCCACATTAACTACTGTTCAGTAGGGGAGTGTGTAGCTAAAGTGAGGATGGGGTGGCCACATTAACTACTGTTCAGTAGGAGAGTGCTTGTAGCTAAAGTGAGGATGGGGTGGCCACATTAACTACTGTTCAGTAGGGGAGTGTGTGTAGCTTAAGTGAGGATGGGGTGGCCACATTAACTACTGTTCAGTAGGGGAGTGTGTAGCTAAAGTGAGGATTGGGTGGCCACATTAACTACTGTTCAGTAGGAGAGTGCTTGTAGCTAAAGTGAGGATGGGGTGGCCACATTAACTACTGTTCAGTAGGGGAGTGTGTAGCTAAAGTGAGGATGGGGTGGCCACATTAACTACTGTTCAGTAGGAGAGTGCTTGTAGCTAAAGTGAGGATGGGGTGGCCACATTAACTACTGTTCAGTAGGGGAGTGTGTGTAGCTTAAGTGAGGATGGGGTGGCCACATTAACTACTGTTCAGTAGGGGAGTGTGTAGCTAAAGTGAGGATTGGGTGGCCACATTAACTACTGTTCAGTAGGAGAGTGCTTGTAGCTAAAGTGAGGATTGGGTGGCCACATTAACTACTGTTCAGTAGGAGAGTGCTTGTAGCTAAAGTGAGGATTGGGTGGCCACATTAACTACTGTTCAGTAGGAGAGTGCTTGTAGCTAAAGTGAGGATTGGGTGGCCACATTAACTACTGTTCAGTAGGGGAGTGTGTGTAGCTTAAGTGAGGATGGGGTGGCCACATTAACTACTGTTCAGTAGGGGAGTGTGTAGCTAAAGTGAGGATTGGGTGGCCACATTAACTACTGTTCAGTAGGAGAGTGCTTGTAGCTAAAGTGAGGATGGGGTGGCCACATTAACTACTGTTCAGTAGGGGAGTGATTGTAGCTAAAGTGAGGATTGGGTGGCCTTATTAACTACTGTTCAGTAGGGGAGTGTGTAGCTAAAGTGAGGATTGGGTGGCCACATTAACTACTGTTCAGTAGGGGTGTGCTTGTAGCTAAAGTGAGGATGGGGTGGCCTTATTAACTATTGTTCAGTAGGGGAGTGATTGTAGCTAAAGTGGGGATGGGGTGGCCTTATTAACTATTGTTCAGTAGGGGAGTGATTGTAGCTAAAGTGAGGATTGGGTGGCCTTATTAACTATTGTTCAGTAGGGGAGTGATTGTAGCTAAAGTGAGGATTGGGTGGCCACATTAACTACTGCTCAGTAGGGGTGTGCTTGTAGCTAAAGTGAGGATGGGGTGGCCTTATTAACTATTGTTCAGTAGGGGAGTGATTGTAGCTAAAGTGGGGATGGGGTGGCCTTATTAACTATTGTTCAGTAGGGGAGTGATTGTAGCTAAAGTGAGGATTGGGTGGCCTTATTAACTATTGTTCAGTAGGGGAGTGATTGTAGCTAAAGTGAGGATTGGGTGGCCACATTAACTACTGCTCAGTAGGGGTGTGCTTGTAGCTAAAGTGAGGATGGGGTGGCCTTATTAACTATTGTTCAGTAGGGGAGTGATTGTAGGTAAAGTGGGGATGGGGTGGCCACATTACCTACTGTTCAGTAGCTGAGTGCTTGTAGCTAAAGTGAGGATTGGGTGGCTACATTGTAGTAGAAAGGGAGTGATTCACTTGATCTTCATGATTTGGCTGCAATATTTCCAAAAACTTTAAACATACCTGCTTAATTGCAGATGTTTAATTCAGCCAATGTTCTATGATAAAAAAAATATTGATAAAACTTGGCAGGCGCACCACATGCACTGACTGCACCCATGGGCAGGAGAAGTGTGCATGGTGCAAGAACACCAAGAAGTGCTTGCCCTTCTCTGACTACGTCACTCGCTACCTCATGGGGGAGTGTACAGGCTGGGTGGACAACGACCGCAAGGGCATCAACTGCAGTGACTGCTCCCACTACAACACATGCAAGTCCTGCATCCAGAACTACGGGCATGGGTGTGGCTGGTGTGGCAGCATGGAAAACCCCACCATCGGGGTGTGCTTGAATGGGGACTTCTCAGGTATGTCCCTTCTATCCTTGTTGTGATTCTGGGTTAGACAGGTCCCTTGCAACCTATGTCAGTGTCGTATAAACACTTCTGCTAATGTGTACAGTTTGTCTGTTGACTCACTTCACATCCTCTGGGGTTTCAGAATAGCACCCAGTAAGCCATGTTAGTAGAATGGTTAAATGACTCAGTGGATCCAGTGGTCAGACTCAGTGACCGGGTTGCCCACGTGTCATTGTAGTTCGATGAGGTTGGACTTAAAGCAACGGCACTGCTTATTATATTAATCAATGCTGCTTATGTCAATCACTCTGTTTCTTACTCTATCATATACAGTAATCTACGGTTATAACGAACTCAAAGGGACTAATTTAAGTTTGTTATAACCGTAGTTAGTTATAACCATTAATACAGCATAACTACAGCAAATAGTCGGGACCAAAAAAAGTAAATTAGTTATATCCATCAGTTCGCTATAAGCGTGTTCATTATAACCGTAGTTCACTGTAGCTGGAATATTGCTGATTGCAGCGTTAAACAATGGACAATCCTGTCTGTGCCATATCTTTAGGTCACGCATCCTTGGGAATTCTGGAAAGAAGAGGTCCACAGCATGTTATGGTTGTCGAGGCCCTGAGATGGGGGGAACCGAACAATTCATAGTAAAATGTAACATATTGTTCACTTAGGCCCTGAGATGGAGGGAACCAAACAATTCATAGTAAAATGTAACATATTGTTCACTTAGGCCCTGAGATGGAGGGAACCGAACAATTCATAGTAAAATGTAACATATTGTTCACTTAAGCCCTGAGATGGAGGGAACCAAACAATTCATAGTAAAATGTAACATATTGTTCACTTAAGCCCTGAGGTAGAAGGAACCGAACAATTCATAGTAAAATGTAACATATTGTTCACTTAGGCCCTGAGGTAGAAGGAACCAAACAATTCATAGTAAAATGTAACATATTGTTCACTTAGGCCCTGAGGTAGAAGGAAACTGTTCTGCCCTGATCAGCGAGGAGCACAACGTGTCAGGATCGGAACCAGCCAACTGGGTCTATGACATCTGTATGGACGTGGAGGAGTGTCTCTTGGGGCTGTATGAGTGCCACCCTAATGCCACCTGCATCAACACATTCGACTCGTACGAGTGCCAGTGCAACCAGGGCTTCCATGACGTGGGTGGGGGAGTCTGTGAAGAAACGTAAGTGTTGCCGGAGAATTTAAGTACATTATTCCCCATGATTCTCCATCATTTCAAAAGTATTTTATATTCTACAAAATGTGAGTGTTTACTTGTATATTAGTTTTAGAAATATGTGAGTTAGTTGTGCATGGAGGTGAACTAACGTCTCTTAATTTGCTCAGATGATATTGATTTAGCCATTACAAGGGATCAATGTTTCAAAGTTTCATCCTTAAAGGATCTTTTTAATTTAAGTTCTCATTTAATAATAATTTTTTTTAAAAGAAGTAGAATTAATTGATAATTTTTGTATGTACATAGTTATTTTTTACGAAATGGTAGTGTATAATTATTAACCTAGATTGTTTGTGGCTGTGCCCTCGAAGGGGGTTGAAGTAGCGTAAAATTATTGTCCTCCTGAGAGGGTAACATAAGACCAAATCATTCAGTTTGTTATTCCTACCGTAATTTTTAATCGTAGAATATTTGTAAATTTTAATTAGTGGCTAAAATTGACCACAATCACCAGCAGCTGAAGCGATAGTGTAAATCCTGCTGGGGAATCGTGCCGGTAGCAGAAGTATCGTAAGTCCCCATGGTCCCTAGTATGGTGGCCTAACTTTGGTTGCTGGCGATCTCTAGCCTGTTTTTATAATGGATTATTGAATCATAGATTATTCTTTTAATTGTTCGCAACTAGTTTTACTTCTTAACTGTGATATTCTAGTTATTATACTGTCCATCGATGACAGGTTTTTATTTTTCTAAGTTTAAGTATTATTGATGTTCTCGTCACGATATAGCTGAAATATTGCTGATGTGACGTTAAATTTAAACTCACACACTCATTCATTAAATATGGTACACGTGCATTACACCGGACGCTTATCAGCCATATTTGTATATTGCTACTAATATAAGTTATATCTCTATTTTGAAAATAACGTGATTAAGCTCAAAATAAACAGAAAAAATTATTCCCCTTGCATTTGTATGGTTTGATATCATTAAACCTTGATATTGAATGTAAAAACAATCAATAAACATAACAAAATAGATTTCATCAAGGAAAAAGTACTCGAAAATAGAAGTTCCATATAATGGTGTACGATAACCTCTTTAGTGACATCCATCAGAGCCACAAGCCACCCGAAACCCCCTATTATTTTTGCAAGGCAACAAAAAATGAAGTCTAAAATACCTGGAAACCATTACAAAAGAAGGAGCTTGTGCACACCTCTTACCAAAATTGCATTCTTGCCTTAAATATTACTAATATCAATTAAAAGTAAAATTTTGTTTTTAAACTGAAATAATTCGTGCAATTGTAGTTGCATTTTTTAATGTGAAACATTCTTGTAATCTAAAGTCATAACTATGTAATAATGCTTTTTCAAAGAGCTGACCATTTCTCCTGAGATGTAGTTAAAACCTCCCCCATCTGCAGGTGCTTCCACACTTGTGTCCATGGCAACTGCTCTGGCCCCATGAACTATCAGTGCATCTGCCACCTGGGGTGGACAGGGATGGACTGCAACACCAACTGTGGCTGCAACAATCACAGTACCTGCGAGAGAGGAGTGGGCATCTGTGACGAGTGTCAGAACCACACGACCGGCCCCAGCTGCAATCTGTGTAGGGCTGGAAGCTATGGCAACCCAAAGAATCTTGATGGTATGAGGTGCTTTGGAATTATTTCAGAAGTTTGATGTCGGATGAAGATTGTAATTCTTTAGGTTTTCTTATAGTTTTCTAATGAAACCATCAACTTTACAGGAATTTGACATTTCAAATTCAATTAGTAATAGCTCTAATCGCCATATTTGTTGTTAGCTCATCTGACTGAAAGTCAAGCGGGCTTACTGGTATGTCATGGCCTGCAGACATTTTCTCTTCAGAAACCACTGAACCACTGAAGCTGAAACTTCACATGCTTGTTTCCTCTGCAGCCATTTTTATAATGCTATTTTTGGCCATTACTATGCCAACATTATTTAAATGTAATGAAATTTGGTATATGTGTAGTTAGTACTGGTGCTCAACATATACTGGTATGTTCAGGGAGGGGGGTGGGGTGCAAGGGTCAGGGTGGGACAATTGTTTTGTTTGTATTTTATTTATTTTTTAAAATTTGGACCTTGATTCAAAACTTAATGGATAATACTGATAACTGAAATGTGTTATGGTCCATTTTTGTTCATTCTACAGAGGTTTCAAATATTAAATTTTCCTGCACATTCATGTTACAATGTGCTTGCTCCTGTTTCAGGTTGTGTGCCCTGTGAGTGTAATGGGCATGGTGACCTGCCCCGCGGAACATGCAACAACGCCACTGGGAAGTGCTACTGCACTGACAACACAGTGGGGGAAAGCTGTGACACCTGTGAGCAGGGCTATTATGGCGACCCATGGTGAGTGCAGGCGTAAAGGTAATTCACAGTGAACTAAAACATGAATCGATGCATGGGTATGCATATCGTGAGGTGAAAATTTGTGATGCTCAGATGAATCGTGACATCCTCAGCAGGAATATTGCTGACTGTGATGAACACAATGATAACAATGATCAGTCAGTCAGTCAGTCAGTCAGTCAGTCAGTCAGTCAGTCAGTCAGTCAGTCAGTCAGTCAGTCAGTCAGTCAGTCAGTCAGTCAGTCAGTCAGTCAGTCTCATGGCTATGTCTCTATCTGCAGGAGTGGAGGAAAGTGCTACCTTCAGTGTGACGGACGTATGATCAGAACAGGGATTACACGAGGGGCCGTTGGAACTCACAAAGGCAGCGGACTCAAACACAAGGCCAACACTTACTGCTTGTGGGTGCTGTCATACTTCGACAAAATAGACATACCCCACATGAGGAGTTCACGCAAGATGTTGACAGCTCCAACCATCATCATCTCCATCGAGGGCGTCCTGCATGTCAACTGTGGACAGGTAGGTGTGGGCGTCGCCCAAAGAACAAAATATAGGGAACCATTCTGACCCCTAAACACAACAAATTGTTAATTTTAAGCACTTTCATTAAAAGAAGATGTTAGGGCTCACTACCACCACACAAAAGATCTGAGTTCATCCCATTACAGGTCATGTCAGCATGAAGTTTCACAAACTTTGAACGGTCAATGAAATGACTAACAGGAAGTTGACAGGCAGCTTCTCAATATTTATGGCACTAGTTTCAAACTGGCCCCTTCCATTCCAGGCTTCACTTTTGAAAATAGTTGGGGATTCAAAATTTGAAATCTGGCCTGAAACAATTCTGAAATGTGTAATTGATGGCCGAGATTTTATGGTAGTCCTTCCCTATGGAAACAGTTGGAAACTGTCATACATACCCTGACTGTCTTTTGGAATGCCTCGAGTTAACCTTTTAGAGGCGGCATGGTTAGAAAACTCATTTGGACTTTCACTTGGAGTTTCGGGATCTGGTAAGCGGTGTTGGTTGGGTAAAGCTGGTTCTGACGTGACCTGTAATGGATTTCCTCAGATCTTTGTGTAGCAGTAGCGAGCACTAAGATCTGATTTAATGAGATTGTAAGCTTTAGAAACCTTTGAAAGGTAATGACATTTATCACAAGTGTTGAAAATAACTGATGTCTGTTATTATTTTTACGAATAAATCTAAATGTTTTAACTTGCAACTGCATTATGTATATGAAAATACAGGAAATAAGACAGATTTTTTATTTCCGGAGAAACTTACCATGAAAATTTGTGGATCCAATGTGAAATATTTACAAAATTTCTGAACTGTTATTAACTGAAAATATGCTCTTGGGTCAAGGACCTGCTCATGTTAAAAACTGTAAGAAATACACCCCAAATCTTTTTATGCCAGCCTTTTTTTTTGACCCGTTTGAGTCATACCACTGGATTTGATGTGATAAGTCCAAACTGTAAAAGTGTTAAGATGAAAACTATTAGTTATATCAATGATCCTCGGGACAGGTTTGTCAACCTTTGACCAAAAGCGCCTGTATTAAAAAATGTGCATGTGCAGTCAGTCTGTGCCAAACAGCTCTACTAGTAGAACTTGTCAGTGCTTTCCAGCCTTTGGGTATCGCTTGATTGCTTCCTTGAATGCAGACTGTCTAAAGCAATGTGATGGTTGCAGGACTCCGTGTATGTATATGATGATATCCCGGACTTCGTGAATGGCCCCAGGGATGCGGAGAATGTGAGCAACGCTGTGCTGCTAGGGGCATTCTGTGGCATGAATCCTGGCAATGACCTGGTCGTGAAGGCACACACAGGCACCATCGTAATCTACTTCGAAGCTGATCTCACACGTAAGTTGTGACAGGGGAATTATGATCTGAGCTTGCATTTCCTTACCTGGGTCCCCTTCCACAAGGCTATCTTAGCACTTCAACTATCGTAAGTAAGTGTAAAGTATGGGAGTTAAGATCATCTTAGTACTAAGATCGCTTTGTGGAATGGCCCTGGTAGTTAATTTTGTGTTAGGATAGATACATTTTCATATTTTTCTTTACCCATCATTTTTTTCATCATTCTTATTCAGAATATGTAGGGTAGGTAACTTTGGACACTTCAATGACAAACAGTACCGTATTTTCTTGAGTATAGTGCGCACCCATGTATAATGCGCACCCCCCTCTAGCGGGTTCAATATTTTGGAAAAAAAAGAAATTTGAATATTATGCGCAGAATTTTTTTACACCGTACCCTTTCAGCGAAGTCCGGCAAACGAACGGGTGCTGAGAAACTTCGTCAGTACAAATTCGAAATTTGAGATAAAAAATCACCAGACATGTTTATTTACCGTTTAAATAGTATTTATTGTTCTGCTAGGCATTGTTTTATATTTAGGGATTAAGATTACCTTGCGTATTTTCATGTCTGACCAGTCACCGTCAAGGCTCACGCGCACATGATCACGTGATAGCGAGAATTTCATGTTGACATAGAATCGTCAAACAAAATCAAATATGACTTTTAACGAGTCAAAGTATGTCATTTATGATATATGTATCCATTCTCTGTCAACTAAAGTTTGTTTCAAGGCGCCAATAGCGGTATTCTGACCGTGGTTGCTGTTAATAACGGTGAGTTGTGCGATCTTCCGATCGCTTCACACACGATTTCGCCGAAATTAATAAAAACAATATTATCAGATTATAAGGAATTTTGAATAAAATCAATGAAATAAGTTACAAACATAAGTCCAGATATACAAAGAACACTTTTTATAGCCAGACAGTGTAATTACATAATTATTTTGGGTACTTCAGTATGGATTTGTTGACATGGTATTCCCGGTGTTTCGTGCTCACGGCAATGTCTTTCCATGGGGGAAAAAACATCCAAACTCATAATTCGTGTATAATGCGCACCCCCTTCTACACAGCTGTGTTTTTTCGAAAAAAAGTGCGCACTATACTCAAGAAAATACGGTACTTTTGCTTTCTGAAATAATACAGATCATCATGGTGGTGATAGCTAAACTCACTGATACTTACCAATAAAACTACATCTTGATACTAGTCAAGCAGTAGATTCTGTGAGCAGACCAAGATACAAGCTTACCCTCCAAACACCACTCACTCATTCACTCTGTACTTCAGATCCATCCAAGACCATTGGTTTCAATGCCAGCTATCAGGTGATACAGTGCCCTGACCATTGCCATGGTAACCGGATGTGTGTGGATCACAAGTGTGTGTGTATACCAGGCCATGGGGGATACATGTGTGAGATCGACCTGTGTCCGAACAATTGCTCCAGCTCAGTTGGAGACGGACAGGGACGCTGTGATGAGGTGAGTCTGGGCTTGAGTCTCAGTGGATGAGCTAGATGATGGATGCTTGGTTTTAAAAGGGATGTTGAAGAAGTGTCAGAGTAATTGGAAGGAGAGGCATCCGTGGTGGAGGTATGAAGGAGATAATGGTTGATGAGTAAATGGAGATAATGGTTGATGAGTAAATGGAGATAATGGTTGATGAGTTAATGGAGATAATGGTTGGTGAGTGAATGGAGATAATGGTTGATGAGTAAATGGAGATAATGGTTGGTGAGTAAATGAAGATAATAGTTGGTGAGTTAATGGTTGATGAGTAAATGGAGATAATGGTTGTTGAGTAAATGGAGATAATGGTTGATGAGTAAATGGAGATAATGGTTGGTGAGTGAATGAAGATAATGGTTGGTGAGTAAATGGAGATAATGGTTGATGAGTAAATGGAGATAATGGTTGGTGAGTGAATGGAGATAATGGTTGGTGAGTATATGGAGATAATGGTTGGTGAGTGAATGGAGATAATGGTTGGTGAGTAAATAGAGATAATGGTTGATGAGTAAATGGAGATAATGGTTGATGAGTAAATGGAGATAATGGTTGATGAGTAAATGGAGATAATGGTTGGTGAGTAAATGGAGATAATGGTTGATGAGTAAATGGAGTTAATGGTTGATGAGTAAATGGAGATAATGGTTGGTGAGTAAATGGAGATAATGGTTGATGAATAAATGGAGATAATGGTTGGTGAGTGAATGGAGATAATGGTTGGTGAGTGAATGGAGATAATGGTTGATGAGTAAATGGAGATAATGGTTGATGAGTAAATGGAGATAATGGTTGGTGAGAGAATGGAGATAATTTGTTGGAAGGATGGTTGGCAAGTGAATATCGTTCACGAGATACACAGTCACAATGGGAATCATTTGGACTTGTTTCTTTACTCTGTGCACCCTTGCTGGAAGAAGCACCTACACTGAGGGTCACTATGACTCTTGTTGAGCGTTAGACCAATCATAAAGACCAACTGTCAACAGTCTTTATGATGATCAAAGATGCTACCTCTGCCTGCTGCTTTTCTCCCTGGTACACTAAATCGAGAAGATCCGGGATAGAATAGATCTTCAGCAACCCATGGTTGTTGTAAAAGGCAACTATGTTTGTCGTAAGAGGCTACTAACGGGATCGGGTGGTCAGGCTCGATGACTTGGTTGATACATGTCATCGTATCCCAATTGTGTGGATCGAGGCTCATGATATTAATCACTGGATTTTCTGGTCCAGACTCGATTATTTACAGACCGCCATCACATAGCTGGAATATTACTGAATGCGACGTTAAACAACAAATCAACCAACCAACGAGATACACGACATAGGCCATGCCATATTGCTGTCATTCGCTAACTATTCCCATCTGTGGGGATTCCAGCTTAGAAGAGGCCCCAATCACCTATGCTGGCTGTAAGAGGCGACAAAATGGATTGGGTGGTCCATCTCGTTGATTGTGTGTCAATGTAGCCTGATGGCATGGATCATTACATCCTCTATATCTCCAGGGCTTGCAGTTCGGTAAACCGACACTAATCCCAGGACTCTGGTTCTGCCAATCTCAATTTACCCACCCTTGATCTTCTTTAGCCAATTTTATTGGCTACACTACTAGCTCTAACATACCAATCAGAATGCAGGTTACAAACCAGCCTCTAATGTTGGGTTGGCAATATCAACAACATAGCAGCCAGTTCTACTGATTATGATAGTGTGTGGGAGAAATTCGTTGTTGAAAAACTGACTGACACTGGCACTGGCAGAAAAAACCCTCAAAAATCTTTTTGATTGAAAGGATGTCTCCGTATCCATCAAAACTGGCAGTGGCTTTGGTTTCTAGGCAATATGAGTGACCTCCCTTACCCATTTTTCTTTTTCCTTATATCGACGTTTGTCAGTAAAATATTAATGAAAATCAAGGGCAGGTAATTTAAGATTGCAAGAACCACAGGGATGGGTTAGGCCCAGTAGATAAAAAAAATGGGATCATTGGTCACAACAACAATCACTCCATTTTACAGACCTGACTTGATTATCTGCAGGACACTGTTATGCATACGGAATATTGCTCTGCAGTGTTAAACAACAGAAAACAACACCATACAAACTATTTTTTGTGTTATCCAGATGTATGGTGTGTGTATCTGTAATCAAGGCTATGGAGGATCAGCATGTGACATGAATATCACGAATGTCAGCGAGCCCCACTTACAGATCCTGACGGATCCCCAGCGTATCTTGAACCAGCGCAACAAGCTGCCCTCCTCCCGTGTGGGACACACTCTCACATCCTGTGGGGACGACATGCTCTACTTGTTCGGTGGCTACAATTCGGAAAGCCAGCTTCTCAATGACATGTGGGTGTTCGATATCAAGCTGTCCAAGTGGAAAAGTATCATATTGCCCATATCTGAGGAGGAGCCATCAGGAAGGTGAGTGCTCATCTTGATGAGGCCCGGTGTCTGATAGTGTTGGTAAGGTTCGTACAGGCTTGAAAAGGCCTTGAATTTTAAGGTACCTCTTGAAAAGCCTTGATCAACCTTGTAAAGTCTTCAAATTACCACAATAGCTTGAAAAGCCTTGAATTTGTGCAAAATGACATAAACTTGTAAATAAAAGTTTTAAAACACACTAAGTTATGCACCAAGAATATTTGAGTGTGATTTATCATAGTGATAGATTGGACACTTTTCCAAACACCTTGAAGAATTCATGGCAGACGTATTTTATTTTATTTGTTGGTTGTGAAAATCAGTCTTGTTTAAAAATTTGTGATGGCCTTGCTGCGTTTTAGGTCTTACGACTAATAAATAGTATGGTCTTACAACTTATATACAGTGTGCTGGATATAAAAAAATATTGACAGAATGAGGCTAATAACCCAACTAAAAAAGCCTTTAAAAGGCCTTGAAACGGCCTTGAATTTTAGTGTTCCATATCTGTATGAACCTTTGTAAGGCTTAAAGAAAAATATAGTTCCAATTGCACTTAATTTCAAAAGTTTGTTTGTGGGTTTTTTTTCAAACCAAAAATGCAACTATGTTGGAAAAACGCTCTACAGCTATGCTGTGTTTGTTTAATATGTTTGTGTGCTCTAGGTTTTGTCAAGAACAGTAAGTACCACCCTAAAGAAACCCAGGGGAACATGTTATTCATAATTGTCCTTATGTTGGGAATGATTGGGGTATTTGTCATGTTTACGGTCAAGTATTCCTCAATCTCCAACACTGCGATATGTTGGCAGGTATTTCCATGCAGCGGCCTGTATCCCCAAACGTAAAATTATCTACGTATTCGGTGGGTTTGTGATGGACAGAAACCGCCATGGTCTACTGAAGGCAACCAATGAGCTGTGGAAGTTCACCCTGGAGTCCAACATCTGGTCCAAGGAGGAGGTGGGTGACAGCAGCGACAAAGTCACAAATTGTCTTTATAACAGGCTTCACATACACTTGAAAAGTGTTTCACACCACATTTGTAAGCTTATCACGTGACTTTTCTCGTTTGTAAACTAATGCACTTATTCTAAATCAAGCACCAACCCATTGGTGCACTTTACACATTGTTTTGCATAATTACATTGATAAGCTTGTACAACTGCGATAGTAAGGTGCATGACGTTATGGCTTTACACATCAATGTGACTGTATTGCTAGCTCTCTGTACAGCTTCCATGACGGCCCGTGGAGGATAAATACACGACTGGAAACTAGTTTTTCATGTTTTAGGATATTTTCTCAATGAAAGTTATGCTTATCTAAATGTGTAGACTTGTCCAAAATTGAGTTCAACAGAATAATACTTCTAACACGTCAATAGTTGACATATATTAAGTTATTACCATACAACGGCCCACTTTTAAAATTCAGGGGCCCATTCCTCAAAGCTATCATAGTGTTAATGGTATCATAACTCCCATACTTTAACATAGACTTACAACTGTCATTGAGCTACGATCGCCTTGTGGCTTTGGTATTAAACACTGTGTAACTACCAGCTTATTGTTATTAAACGGGTGATCTCTTAATGGGCGAGTATAACCTGAAGTATCACACAACATTCGCAGCTTTGTATACTTTCTGTCACTTACAACACTGAGCAATATTATTGCCTTACACAATCATTTTTTTAAGGCTATTCTAGAGGACTATTGGAAATCTTATTTCACTTATCCTCAGAGTTTGTAGCTAGTCCTTCTTATTTTCGGCCAGTTTTGTTCTCTTCTACTTTGAAGCAAAATTGAATCATTGAGAACTGAAGCAGGGTCATGTTCCATAAAACAATCTTAGCCCTAAGGTGATCGTAACTCCTATACTTTAACATAGGCTTACGACAGTCGTAGCCCTAAGATGATCGTAACTCCCATACTTTAACATGGTTCAGAATTATAACTCTCAAATGCTACTAGTCAGTGATGACTGCCCTTATTGGATTTTTGCTTGTCCTAAGCACATTTAAGAAGCCTTGGGCTAGTGGACTAGCATGAATTTTGAAGCCTAATATTACAAGTGGGTTACTGTCTAGCAGTTAAGATCAGTGGGGTACATGTGAAATGGTGTGTTGCAGGTACCGAAGTACGTGCCCCCTCTGGCCGGCCACAGTCTGACTGAAGTCGGGGACGCTATGCTGATCGTGATCGGCGGCTTCTCCACAGAAGACTACTTCTCTGACATGGTGTTTGAGTACAAGGTGGATGAGAAAAAGGACCTGAGGTGGAGGCTGTACGGGATGGAGAACCTCGCTGGTGCTATCCCTGTTGGTAAGCGGGCTCTGCCATTCTATGTTCATTCTCAACTGATGGGCATGATTTGCAATTTGCTGTGGAGAGTTGTGTCTCTTGAGAGTAAATCCCAGATCCTCTCCACTAACAATCCCATTGTCTGTCAGTATCCTGGCTTTCACTTGTTTCAGACCCGTGAAGATCCGGGTTGGAATAGGCCTTCGGCGACCCATGCTTGCCGTAAGAGGCTACTATGCTTGTTGTAAGAGGCGACTAACAGGATCGGGTGGTCACACTTGTTTCATGTTTCATATTTCACATATTTCCAACCTGGGGTAAAAGTACCCCCTCACCACTTGCTCCTTGGCTGTAGACTGGGTTTCCAGCAAAATAGCTTCAAATAATGTTGAGTGTGTTAAAGGGTGATGGGGTGACCTAGTGGTTAAGGCATTTGCTGAGTGGAATCCATTTCTGTTGTCCCCCAGTGGGATGTTGTTGGAATATTGGTAAAAGTTGCATAGAATCGAAACCGCTCACTCACTGAAAGAATTTAAGGGTATTCTCCTTCCCTTTGGATTTTGGCCTTAGAAGTCAACTGATTGCTTGTAATGTGTAGTAAGGGATAAATGTCTGATCTGTGTGACTTCCAGCTTTCCTCTCACCTAAATCTGACACAGTATGATATAAATGTATTCTGTTCATCATGGTGGCATTAAGCCCACCTCACTCCTTGTCTGGACTTGTTGCCCAGTCTGCACGTTGTTGACACTGTACTGGTGCTGCTCATGACAGGCGACAGTAGTGGTGAAGTCAGTCAACGGTGTGTTGTGTTTTCAGGTCTGTATGGCCACAGTGCAGTGTTCGAGCCCATATCGCATACAATCTACGTTTATGGCGGCTACATGTACAAATCCGGCAGCTGGTATGTGTCACGTGACCTACACGCCTATGATGTAGTTGCTTCAATGTGGAGTCTGCTGGTTCCGGAGGGCAATGGAGAGGTGAGATATGCACTGAAGCCAAGGTTAACACAGGCTACAAAAGGTGTTCAGTTGGCAGTCAGGCTTGTAAAGGCTTTTGTATTCTATTAAATAAGTTTTTATTCCATTTTATATGCATGCTAATTAAAAACAATTTATGTGTGTATTAACAGGGCTCGATTCTGCTATACAAAACTTGCACCAGTGCAACCTATTATTGAAAAATAAAATCTTATATGTCAAAAGCATTGTCCCCAAACATTGATCTTTGAACACATTCAGTAACTCTAGTTTTTTTTCCAGACTAAGTCAATACCCCTTTTTTGTGTAATTTGTCATGGTTTGGGGGTCTTTGACGATGTGGAAACATCAAATTTATGTTCATGATTCAACTTTGATAAATTCATGGGTACAGAGTGCAACCTGGTTTTGTGTAGTGCACCTAGGTTTCCATGTCAACATGCACCTGGTGGATGATGCTGGATGATATGGGCTTTATAACCAGGGTGGCGTTATAACCGGGGAGGTTGGTGTGCTGAAGTTGACCACCTGGCAAAAGTAAATTGGCATTATAACGGGGGAACATTATGACCAGGGGCATTATAACCAGGGTACACTGTACATAGCGTCTACCATAATTCTATGGTTTGGTAAGCCCCTAAACCAGGGGATGAGAAGGTGAGGTTTGTCTGATCAATTATTGACAGGACCCTGTCATTTGGTGGGAATATGGCTGAACCCAGCATTAAACAACAAATAATAATGATGATGCCTGGGAACTTTGACAGAGGATGAGCTTGATGTTTGTCTGTTGAAGGTTACTGCCAGGGCCTTTCATACTGCAGTGCACTTGGAGGACAAAATGGTGGTGATCGGTGGTCTGGAGGCAGATGGGAGCCGTGTGGGGCACCTGCTGATCTACAAGTATCGGTGCAACACTCGCCACAAAGTTGACAAAGGTAACAATATCTGACTGTATAACAGGGCCAGCTGTTTCTTTAAGTTACTGTAAATATTATTGTGTTCCATTTTAGAGGTAAGAGGTGGAAGGTCTGTGTTTTGGTGGAAGTTCTGTGATATTGGTTGACGTTCTGTGATGAAGGGTGAATATCTATGATGTGGTTGAACTACTGTGATATTGATTGACGTTCTGTGATGAATGGTGAATATCAATGATGCGGTTGACTACTGTGATATTGGTTGAAGTTTTATGATGTGGTTGAAGTACTGTGAAATTGATTGACGTTCTGTGATGAAGGGTGAATATCAATGATGTTGGTTGAACTACTGTGATGTTGCCTGAAGTTCTATGATGTTGGTTGAAGTTCTGTGATGTTGGTTGCAGACCTTGGAACAGGACTAGAGGCAGCAGCAGTCGTGGGCATCAAAGCCGTCGTCAGCAACGATAACATCTACCTCTACGGCGGTTTCTCAGGCACAACAGTGGGCACGATGTCTCGTCTCACTGTTCCTGACGATGTCTGCAAGCTGATAGACACACAGTTCTGCAACTTACAAGGGTGTTCACTCTGCACCAGTGTGGTAGAGGGCAAGGAGAACGAGTCCATCTGCTATTCCAGTGATGGAGAGAAACCAGAAGGGTAGGACTCAGAACAAATTCCATCCATCCATTGATGTGAATAATGTTTCAGCAGAAATTATATTTACAGGCCATTTATGAAACATGTATTGACACACATTTCCAATTTTATTAGGGATCTCAAACTAAGTGCCCCTGGCAGCCAAATTCATGACCGCCTCTGTGGTCTAGTCATAGAGCGTCCATCCGGAGGGCAGAAAGTCTAGGTTGGATTCCTGGCCGTTAAAATATGTTAAAAGATGGTACTTGTTGTTACCTGCCTGGCACTCAGCATTATAGGGACAAAACAAGGACTGGACGGCTCGTAGTCTGAGTGGGGTATTCATTGTAAACTGCAGCATGGTATTTCAGTATGCTAGGACTATAAAATTACTCCGGACTAGTACAAGCAGCCCCACATCCCACCAACCCCCATCCCCCCAACACACATGTACGTCGCTATTAAAATGTAATAATCTTGGACGTGACGTTAAACCTCATTTCACCTCACCTGGGATGGCAAATTTGGAATAAAATCATGATATCATTCAAAATTGGATTTTTTTAAATGTTTTTATTTTTGTAAATTATGAGGAATTGGGAAGTTTTAAATTCAAATTAGAATTTGTGCTGTCATTTGCTGCAGACTTGGGGCCGAATGTCGGTCTGAGCAGGTCTAGATTAATCCCTGAATACTTGTTTTTATTTTCGCCAAATTCGGCCAGTATTGGTGAACCATGTGTTTATTCAGGGGCAGCATAGGTCCCAGTACCTCATACTTGCCATGGAAGCGAAAATGAGGATCTGGTGGACACAGTGTGTGACCAGGCTGAATGTGTGCATCGGATGGCATGGACTGTTCGTCATGCCAAAACCACGTTTACCTGGCCCAGACCCAGTCATTTCCAGCCTGCCATGATGAAGATGGAAGCTTGCAGATTGCTGGCTAAGACAATGAGTGAATGATGTTTTGTGCTGCAGGAGAGCTTTTGATGGTGGTTGTAGTATTTCCTGTTGTGTTGGCAGCTGTACGAGTGAGGACAAGAAGTTGAAGTGTAACAACCTGTGGTACAACAGCACCAACTGCTACAGATACACCTCCTGCAGCCAGTGTCTGGCCGTCTACCCCCAGTTCAAGGACCAGTCTCCGGTAGGCAGTCGGAAACATTCACGCTAGTCCGTTAGCCCAAGACTACTACAGTATTTACTTGAGTATAGCCACACCCAAGTATAATGCTCACCCTGTCTAGGGGTTTCAGTATTTTTGAACAAATATTTTGTTTAGAATTATACGCAGAAAAAAACAATCTCATTAAAATCAGATCTTAGTTCTTGCTACTGCTAAACAAAGATCTGAGGACATCCCATTACGGGTCACGTCAGACCGACCTTGCACGAACTTTTACCAACCAATTGAATGACCAATCAGAAGGCAGCTTTCTCGTGCTTTACGGCACAAATTTCAAATTGGCGACTACGTTTCGAGACATATTTTGACAAATTCTCGATTACAAATTTGAAACCTGAACAAAAAAACCATTATGGAATGGCTGATAGATGGTCTAGATTATAAGAACCCATAAGGCGACAATTTTTTTATTTCTTGGTTTACGGATGCACCTCTCTTTCAAAGTCCAAATGTTAAAAAAAAAATAAAATGAAAATTACCCTTTTTTTTATTACCGCCGATCTTTTCGACAAAAAGTTCAAACAAACAAAAAGATTTCATTTCCTCGTCGAGAGTTAAGCAAAGGGAAGTCACTCTGATATTTCTTGCTGGGATCCTTCTCTAATACCATCAAAGCTTGTCAACGCAAAGCGCAGTGGTGACCAGTTTAACTATTTCAACACTGTTGGCCGTTCAAAGCCACAAGTCACACCCCACGGTAGACCAAGTCCAAGTCACGTCAAAATAGTTTATAATAATATTAAGCTACTTGTCATATCATTCATTTATTAAATCTATCACATTTCGAAATGTTTGAAATACGTATTCCATTTGATTTTATCATTTCTTTATCTATAGATCAAAAATGTATTCACTAGACACTATTTCCCCGCAATGTTATTGAAAATAAAATTCTCGGACACACTTCGACAACGGGTGCTCATCGAACATGTCAAACAGCAAAATAAAGACGTTCCACATGCTGAAATGTCTTTATTTACAAAGTAATAAAATCATCAAAAATATATCTATAAAAGTTGCCAAACTGACGTCTTAGTTATTATTTCCAATTTTTCGTGCGATCGCATGTAATCGTCAGTCAAATGACATCTCGCCTTTTGTCGCCTCAATTTCTCGGCTCGGACACGATGTCTTAATGCCAAAATATATGCATAAGAAATCTTTATCACAGCTCGTAACCTAGCTCTATGCATCCATAAAGTTCCATATTTTTAATATAGATCGCGATTTCATGCTTAAACGTTCAGAATAACATGATTTAACCCAAACCTTTCGCCAAAGTCTGAAAATTACCGTTGCTGTAATTTGATTGGCTGCCTTAGGTCACATGCTTAAATTTGACCAATCACGAACCTTGTAGCAGATTTTGTCGGTGAAACAATATAAGTTTTTTTTAATGTATACTGACATTACAGCCGTCGACGTATGTGTTATTCATACGAAGCTTTGAAAACGGAGGTATTTCCTCATGTTAGTGAGCGGACAGCCACTATCATCGAGAAATGGGTGATGACAGATATTATTTGTAATTCTTTTTAAAATAACGTTCCAACAACGGAAACAAATGAAAATAAAAAAGAAATGGGTAAGTGGGTTTTATGAATTTTTATATTTGCCGAAAAAATCGTTAAATTTGCGCTTCATTGGTCCTTAATCTGGACGTTATGAATGTTTTAGCTTACATTATTTTTATTTAAAACGAACTTTATTTAGTTGTTAATGAATTATTTAAATAATGTAATACACATAACTTTCATATTTATAAACAATAGGATTAATTAGACCTTTCAAATAGTTTATGGCCAAACATGTAGTAGCAAAGATGTTAATTTCAGCAGATAATTTCCTTGTTAAGTGTTGGTTTCATCTATCACACAAGAGTCTCTGGGAACTTGGTGTCACAGCAGTAATCTTCTGGTTGGCTGGTGTTGAAAGAGTTAAACGTTGCCCATGCTGCCAAAATAGCAGCGTCTTTCATGCATTTCCATCCATGGCATGAATATTGTTATGTTGCCATTTGTGCACAAGCTGAGTGCCAGGGATATAATAAAATGTTCTTGAAAAATTGAGTTATTTTACTTTTGTTACGCCAGGATATTTTTTTTCATACCTACCTAACTTTTTAGGACAAAATTCAAGTAAAATAAATGTGAGAGGCTTTTTTTTTCCTTTTCTTTAAAATTGGCCTGCCTCACTTTTGAAATGAGTTTGAAGTCCATAAACCAAGAAATAAAAAACGTGTCGCCTAACTATCGTTCGGAATACCCCATGTTAAAGTTTTCGAGATTGCATGATTAGAAATCACATTCCGACTGTCACTTTCATAATCTGGTAAGCGACGCACTGATTGGTCGGATGAAAGGTCGTTCTGACGTGACCTGTAATGGGTTGTCTTCAGATCTTTGTTTAGCGGTAGCGAGAACTAAGGTCTGATTTTAATGAGATTGAGAGAAAAATTACGTCTTCTCCCTTCACTAAGGCTTCAGCGAATTCAGGTGAACGAACGGATGATATCAAACCTGGTCAGTACAAATTTGAAATTTGAGATAAAACATCACTAGACATGTTGATTTACTGTTTAATTTGTATTTCTGTTCTGCTCGGCATTGTTTTACATGCAGAGATTAAGATTGCCGTGTGTATTTTCTTGTAACTAAGCCAGAAACTGCACTCAGCTTTACACACGTTTTCTTGGAATCTCCCAGTGGTTCAGTTAAAAAGAAAGTGATATTGTGGGTTATCCGTGTTAGAACTGCAGCATGGTATCTTAGTTGGATAGCACTAAAAAAGAGCTTTACTCCTGACTAGTACAAGCAGCCACAAACTCTCACACACATGCATGCTTGTTGCTTTATATAAGTTTTCACACAACATTAAACCCCATTTTACCTCACCTCAAGTTGTGAATGGTGTTGCATCTATCTTAATATATTACAGACGACTTACCAGTTGTATTTTTAGCTGAGGGCATTTTTTCCCTTCTGTTTTTCTGTTCTCACTGGACACTCTAGCTAAGCATGGTGACAAACACACAAAATACTATGGACGGCTAAGGCATTATTACACATGACATGTTCCCTCTGACAGAAGTGCCAGTGGTGTCGTAACTGTCCCGAGGGCAAGTGTATCAGGAAGGATGCCGATTGTAAAGAGGAGACGAAGTGTAACGGTCAGCAGGACTCGATCCACACAGCGAAGCAGTGCTTCCAATACCTGTGTCCCTACTCTGACTGTGAACGATGTACTGAGCAGGAGAGTTGTGGCTGGACGAGGAATGTCAAGAGATCGGGTGAGTAGTTAGTGAAAAAAATAAAAGCAACAAAACCCTTTCCATAATCATAAGAAATCTCTGCTGAACTCGAGTTCATTGTACGATTCCGACTATGTCCTAAGCATGTGTTTATGAATCATGATTCAATAGTGTCATTGCCCAAGAATGGAGCTATGTTTCTTCTTCTGTCAAACTTTCAGATCTGTTTAAAATGTAAAGTTGCCTGGGCTCGAAGCCACTATTCCAAAGCCAGAGTCCCGAATAATATACCGCTGTGCAGATCTGGGTTAGAATAAGTCTCAGCAACCCATGGGACTAACGGTATCTCGTGGTCAGACTCACTGTATTGGTTGATGCATGTCATCACATCTCTGTTGCCTAGATCAATGCTATTATGTCAATTACTGGATTGTCTGGATGAGACTTAATTAATTACAGACTTGTGTCTGATAGGTGAATTATTGCTGAGCGCAGCGTTAAACAAAGTAAACTTTAACCTGACAGCTTATGTGTAAAATCCACTGAAAAGGAAGTAGGAACACAAGTTTGGTCTGGTATAGTCAGATGATACATAATAGCACAGTGTCATAGGCAGGACGGGTACACCTATTGTAATCTGTCAGCTAAAACATTAGTGAGTCAACAGAACCTTATCACATCAGGGAGGAACTTGACAGAAGGCAGGATGTTGTTAGCCTATTAAAGATGTTGTGCATAAGACAGAAGGCAGGATGTTGTTAGCCTAAGATGTTGGGTATAGGACAGAAGGCAGGATGTTGTTAGCCTAAGATGTTGTGTATAGGACAGAAGGCAGGATGTTGTTAGCTTAAGATGTTGTGTATAAGACAGAAGGCAGGATGTTGTTAGCCTAAGATGTTGTGTATAGGACAGAAGGCAGGATGTTGTTAGCTTAAGATGTTGTGTATAAGACAGAAGGCAGGATATTGTCATCCTATATATTGTTGATGCTACAGGCGAGAGCAATCGTTTCATCAGTGAAAATCCGATTTATGACTGGAACTGCGTGGCAACGTCTCTCCTCTCCAAGAAGGGGAACTACAGCAACTCCATGCCCCCCAACAACTGCACGCGGCGCTGCTACACCTTCAAGACTTGTGACCAGTGTCTGGCCTCAAGCGGAGGGGAGGGGGGTTCTCAGGAGTGCATCTGGAGCGAGACTCTACAGGAGGTGGGTCTATCTTATCCTTGTATGACTACCTCCCGCCTGTTTGCAGCTCACCTGATAAGAACCAGTAGTCTGTATGTGTCATCTGGCTGCTCATGCAGTCAACTTTGGGATTATCATTGGTTTGAATCTTCTGATTCTGGGGGAAAAGATGAGAATTTATAGGTCTCAAGTATGGCATGCTTGTTGTATTGGGTTGGGGAGGGGGGTGCAGAACAGGGATTGGGAGGTCTCAATGGATGCTGGGAATGAGTAGAACTTGGTTTGATGTCTATCTTGTACGGTCAACTAGAAACTGCTCAAAGTGTCATGATAAAGTTGAAATTCTTCGAAGATGGAATAGTCATCACTCCTATACAGTATTTGCACTTCATGACTGTTTGTTACATTTCAGTGTATGCCTCCAGCCTACCGCCCTCTTCGATGCTCATTTGGAGAATGTGGGTTTGTCATCCAACAGAGGAAAAATAAGACCCTCCAACCAACAGCTCGCTGCCCTCTGCCCTGTGGCAACCACACCAAGTGTGCTGAGTGCATCACTGCACCTGGGTGTGGCTGGTGTGCTTTTGGGGGACAGAATGGCCTGGGTGTGTGTATGAAGGGGGGACGAGCTGGACCTTCTGGAGGCGCCTGTCTGGATGACCATCGGACGGAGATGCACCTCAGTTAGTACTCTTTCCATGAAGTAATTAGAGGAGCTCCCCACGTACTAGGACACTTCCAGTGTTTCTAGATTTACTGGTCAGTGCTTGCAATATAGCATTGAAAGCCAAGGGGTAATTGGCATAAACATAAAGCTTGGCGGCAAAGCTTAGAGATCCTTGCTTGGAAATGCTAGAGCAGAAAACCTCAAGGACCTCACAACCTTTATATCTAGCACTGTTTAACCATAGTGCTTTGATGCAGCTGATGCACAGAGATGCAACCATTACGATTTTGGTGGAATCATTGCAATATTTTGAACAGAATTTTACCAATATGATTAAGAGAAAGAAACTTTTGTCCAAAACAGAAATGTCTTTTCTGGCCATTGACTATTGATTTCAACCACATAAATTAACATCTAATACTTGCGCTCCATTTTGTGTTCCAACGGTGTACAATTTATTTCTGATTTAGGTGGGAAAATGCTGATAATATACACTGAGATATACTCTTCTATACCAGTTCTGATAGTTCTTTTTTTTCTATTTCTTTCTTTTATTCTATTAATTGAAAAATAAATCCAAAATGTGCTCATGATTTAACTGCAGTGAAGTCCTCTATATACACTTGTCAAGAGATGTGAAGCTGAATTGGTTAAGACCTTGAACTGCTTCACACAGTAGTGTCTACTGTTTGACATGGTCAACAAGCAAGGTTACTTTTGATTTATATTTTGTTTTTGTTATTACTTAGTCAATGTTGACATCTTGCTGTTAAAAAGGGTCTGTGATCTATTTAAGGAAAGACGGATAAATTTACAGAAACACAGTCCGACGGAGTTGCTGGCGCCCACATCTGGTCCTTTGACAGCTGCCCGCCTGAGAACGAGTGCCTCAATGGTCACCACACTTGTAATGAAAAGACACAGAGCTGCATCGACACCCCATCCCACTTCAAGTGTGAATGTAAGAGTGGATATGTGGCCACACAGCAGTAAGTGCCTCTTCTGGTTTTCTACAAATACAAGGTTCACACAGGTTGGAAAAGGCCTTGGTTTGGTAGACCGGCCTGGAAAAGCCATTGATTAGGTATACCGGCCTGGAAAAGGCATTGATTAGGTATACCGGCCTGGAAAAGGCATTGATTAGGTAGACCGGCCTGGAAAAGGCATTGATTAGGTAGCCTGGCCTGGAAAAGGCATTGATTAGGTAGACCGGCCTGGAAAAGGCATTGATTAGGTAGATTGGCCTGGAAAAGGCATTGATTAGGTAGACCGGCCTGGAAAAGGCATTGATTAGGTAGACCGGCCTGGAAAAGGCATTGATTAGGTAGACTGGCCTGGAAAAGGCATTGATTAAGTAGACCGGCCTGGAAAAGGCATTGATTAGGTAGACCGGCCTGGAAAAGGCATTGATTAGGTAGACCGGCCTGGAAAAGGCATTGATTAGGTAGACCAGCCTGGAAAAGGCATTGATTAGGTAGACCGGCCTGGAAAAGGCATGATTAGGTAGACCGGCCTGGAAAAGGCATTGATTAGGTAGACTGGCCTGGAAAAGGCATTGTTTAGGTAGACTCGCCTGGAAAAGGCATTGATCAGGTAGACCGGCCTGGAAAAGGCATTGATTGGGTGTACACATGGAGGCATACTTTCACCCTTGAACGGTCTGATCATTTCATTGAAAACGCCTTAACTTTTGTCTGCTCAGCTTATTACTTCATTGAAATTATGCCAAAGAGATTTGAAAAAATAAATCCCTCAATTCCTTCAAGTGGATATTTAAATGTTAGGGAAGAATTTATGAGGTATGTGAAAATGGTAAACGTCATTCAGTGTGTGAAACAATAGAACAGTAGGTGTGAATTTGCCAATCAGTGTAAGGGATTTTATTTTATTCTCCGAGAGATATGCTGAAAACGATTTCCTTAATTTCTGTATTCCTATGGGAGGTACAACTGTCGTTGGCATAAGGACTGCATAATACCCAGTACCTTCTGTAAGTGGTTGCTAAGGGTACAACAGGTGGAAACCATGACTACAGAGAGTACTTGAATAGAAAAGCTGACAGGTGAGCTGTGCAGCCCAGTGTGTCACCAGTCACTGTATCCCTGTATTTGAGTTTGTGTCTGTTCCAGGGGTTAACTGTGTGGCCCAGTGTGTCACCAGTCACTGTATCCCTGTATTTGAGTTTGTGTCTGTTCCAGGGGTGAGCTGTGTGGCCCAGTGTGTCACCAGTCACTGTATCCCTGTATTTGAGTTTGTGTGTGTTCCAGGGGTTAACTGTGTGGCCCAGTGTGTCACCAGTCACTGTATCCCTGTATTTGAGTTTGTGTCTGTTCCAGGGGTGAGCTGTGTGGCCCAGTGTGTCACCAGTCACTGTATCCCTGTATTTGAGTTTGTGTCTGTTCCAGGGGTTAACTGTGCGGCCCAGTGTGTCACCAGTCACTGTATCCCTGTATTTGAGTTTGTGTCTGTTCCAGGGGTGAGCTGTGTGGCCCAGTGTGTCACCAGTCACTGTATCCCTGTATTTGAGTTTGTGTCTGTTCCAGGGGTTAACTGTGCGGCCCAGTGTGTCACCAGTCACTGTATCCCTGTATTTGAGTTTGTGTCTGTTCCAGGGGTGAGCTGTGTGGCCCAGTGTGTCACCAGTCACTGTATCCCTGTATTTGAGTTTGTGTCTGTTCCAGGGGTGAGCTGTGTGGCCCAGTGTGTCACCAGTCACTGTATCCCTGTATTTGAGTTTGTGTCTGTTCCAGGGGTGAGCTGTGTGGCCCAGTGTGTCACCAGCGATGTAACCAAGGCAAGTGCGTCCATCCTGACCAGTGTGAGTGCAACTTCGGTTGGGTTGGCGTCAGCTGCAACACCGAGTGCCAGTGCAACATGCACAGCAACTGTGAGGCTGAATCGAAAGCTGATAACTGCACCCAGTGCCTCAACAATACTCAGGTACAACACAACAGCAATACTTTTGAAAATACATGAACTCAGATTACAGAACAAGACCTGAACCTATACTCAACAATAAAAGTGATGCATGCATATTCTAGCATAATTGATTTTCGTTGAAGATTTTCTGAAAAAGTTCAATATTTTGAATTTTATGATTTACATTCAAGTTCTGGCTTGGAATTTAAGGTCAAAAGGTCAAGGTGACCCGAAATGGTCAGTCATTAGGTAGTTCTGCTTCTTTGTGTACTGAACCAACCCTCAGTTGGGATGACATGTTTGTAAGATCTTGCACCAAGTTTCCCAACTAGAAGTAATCTAGCAAGTGATTAACATGTCTTTAAACATGAAGTGTATGTTTTGTAATATGTTAGACTGGACATAAAAGGTGACTAACGGGATCAGGCGGTCAGACTCACTGACTTGGTTGATGCGTGTCGTATCCTAATTGCAAAGATCAATGCTCATGATGTCAATCACGGGATTGTCTGGTCCAAACTTGATTATTTACAGACCGCGGTCATATACCTAGAGTATTGCTGAGAGAGGTGCTAAACATGTCAAACAACAAAGTCAATAGTATTGTAGGCAGGGGCATGGGACTGGCTCTTTAAAGATGGACCTTCCCAAAGTGGAAGTGATACAGAATATTAAGGTAGTTCTGGACTTTGTTTTAAAGTCGCCAGGTCCTGCTATTTAACCACAACCATGTATTGGTGCCAATGGCATGTTTGGCATGCCAGGATGTGTAAGTATTGTTGAAGAAATTGATGTGAATTATTTGCAATGTGATGAGTCCCCTACAACATAGGAGTCCATCTCTCATGCCGCCTAATAGTGAGTTTGTTTATCAGGGAAAGGACTGCGGCGAGTGCAAGGAAAACTTTGTGGGCAATCCAAAGAAGGGAGGGAGGTGCATCCCCTGCCATCAGTTCTGCAACAACCACACGGACAAGTGCAGGCTGGATGTGAGTATAGCACTGGCACTTTTGGTAGGTACTGTATATTTATCACTTAATGCTAGGGTGTCACAGTATGCCTGTGTCGTGTTACACTATGTGTCATGATACTGAAGTCATGAGTAAGTGAGTGAGTTGGGGTTAACGCCGCTTTTAACAGTATTCCAGTTATATCGCGGCGTGTCAGCTTAATGTGGGAGGAAAGCCCGAAGTGATGCAGGTCTCAGACGTTAACCACTTTGGTGAAACCCACGAGCACGGGTATGGTGCTGACAAACCTATAAACATAATCGGGGCTAACCGGGATTCGAACCCACAATCATAGGTTTCTGGCGTGCTCAAGGGACGCAACTCTGCACAGCGAATCACGGCGCCTTAGACGACTAGGCCACCCGTGCCCCCACTGAAGTCATGAACCCGTGGGGTAAGGGTGAAACGATACATCGGTGCAATGGGAGTTTTCATGCGACGATACGATACACAATATGTTTCTGTTTGTATCGATACAAGGTGATACACTTGCTAAAATAAATTCCTTACTACTCGTTCAATGACCTCAGATTTTTGTCAGTCAAATATTGCAAAATGTGTTGTAATTAGCGTTCAAGTTCACAACTAAAAATAGCCACAATGAACATGTGTCTACAGCTAGATTTTCCTTTTGAAATATTTATAGTGAGCAGTTTCCACACAATTTGATGATACATATCGTATCTTGACCTTGCAGTGTCGTTTCACCCCTACTGGGGGCATTCTGGGTTAGAACTAGTTCCTTGCCACCCTGATCATCAGAGGCCACTAATGGATCGGGTGGTCACGTTCTGTGCTTTGGTTGATAGTCAAAGTACCCCGATGGCATGCATCATTAATCAAAACATCAATCACTGGATTGTCTGGTCCAGATTATTTACAGGCCACCGTCATATATGTAGAATATTGTAAAGTGTGGCATTAAACAACAAGCACACACAGTTTTGAGTCAAGACACAATATGATATGTGTGGCGATACTTAATTTGCGTGTGTTCCATGCAGAAGATTCTCTTTTGAATCATTTACTGTTAGATGGTCAGGAAGAAATATTTTGCATCATTGATAACCCCTCCCGTGAAGATCTGGGGTAGAATAGGTCTTCAGCAACCCATGCTTGCCATAAGAAGTGACCCATGCTTGTCGTAAGAGGTGACTAATGGGATCGGGTGGTCAGGCTTGCTAATTCATGTCATCATATCCCAATTGCGAGATCAATGTTCAGGATATCAATCACTGGATTATCTGGTCCAGACTTGTTTATTTGTAGACCACCATTGTATAGCTGGAGTATTGCTTAGTTAAACAAGAAACAAACAAACAAATGATTGATAACCCTATCTGTATTCTTACTGACCCATTGCCAGGGTGAACAAAGCGGCAACATCAGACGAGGGCCGAAAGATGTTGAAGCTGTATGTGTGGACTGCAAGCACAACACCCAGGGCATACAGTGCCAGATGTGTATGCAGGGACACTTCAGACTGCAGGAAGATCCCAAAACTAAAGAATGCACTGCGTAAGTTGGAATATTGTCACCATAGCACTGCCGACTTGGGTCTCTTTCTAAATCCCTCACTTATCTATTTACCTGCGTTACCGTCATATACATTTATCGTAACAGAAAATGTAATGTAACAATGATTAGGTGTCTTGCAAGAATTTTTAATCTTCAGAGCCGGGTTGTAGCCTAGTGGTTAAAGTGCTGGCACGTCACACCCAAGGCCTGGGTTTGATTTCCCACATGGATACAATGTTTGAAGCCCATTTCTGGTGTCTCCCTAACTTGATATTGCTGGAATATTGCTAATGAAAATGGGTACAAAGTTTGAAGCCTATTTCTGGTGTCCCCCAAATGTGATATTGCTAGAATATTGCTAATAGCATGTGAACCATACTCACTCACTCACTAATCTTCTGTGTACAGTGTACTGATGTCCGTCATCAGTTGCAGCATTGCTGCTAGAAACAAGCAGAATCTACTTCACATGCTCATTTTGTTGTATATTAAATAGGAAGAATTGGGAACGATGTGAGGAGATTATGTGGCTTCCCAAAAGGCATACCAATTTGCCATGCATTGATGATATTGTCTGGTGTCAGTGTCAGTATGTTACTGATGTTTTCAGGTGTCAGTGTAACGGCCACAGTAACATGTGTAACCGACAGACTGGGGAGAGTTGTCTGTGTCAGAACAACACAGAGAGCGAGTGTGACAAGGACAGCACAGAGCCATGTTGGCAGAGACAGGTAGGGCTGCAACTGCTATCAATGTATCACCTTTCTGTTGTCCTGATTTTCAATCACAAACAGGTAAACAAAGTAGCTTGGTATTTCAGACACTCAGTTGGCCCCAAATATTGTTGAAATAAGATGTACATCAACATAACCTTGCATTTTCATAACATAGTCAGGTTCGGGACTGGTAATTTATCATGAACACACAATGCCATTTAGAAAGTGGTCAAGTGTAACAAATGGTATATTTGGGATAACACTTTCTCTGTAAAGTACAGATTCTCTATTTCTCCTGTCCAATATTCACTTGTCAGAGGGGTACATAAAGTATGTGATCTAGACTACCAGTTGTCGGACTTCCATTTTTGTGGAAGCCTCGGTGGCAGAGTGGGTTAGATCGCTGACTTTTTGTGCTGGCGATTAGGTGCCTCACTCTGGCAGTGTGGGTTCGAATCCCAGACGGGACTCAACCCAAAAAGTACGAGAATCTGTACTTTACTGAGAAAGTGTTATCCCAAATATAATATTTGTTTCATGATAATTTATTATAGGGGTGAAGTGGGGTGGTAATGCGTCTGTCTGTCTGTCTGTGTGTAAGAGAGAGAGAGAGAGAGAGGGGTAGGGGGTGCAGTCCAAATTTCACAAATTGTTTTGTCTTTTCCTGACAAAATCCAAAAAGGTACTCACTGTGTCTTTATACAAACATTTGAGAGTGTATTGACACATCGGTTCAAGATGGTGGAAGGTATCCAGCAAGAACACGCTCTCTTCTTTCTTCTGTTGCACTAGGAAAGTTGTACTTGTGTTCCAGTGTTCTGAGTGTCGGGAGTACTTCATGGGGACACCCACCAACAACCATCAGTGTTACCGCCAGATGACAGTCGACAAGGAGTATTGCTTTGACCCCGAGACTCAGAACAACTGCAACCGGGAACCCATGGCGCTCAGACAAGGGAGAACTGTCTTTTTCGCAGTCCAACCAAAATATCTGAACGTCAATATTCGTATTACAATAGATGTGACGATGGGAGGTAAGATTTGATGTTGACAGATGTCCTGTCCAAAATGTCTTCATATTGATCTTCCATTCTCAATTATCCAGTGCCGTAAGTCTCGATTCAGTTTCAGTTCTATTTTGATAAATATTATAGCCCCGATCGCCACCATAGCTTCGTTTGGAGTCTGGACAGGATGGAGAGGCCAACATTTTGTTCAGAAGAGCGCTATAGTTTAAACATGACTCCAAACTTTTGTTTAAAAATGAAAGACTGCGAGCTTGGGAAAAGCCCGATACAAGTAAACCGTCTCAGTGCAAGAAATACCAGAAAGAATAAAAAAATCATTGGGGTACGATATCGTGAAATAATACAGTAGTCACGTGGCATATACAATGCCAAAAAGCAGGGATAGTGGGCGTCATCAAGATCTCCTTATCTATATGGTGATGGCAAATGATATGATCATATCTGCTGGGGAGTAGATCAGATCTAATGGGTTCTAGTGATTGGTGTGATGAGATGGGGGTACACTAGGTCATTAAAGGGGTCAAATTTGAAATTTTGCAGCCAACGTCTCTTATATCGGGTAAAACCACCTCTGTTGGTCAGACATGCACTATACTATTTAAAATACCCTTGATCGCTGTTGATCAAAGGATGGTAACCTAAAGAGCAATAGGATGAAGTCACTGAAGGTTTATAAAAAAAATTCATTTCAAGAACGAGATTTTCTGCAACATTTGTGAGGACAGAGATCGAGATAGTGACGTCACTTCCAGATGAAGCTATGGTGGTCAATGGGTCATATTTGTCATTATTCGATGGAGGTATGATCAACTGGATAATCAAGTATATGGAAGTTCTAGAGACAAAAAGATCTCCAGTCCAAAAGAGATTACAAACATGAGTATTTGATGGCCACAATGCCTGTAAAGCATTTTTTTAATCATGGTCTCTGAGTGCTCCTTTGTAGACGGCATGTCAGATTGTTCGGTACATATTTATTTTTTTTATTATTATTATTATTATTATTATTATTATTATTATTATTATTATTACAACTGCTAAAGACCCGTGAAGATTCCGGGGTAGAATAGGTCTTCAGCAACCCATGCTTGCTGTAAAAGGCGACTATGCTTGTTGTAAAAGGCGACTAACGGGATCGAGTGGTCAGGCTCGCTGACTTGGTTTGATGCATGTCATCGATCCCAATTGCGTGGATCGATGCTCATGATATTAATCACTAGACTGTCTGGTCCAGACTCGATTATTTACAGACCGCCGTCATATAGCTGGAATATTGCTCAGTGTGGCGTTAAACAACAAACCAAACCAAACCAAAATACAACTGCTAAACTGTAGATTATTTTTTCCAGGGGTGGATGTGTATTTCTCTAACAAGGAAAACACATTCCGTGTGATAGTTGGGAAGGGGACTGGCATCCACACAATAGACATGGACAAGAATGCACTGGAAAGTAAGCTATCAGCTGTATCTGAATCCCAAGGGTTCTTCAAGGACGAAAGAAAAGCCAATGACCTGAACACTTTCATCACAATATATCAACAGAATACCATCCTAAGAGTGCGTGATGTTAGATTCCGACTTATTATTACCCTGCCCCGCGACAATCATGAGCTGCGAACAGCTCGTTTCTACTTGATTCTGAAAAGCCAGGGCGACGGAAACCATAACGTGACGTATGGCAGTTTGTACTTCCGTCAAGATCAGCCTCACATCGATCTCTTCGTCTTCTTCTCTGTCTTCTTCTCCTGCTTCTTCCTCTTCCTCGCCATGTGTGTGATGCTGTGGAAAATGAAACAGGCCTTCGACGCACGGCGCACACGCCAACTGCGAGCACGGGAAATGGAGTGTATGGCATCACGGCCGTTTGCCAAAGTTCTTTTACTAGTGGAACCTGAGCACTCTATCACCATGCCAGCTATGATGCCTAAAAGGACTCGTGCAACGAAAATCACTCGAAATATTCACCAAATCGAGAGCCCTCTCCATATCCCCACGTACAGGGATGACCATTTGAACATTAATCCCATAGCAATAGAACCAACTGACGACGGCGTAGCGGCAGTCGGGACAGTTCTCATTCAGTTGCCAGGGGGGAACAGTGTGCCCTCAAAACTGTGTCTAGGGTCTGCATTAACAATGCGAATTAACCCACCAATTTCTGCAACTAAGAACATGCGCCGGAGGCCGAGTGCATCGTCTTGTTGATTGTTCTTGTTGTCGTGCATGTGGATGAATGGGGCCTATCTGGTCAAAGTGAATGGATTCAATTTGTGATTCTTGGGAATTTTGAAGATTACAGGTTTAACCTTTTTTTTTAAGAATGTCTGTGTTGCTGTTCTCTTTACCAGTACAATGGTTACATGTATGTCAAAGACCTCCATTCTGTGTCTGTGGGTACCAGTTACAACTGTTACATGTGTGTCAAAGACCTTCAACCTGTGTCGGTGGTACCGGTTACAATGGTTATGTGTGTGTCAAAGACCACCAATCCGTGTCGGTGGTTACCGGTTTATGGTTATGATCTGTCATAGACCTTCAATTTGTGTCTGTGGTACCAGTTAAAATGGTAAGGATGCGTCAAAGATCTTCATCTGTGTTGGTGGGTATGGTACCAGTAAAAATGGTTAAGATGTGTCATAGACCTCTATTCTATGTCTGATGGTTGGAGAGCCGTCAAGGAAGAAAGGGAGGAGTGCCAACTGCCATTTCACGACATATACTATGTATTTCGCCTGTGGACCTGTTGTGTGGACCAGGTATGTTTCCAGCATCCTAGCCCACTTTTAACCTCTTTTTTTGTGCAAGGGATATGCAGTTTTTTGGTGATGATTCCATGACATAAAGTCACTGTCACGGCCAACTGTTCCCTCCGAGATCCTTCAGTGTGATAATATTTTGCAGACATTAACAATAATTACTTCAGAGATAGAACTTAATTAAGCAGAATGCCTTTTGAAAGAAATACTCTTACATGTTGTGGCTGGTCTGCAGTGAAAGTTAACTTCTGTCCCTGTAATTAATTCGTCATGGCATGTTGAATTTACTTTTCTTTTCAACAATTTGTTTTGAAATGTTAGTCAAATTTTACATTGTCATATTGATACTTAGAGAATGTCATAATACATCATGCCATGTTTGGGTGTACAGAAAGTTTTGTAGATCCGACTGAGGTAATTAATGATGCATGTTTTCGACAGTTGATGATATTAAGGAAACAGGTATATAACCTTTCCAATTTCACCCATGTTACATTGTATTGTGGGATATTAAAATGTGTGCCACATGCCTATGACAGAAATTTGTTTCTGAACCTCAAAAAGTGTAAAATGATCCTAATTGGCTTTGCTCTAAAGATATGTGTAACGCATCGGTTTTAGACTTTACACTCTGCTTGAAAACTGAAATGTGCGACTAAGCAACGCTTGAGTGGTACATGGGCATTGACCATGTACTCAAGTGTCTTCCAAGTAAGTGAAACAGTTTCACCATTGAAAACTATATGTAGAATAAAAGAAAGCCTTGTGCAGGTTAAGGGATTAGAGCGGATGCTGATCTCACAGATCATACAGAGCTTAGTTTAAGTGCATTTTTCTGAACATATATGTAGATGGCATTTTTTTCAATACAATTGTAGATTTAGTGGGGAGAGGTCTACAGAGGTTAGATATTTCACTGTGTACAAAGTGATCAGCTGGGACATCTCACTCCTTTTTGACTCATAAGCGTAATTTCTGTGATAGGCGTGTCCAATGCCTCTGATGTGAGAGGACTTTGCTGAACATGTCATGTGTACGTTGCAATATTCACCAACAGATATGCACATTTATGAGTTCAGTTGTCTGTTTACTTAACAATCATGTCTTTGCTGGATTTGAGAAGGCATAAGATGATTTCTTGTAAAATATTGATTGTACTTGTTTATTGCAATGCGAGCAATGTCAATGCAGTTACCATGGTTATGGATGGGTATGAATGCTTGTAATGGATGCCTACCGTAATACCAATCTGGAGTTTTTACACCTTTTTCTGGGGCTGTCATTGAAAAGTTTTGGTGTCAGTGATAATTAGGCCACACTTATGGGTTTTATTGTTCACAGATTGTTTGCAAACAATCAGCATTGGTTGGTGGAAATGAAAATACAAATTCTATTTTGTGGCTAAATATTTTATTTGGTGAATAGGTTTTGAGGTTAGTCGTTAAGGGGGAACATATATGCTAATTTTTGGTATATTTTCTGATTGTCTATATTTGGCCATGAATCCATGAACATAAAAATCTTATAAGTGAAACAAATTACAAAACTGATTGATGCATTCCAAAATATTCCTTGTCACACAATTTGCAAATAGGCATAGGAGCATTATGTGCAAGGTCACAAATTACGCTTAACCTAAATATATTTTTTTTCATACAACAATGCAAATAATTGTGTTTGGAAGTCAATTTGTGTATGAACTTGACTGGTATGCCAAGAATAAGGTGCACTTGAATTTATATTAGCACTAGTATAACTCGCATTACTTTATTCTTTGGTTTGAATATGGTGCTGAAGTTTCTAATCAATGACAGCCCTACTTATTTGCTGACTGTTTCAATTAATCCTTGGACATACTGGCCATCTGTTCTTTCATCAGTAATGAGAGATGTTCTGACATGAACTGCCACTTATTTGATATTTGATTTGTATTTGGGAGGTGGGGTCTAGTGCCGTATTTAACAGTATTAGTTCTCTCATGTCTTGTCAGCTTAATGTTGGAGGAAAGACCGAAGTGATCTTACATCTTAGAGGTTTGCCTTGTTGACCAAGGAACATTGGTGTGGTGCTAACAGACCAAGGATAATAATCAGGGCAAATCTGGGAATTGAACTGAGTTTTGTGGATCCTGGCAAATCCAAGGGATGCAACTCTAAAACTTCCATCCAGTGGCGGTGTTAAGTAAGACAAATGCTTTGACAATATATGTTTGAATGCAAGAGTTGTGTTTGGGATTTAGTAGCCAGTTTGGACATGGATTGTTGGAACATAGTCAGTGCTAGACGGCCTTGGTAATAACAGCTGGCATGAGTGAATGTGGAAAACATTTGTTTGAATTTTAATCAGTTCTAATTTGTTATCAGTGTTGCGTTTCAAGACATACCACATTCCGCAGTGATTGGCAGTTGACCACATCCTAGAGGACCGAGTCAGTATATTGCTTGTGTTATTAGGGCAATAGGAGAAGAACACCCTTATAAGAGAACTCAGGAGTGATGGTGTTGCCATGTCATTAGGCAGTCCAGGCTCTGTTACAATGAAATTAGTGAAGTTATTAATGGCCTCTTTTTATCTAAATATAAAACATCACCAGAGAATAACCAGCCTCGATTATCCAACAAAACAGATTCCATTGGGTGTAAAAGACAAAATATCAGTGAAAATTATTTGAGTGGATCACTGAACTTTTAGAGACACGTCTTTTTTGAGTCGCTTGTTCAGACAATGTTTTGGTGTATTTGTTTTTGGAGGGGGAGGATGGTATTTTCTGATTCGAATTATTATTTTCAAAAGACCAAATTGGTTCTTAGTAATGTGGAGGGCCAATCGCTAATTGGGTTTAGTTACTTTGCTAAGAGCCTTGTCTTGTGGCCAATGCATTATGACTGAATGGGGAGTTTGTGTATGATTGAGATAGGTTTTTTTTCCCCTGTGGCTGTGGTCATGTCTTGAAAGCAGCTGTTGTCATTCATCCCAGCATATCCATGTCATACAATTCTGTCAATATTCCATTGTTAATCCACCTTTGAGTTTGCTGATTGTGTTAGCTTTACCATGTATACTTACAAAACATATACTCCAATCAAGGTCATGCTTTGTGGGAAATTTCCATTTAAAATGAAGCTTACAGTCACGAACCAAGAGCACATGTGGAGGAGGTTTTTTTTCAATGTGATGATCATTGGTAACCATTGGTAACACATGAAGATCTGTAATGTCCATCTTTTAAAAACATTATTTAAAGAAGAGTTTGGTTTGAATTCTCTCAGTTTCATCTAATATATAGATTGCATTGTATTCAAATTTTGATTGAATCTCATCAAGATTCCAGTGTGTGAATATACTACTAAAAGAAAAGTCAAGGACCACCCAATTCTTTCATGTTACTATAGTTACCATCTTGGCAAGACAGATTAACTATAGTAATATGAAAGAATCGGGATTGGTTTCTATATGTGGTGGCTGTGGTCATGTCTTGAAAGATCTTGTTCATCCCAGCATTTCATATCTGTTGTTAATATGACAAGTTAACTATAGTCATATGAAATATTCGGGGGTCCTTAACTTTTTATTTGAGTAGTATATAACATGTCATGAACATTTGAAGCTTTTCAAACAAACTCCATGTTCCCAATATTTGAGGTGAAATTGGAGTTGTTAACCAGGGACGGTCAGGTAGCCTAGTGTTAAAAGCGTTCGCTTGTCACGCCGGAGACCTGGGTTCGAATCCCCACATGGGTACAATGTGTGAAGCCCATTTCTGGTGTCCCTCACCATGATATTGCTGGAATATTGCTAAATGTGGCATGAAACCATACTCACCCACTCACTGTAAAGTTAACCTGAGTGTTTAATAGAGGGACATGTGTTGTCCTTGTTTCCACACTGCCTGTCATGTCATAGCTTTTGAGTTTGTCTGTTTTTATTTTTTGGTTGTTTGTTGTGAAGTTCAACATCAGGACATGATCCAGCATTGTTCTTCATTTCATCCCAATGAGTTCATTTCAAGTCAGTTGTTAAATGTTCTAGTCTCCTGTTTTGTTGATATGAATGACTTCCTGCGTGGACAAGTTAGAGGAAATGTTTATATGTTCAAGTTCCAGTGATGCTCCATGGCTCAATACTTGTGAAGCTTTCTCCTCCCCCGACATGTGTCCTCCCATGTCCTCTGTACATACACCTGGTGTACACACCATGCATAATTCATTGTAAATGCTTTTCTTCAGACCTCACTTAGTCCACAGGGAACAGAGACAACTCATCCGCAGATGATCAGATGCTTGTGGGAATTTTAGGGGATTTTTACAGATGCTGATGCTGAGGCATGTTTGTCATGGATGGCCTGATTGATTGTGGATCACCTTATCAATCGGGTTGATTCAGTGTGGAAACCCATGGGTGTTGTCAGCGTATCCAGAAAATTGGGGTTGGTACAATGTTGGAAGCCCTCCTTCAGACTGATTTAGGTATTTATACCAGTGGAGTTGTATGTGGCATTCCAACAAGATGACAGCTGGGGACACCAGAATTGGGCCACACCATGGAGGAGGAATCAGAGATGCTTTGTGGGGACAAGCGGCTGGCTGGCCTAGTGTGGATGTTTACTCCAGTCTTGGCTGATTTGCATCTGCTGCTTGGGAACTGCATGGGTGGCCACTGACAACTTTCAACATAACTGCAGTATCAAATATATGTCTCTGCCCACTGGGATATTGGCAGCATGCTATTGGCTGGCTGGCTGGCACAAAGATTGTGTTTGGTATTCTGTCTCTCTTGAGGAGTTGTCTCTGTTTCACTGACGAGTAGGAACTTCTCGTAGGCACGATTAGTAGGACTTCATTATGGATCCTAGATTAGAATGATGTCAGCCTACTTTTGTAAGATTTGTACATAATATGGAGCCCTTGCATGATATGTTATGAGTGCATGTGATATTTGCCCAGTTTTTGTCATTCTAGTCTAGAGAACATTCATGGTGTACATGAACCACAAGTCCTTTGTGGCAATTTTTTGAATATTTTGTATAAATTTGTCTTATACATATGATATTGGTAGCTGTGAATATTTTAGTTGTAAGATATGTATGTATCAATGAATTGATGATCAAATTTGTTCTGGGGATCAAAAGAACCGTGATGAAGAAAAAACAAAATTGTGTGTTTAAGCGCCTGTGTCAAAGTATGTACTAACATTTTTGTGATATCTGGTTGTCAAATGGCAAAATTTCTATCAAACTATTTCATGTGATATAGAAATTAGCAAAGACCTATAACTCAAATAAGTAGAAATTGTAGGTTTTTGTACAAATCTTATCTCCTGTATTCTGTAGGTGAAGTGTTGAACTGTAAAACTTGCCTACAGGAGACTTAGTCCTTCATCTTCAGGGCTGACCATTTGATATTGTTTGACCCGTACTACTCCAACAAGTTAAGGAACACCCACAACTGGAAGGCTGTATGCTACAATACCAACCAGCCATGACAGATTAACCATAGTCATAGGAACAAATAGGCTGGCCTTTAACTTTTTCAGGTAGTTTATTCAGGGTGGAGAAGAGCTGGGATTTTTGGCAAAGAGAAAAGATTTCTTCAAGCAGAACCTGGAAAAGGAAAACAGTATTTGGCCTTTTGGCAATTAAAAGATAACTTTCACTGGACATGCTGTATGCCCTGGAAACAAATGTGGTGTGGTTTCCTCCAAAATGTTGACTCCCCCCATTCTTGAAGCAGAGGCAGAAACTGTCATGTTGCTGACAAAATTCCTCCCACTCCAGAATATCAAGTGGTTGGCCCCTAAAATGTTACTACCATTCATCGAGACCATCCTCTGTTGTGATTTGAAAAATCCACTTTCTGGGCTGGCAATGATTAAAGAAGGGCCCTGCCAGTGTATTTAATGTAGTCCACCTCATGCTTTTATCTATTTCAGCTTCTAAACTCTTTCGTATTGACCTCAGATTATATATGATTCAAAGAAACCTTTTTGGTAATGCTTTAACCTATTTTATTGTGTATTCTCGAATAGGTCAGTGATTATTTCAGTGGGCATTTAAATATTCTGTCGGTAAACACGTCCTATTGAGCATATTATCCATGAAAGTTCAAGTTCAAAAGAACAGAATTTGTTATGTTCAGTTTTTATTCAGTCCATCTACATATATTTCTTTGTTATGATTTTTGTCATTTTGAAAAGGTCTGCAAATATGCACCTGACAATGAAATGTTAAGAATGATATACAGTTTTGAAAATGGCATTGTAAGCATGAAATGCTTATTGCAACTTTTTATTTTATAGGTCAAATTTTTACTTGTGATGTATACATCCATGGTGTACAGTACTGATATTTGGTGACTCATTTACATTCAAACAATTCCGCAAATTGTGCTAACATTTAGAAGACAAAAAACATTTACTGAAAATTATATGACTATTTTCAGATTAATTACTTGATTAACAATTAACAGCCAGTTAAATCCTGCTTTAAGTAATGGGGGAAATGGCTCAGATTTAAAAATGAATCAGAAACTACCTGACTGCATACATGGTCTGTGACCAGAGGGTAAGTCTTCCAAGTAAGAAACGTGTATGAGGATGTAACCTGGTACTACTTTCTAATCGAATGTGGACTTTCAGTACTTTTGCATCGAGCTGTAGATCTATGTCATGATCTAGTTAAAGTTGTAGGTCTGCTACAGATGTTGTCAAAGTTAAGGAGAAACATCTGAATATTGTGTAGGAGTTGTCTGAAACCAAACATGATTTTGTCAGTCAGTGGAAAGTTGAAGGAGCTCTTGGGAGGTTATTTGTCATTTGGAGACTTGGAGTTTTGTTTCATCACATGTTCATCAGAAGAATAGTATGGAAGGTTAACTGCCTTATACCTGGTGATATATCAGTGTTCATTCTTATACAGTTGTCATGTAAGGCATGGCTTTCATCTGTAGCTACATGCAATTGTTCCCAGGATATTTGATGGGCCTGGGAGGAGTGAGCGAGTGAGTTTGATTTTACGCCACTTTCAGCACTTATTCAGCAATATCATGGCGGGGGACACTTTCACCACAAGACTACCCGACTACCCTGGGATTGTGGGGAAGAAGGAAAGGACAACTTTAATTAGTGAACAACTAAATTTCTCAGAGAAGATTTATGTATTTGACACAATATGTACTTTAATATGTCCATGAGAGATATTTCCAGTTGAGTAGGTGGTGCTGTTGGAGGAATTACCCGCCAAACATTATCTCACTTGCTCTACACCAAATAATCTTTCTAAGAGCTCCTTCAACAGATATAAGTTTGAATTTAATGTGCTCAACTGAGAAGTTCATATTTTTGCTGGCTGTGTAGGTACATACTGCTATGCTTGTACTATTCAACATCTATTGGCTGCTTACATACAGCTTTGAACCCATTGTACAGTAACGTTCTTGTAGAACTGGATGCTGATTTTGAATTTGCCTTCACAAACTCCATGCTGTTGAACATGGAAGAATGTTACTGTAGGAGGAATTTGTCGCTGTGGAGAGCAGAAGTAGTGCTAGCTATGCTCCTGCAGGGGATGTTTCCCCTGATAAATAAGTTTAAATAATCTGAGTGCCAATATGGTTTAACATGTACTTAAGATGTACAGCATTACAGTATTATATTACTATGTTTAAGATCAAAAGCATTTAGTGTTCTATTATTTGTTAAATCTACTTATTTTATACAGCTATATCAAACAGTTTTTGTGATATGTTGCGAAAGAAGATGCCCCGTGTTTGTTTCCAAAGCATTCATAGTGCTAGAATTGGATGGTTGGGAACGGGTAGCCTTGTCAACTGAGGCACCAGATTTTGCTGTGTCCCTTTGGCATGTCTTAAACCTATGGTCAAGGCTTAGCATCCCGGATTTGATCTGAATATGATTCTAGGTGCTCGATGACCCCACAGAAGTGGTAAACATCCAAGACCTTCATGTTGTGAGTTTGTCTCGCATCAAGCTGATATGCCCTGATATAACTGAAATAATGTTACAAGTGGTGCTAACTCCAACTCACTCCCCCACTTGGATGAAGGCTTACAATAGTTGTAGCACTCTGATTGTTTTGTCTGATGGACCATGGAATAAGGAAATATTCATTTTCTGATTCTATAGGAATTTTTATCGATATATGTGGATGTTGTCCAGAAATGTATTTTGTCTACAAGATTGAAGATTCTTGAAGACCAGGTCCATGTAGAAGAAATAAAGACATGTTCTGTTGGATTGCAACATGGAGATGAAAATACCTTGTGAATCTCAAAATTTCAAGACACGTAAGCTGTTGTATTTTTTAGTTCATGATATGATAATCGTTTCCTAGTGAAATGTTCATACAGTGATCCCTTGCTAATAGGCTACGTTTGGGGGTCCTAATAATTGCTGATCGCTATAGACGATGAGCAGTTTAACCGAGGTGGAGTCGTAGGAGTAGATGACCAACACAACAGTACATGCTCGGTCTGCCTAACACGATCTGTACTATATGTTGCATATCAGAGTTTGAAAAAAAGATTAGAATATAGTAGTTGTTTATGATTTATAGTGTAAAAAAGATTTATCCAGTGTTATGCGCAGTAAAAAACTACATCGTATCCCTTCAGGGAATTCAGGTGAATGAACAGGTATAACAAACCTGGTCAATGAAATATTTAAGATTAACACATCAGTAGACATGATGATTTACCATATAAATTGTATTTCCTGCTCTCCAAGGCATTGTTTTATATGCAGAGATTAAGATTACTCTGTGTATTTCCTCGTAAACCTAGCCGGAAATAGCAATCAGCTGTGCACACATTTTCTCCCGCTCTTCCGGTGATTCAGATACAAACTACCCAGTGATACAATTTCAAAGAATTTTGATACAGTTGTCGGAAGAAATTGTATCTGAAATAATTATTTTATCAGAAATAATATATTCCAATATGGTGTTACTTTAGTTGCAGCTTTTACTGCACATATTTAGAACGATTAGAACCAGGACCTCAGCACTTTGTTACAGCTGATTTCTATTGCCGGATATTTTTTAGGTATGGAACAATTTATTTATCAGTAGCATTTATTTATCAGTTATAGATACTATCAAACTATTGTAAAGCTTTTCTCTACCTTAAAGAGAATTTGTGCAATATGAATATGACGACGGGAATAGTATTACAGTACCTTGTTATTCTTTTGGAGATTGTGGCAAGTTTCGAATCTGTTATGGATAGCGATGAGAAAAGTGATGGAATCAGGTTGGCTAGTTCTTTAATTTGTGATACGGCCAGTAAGTTAGGTGTATACACAGTTGTGTGCTTGTGTGTCGCCCTCTAGTAGATTGAATGGCGATATTTGATACGAGTCCCATCATGCCTCATTGCTATCACCGTATACACTCATCGCCATCGCTCACTGAAGTCTCAGACTCAATAAATCATCATATATAAGACTACCAAGTTTGTTTTTCTTTCCTGTGAGTATGACGATATGTGGGAAAATGACCAATTTGTCTTAGGTGTCACGAATTGCAGTGCAGAGTTGCAACCCTACTACCTCATTTTCGCCCCTGCTTTCGTCTGTATGGACAAAGCGGTAAATGCCAAAATTTTGTGTCACTTGGAGCTGAGGTTGTACAGGTTGTGATTGTGACTGGGTTCTGCAAATGACAGATGACCCCGGATACGGACAGAATCACGGGAGGAGAGTTGCACATGTACAGGTTGTGATTGTGAGTAGGTTCTGCAAATGACAGATGACCCTGGATACGGACAGGATCACGGGAGGAGAGTTGCACATGTACAGGTTGTGATTGTGACTGGGTTCTGCAAATGACAGATGACCCTGGATACGGACAGGATCACGGGAGGAGAGTTGCACATGTACAGGTTGTGATTGTGACTGGGTTCTGCAAATGACAGATGGCCCTGGATACGGACAGGATCACGGGAGGAGAGTTGCACATGTACAGGTTGTGATTGTGACTGGGTTCTGCAAATGACAGATGGCCCTGGATACGGACAGGATCACGGGAGGAGAGTTGCACATGTACAGGTTGTGATTGTGACTGGGTTCTGCAAATGACAGATGGCCCTGGATACGGACAGGATCACGGGAGGAGAGTTGCACATGTACAGGTTGTGATTGTGACTGGGTTCTGCAAATGACAGATGACCCTGGATACGGACAGGATCATGGGAGGAGAGTTGCACATGTACAGGTTGTGATTGTGACTGGGTTTGGCAAATGACAGATGACCCTGGATACGGACAGGATCACGGGAGGAGAGTTGCACATGCACAGGTTGTGATTGTAACTGAGCTCTGCAACTGACCCCAGCCGGGGGTGAGTGGTTTAAACCTAACGCGGGACTCATAAAACCCCATGTACCCTGAGTGATACTCCTACAACGAATTTATCTTACCGACATGTTTTAATCTGCTATTGTGAAAGAATTAAAACAAATTCAAAATTGATAGAAAACAGCTGTTCGGTTGAGCTGAGGTTAACTTGTGCTATGTAACGTGACTGTCATTGACCCCGAAAAACGTGAGGCTTTTTGAATGGAAGCGGGGTATGAAGGATTTTGACATTTTGACATGGAGGTATGAGAAAAAAAAGGTTTATTCATTTATACATATACACAATAGATATATCGCCGCTTCTATTACAAAACTTCGTATATACAATTTTGCCACAAATGCGTTTTTGCAGTTATGTGATGAACCCTAAGTTTGACATGTTCTCAGAAAGTTTCGTGCTTTTAGTCCAGTATAAACAGTGTTACATAAAAAAAATGTCATAACGTCGTATTTGATTGGCTGGTATAATTGGTGGCAAAACCTCGTATGCGTTTTGAGGACCATCATTTGTAACATGTGATATCATGATATCATAAACATGCCACTCGTGATAGAAAGTACCATTTAAACGGCGATGATAATTTGCCTGAAGATGTATGCAGTGAGTGAGTGAGTGAGTATGGTTTTACGCCGCTTTTAGCAATATCCCAGCAATATCCCGGCGGGGGACACCAAAAATGGGCTTCACACATTGAACCCATGTCGGGAATCGAATCCGGGTCCTCGGCGTGACGAGCGAACGCTTTAACCACTACACTACCTGACCGCCCCTTTGCACTGAAGATAGGGACCATGATCATAACCTGTGTTCCGAATGTGGATGGTTCGGGGCTTAAGTGAGAAACGGACACTATCTATACTCATTCATAATGTGTTCACTTTCATCGTTGCCGTAGAACTGTGTGTCAAGTATGATGTCCAGGTGGAAGCAGCTTGTTCAACTTTCCCTTAAAATAACTGCTAATAAATGTGAATCTTTCAATGACACAGGAACAGAATCAGGAAGATTATGTTCCAGGGAAATCCTCTCTTGAAGTTCTGAAACAGACAGCTATAGAACCTTGAGGCATAAAGGCAGTAAAAGGAAATTGAGGCAAGCTTTTCAAAATGAAGAGACAACGTAGTGGGAAAAAAAAGGTTTGGAAAACAGAATGCTAAGGAAGCTGAAAAAGTACCAAGAAAGGAACAGTAAAAACAAGAAACGAAGATGAAAAGTATAACGTCAGAGGAAAGGTGAGTGAGTTGGGTTTAACGCCGCTTATAACAGTATTGCAGTTATATCACGGCGTGTCAGCTTTATGTGGGAGGAAAGCCCGAAGTGATGCAGGTCTCAGACGTTTACCACTTCGGTGAAACCCACGAGCACGGGTATATTGCTGACAATCCTAGAAACATAATCGGGGCGAACCGGGATTCGAACCCACAATCATAGCGAATCGCGGCGCCTTAGACGACTGGGCCACCCGTGCCCCCGCAGAGGAAAGGAGAAAGGGGTGAAAGGACATCTGTTTGTAGGAACTCCTAAACCCTGAAGAAAATGCATGTCTACGACAGTGCAGTTCACATGGAGAGACAAAGAAGTTGCAGCAGTTACTGAAAGACAGATAGAACACAAAGGTGAAAGAATAGTGAAAAGACAAAGACCCATGCAAGACACAGATTAAGTGGAAATAAGTATTGAAAGACAGATAGAAGAAGAAGTTGAATTTATATAGAAGTACAGTTAGACAACGACGTTGAAATTAGAACTAAAATACCGATAGAAAATGAAGCTGAAATAAGAACTGAAGGACATTCATACAGTTGTGGAGTCATGGTCGATTCAGAAGTACAGATAGACAAAGAGAACTAATCAAGGACTGAACCACAGATAGACAATGAAACTGAAGCAAGGACAACCCGGTAACTACAGTCTGAACCATATGTTGCAGCAATCCTGTGCGCGGTATACTGGGGTTGGGTGGGCTGGGTTCATTGTCATAGTCCCAACAGTGTCTCTTTTGCCTGTTCATCATTTGTGGTAAATGCTACCCAGTTAGTATATGTCTCGGCGGCAAAATGACCACCAGCAGTCAAATCGACTTGGTTAATGTAAATAAAAACGAAAAAAAACCCAGAAAACCCTAACTTGATTCCTTTCATACAAGAAACTCGGGTAAATAACAAGACCGGCAAAGGCAAAACAAGGTAATTTGGCCAAGACGTTTAACTTAAGTTTCAGGTATATCGATTATCTGATATCGTTCAATAACGATCATAATTCCCTTCCACTGATTTGCCCACATGAACTAGAAATATTGGAAACCAGTGAGACCGCCCCATCTGTTTCATAGTTAGATCTATTCATAAAGATTCAGAGTGACAATACAAGCTCCACAAGTCTGTATGACAAGAGGGATGACTTCAACATTCCAAGTCTACTTTCCCTTCATGTCCTGCAATACTCCAGCGGCTCAAGCGTTTGGTGTTCACATATCACAACTTTGGAGGTACAATATAGCAGGTCCTTTCTACCAAGATTTTAAAGAGCGTCACACAACTCTTGCTCAGAAGTTTTTTTTATCAATATTCAAGGCCTCAGTAAAGCTTTAAAACGTTCTATGGTAGACATGTGGAGGACATTTTCAAATTTGACACATCAGTGACAAAAATGATATCCGATGCAATTCCCTATTTTTAAAAAGAAATTTGGCAACAATTGACTTGCCTTTGCATGTGTTTGTGACGGGTGCCACCGGTGGGAAGGATACGCTGCCAGCTAAAATGGATACTGTTCTCGAAAATATGTATTCATCTTTCAAAGCCTGTGTTCGAACTTCGAACTTCTGAGAGTAATACTCAAGCATTTTCGACAAATATGGGTGTAAGGCAGGGGTATATATTAAGCCCAAAAACATTATACTATTTTATCAATGAACTGGTTCTGCATGGATATGTATAAATGTATAAACACAAGCAATTGAGGATCATTTTGTGTGAATCTAGAGGCAACTAATTATTTTGGACGAGTTCTGTCAAACATGGCGTTATGAAGTAAATACGGATAAATGTAATACTATCGTAATCGTACTATCGTTTCTGTAATGGGGATTGTAGCGCAACATGAAAAATGGAATATTGGCTCTGCAAACCAGCAAGCTGTTACATAGAATTTAGGCATAACATTTCCATCTCTACTTAACTGGTCCAAATCATGTTCTTGCAAGTGAAGCTAGTAAATCATTGTTTCTTATTTGTCAACTTATTTTTATAGAAATAACCACTTATCACTTAAGTCAGCTTGTAGCACTTTTAACGGTACAGTTGCTCCCATTCTGCTATATGGTGTTGAAATTTGGGGAACTAGGTACAATGTTATTGACAGGATTCATGCCTCTTTCTGTCAACGTTATCTTACAGTTTTCATCTAATCAGCTTTTTGGGTGAAGTAGTTCACTATAACATGTGTACACTTTCTGAGGTTTGTGTTGTAAAATGTGGATTAAGTTGATAGGAATGGGCAATCTTCGATTGCCTTAACAATGTTATTATATGTTAAAATTGCTGGATGAAAATGGAAAATGTAATTGGGTGTAAGAAGTGAGAAATTTATTGTTTACTTGTGTGTTTCATTAGTATGGATAAGTCAAGATGTTGGAGATGTGTCAATGATTCTACATACCTTTCCATACATAAACGTGGGGGAATACGTATATATGCAAATGTGCAGGGGAGAACGTGTAAATGTTACAAAACTGGCACACGCATGTTCACAATTAAATCATTCTTAAGTATTACAGTAATCTCAAGTCTTCTTCAGCCTGAAATGCATATGACACATCTACATGATAGATCCTTCATACGAGCTTGGGGCGGTCGGGTAGCCCAGTGGTTAAAGCGTTCGCTGGTCACGCCGAAGACCCGGGTTCGATTCCCGACATGGGAACAATGTATGAAGCCTATTTCTGGTGTCCCCCACCGTGATATTGCTGGATATTGCTAAAAGCGGCGTAAAACCATACTCACTCACTCACTAATACGAGCTTTATGTGAAATTAGAATCTCTCTACATTATTTTAAGATTGATAATTACCGTAAAGTTTACCTTTCAAGCGCAATATGTAAATCATGTAACCTGGGAAGAATGAAGATGAATTTCATGTCTTGTATATTTGTGAAAAATATACAACTATATATTGTTGCTTAAAATATATTCATGTTAAGCTAACCATGTACAGTCTTCTAAACATTACAAATACTGATGTAATGAGAAATGTTGCTATTTATCTAAAACATTTATTTGCACTGCCTTCATATAAATTCTTTACTTAAAACTGTCATGTGACATTTCAGAATGTTCTTCACTTGTACTATGTTTGTGTTTTGTTTTTAAAGTTGACTATTAAACATGAAAACACGCCTCTTGTCTTGTTAATACGAGGATTTTTGTCACGCTGTATGCATAGATCTAAATAGGAAACACATGAGGCGGTTTCACTTGTCGCTTTTATTTATTTTTTTCGTGTGTTTGTCAAAAGACATGGCTTGCGTCTGTATGTGGCTGGATAACATTCTACACGATCTCTGTTGTAGGTTGGTGTACGTGCAGTATATGTATGTTGGCGTGCGGAGTATGACCTCTTAATACGCTGGGGGAATATATCCAAATGTGCAGGGGAGCACGTGTTAATGTTGCAACGGCGACGTGTGCCATACTCATAAGCAAGAATTATCCGACGTCAAATAATTTTCTGAAGCTACATTTTGACGTTTCCCTTTTCTTCCCTTGACTGGGGAATAACCATTAAATAAGGTAAGTAGAATTTCTGATACGTGTGTACTAACAAATGTAACGACCCGTGAAGATCCGGGGTAGAATAGGTCTTCAAAACCCATGCTTGCCGTAAAAGGTGACTATGCTTGTCGTAAAAGGCGACTAACGGGATCGGGTGGTCAGGCTCGCTGACTTGGTTGATGCATGTCATCGATCCCAATTGCATGGATCGATGCTCATGTTATTAATCACTGGATTGCCTGGGCCAGACTCGATTATTTACAGACCGTCGTCATATAGCTGGAATATTGCTGAGTGCGGCGTAAAACAACAAACCAACCAACATCAGCGGAAAGATGCTTGCGCTGAGACATCATGAAATCTAATGCTAACACCGTATTCGTGCGTGCGTGATTCCCGTGCAACCTTTCGAGTTGAGTTGATTAGTTCAACTGTCATATGGCCCGGTGACGCAGGGGTAGCATTATGCAGATGGTTGTTACAATGAATGCTCGTTCCACCCGTGACGAACAGGTCTGGTTGTTGATGAAATATAGTGAAAGCTAAATAGACAGATTTTTTATTCATGCACCGATTGTCTTTAAATGTAATATCCAGTTATGTAATCTCATACCAACTTTAACTGGAATAGGTCCAATAGCGATCTCCCGCTCTTACAACTAACAGACCAAGCGCATGTACGGATACAGCTTTTTGGGAAAAGTAGGGGTGCATTTGTGATCACGTTAACATACAAATGTTATTATCCCCCGCCAATTTTGTTTCCGGAGCATAACTTAGTAACCGTTCAATACCTTTTCATGAAACTTTGCAGGTCTGTCAAGTACATGCTGAACTGGTGCCTTTTGCTATTTAGAATTTTTAGAAATTTTTATTTTGTACGTTTCTATGGCAACAAGATGGACTTAGGTTCTGTGAGGGTAGGGTTAGTTTCAGGAGCATAACTCATAAACCGTTCAATATTTTTTCGTGAAACTTTGCATGTGTGTCAGGTACATGCTGAACTGGTGCCTTTTGCTATTTAGAAATTTTAGAAATTTTTATTTTGTACGTTTCCATGGCAACAAGATGGACTTAGGTTCCAAACTCTTTTTTTTCACAATTTCCATGACAAGTTCCACCTCGGTTAAAAAAGGTTAGGGTTTGTTTAGATTTAATTATGTCATAAATTCTGCATCAGGGGCGGGGGATATAGCCACGTTAGTGGCAACCTCTTGTTTAAACATAGTTAACCCCCCAAAACATGTTTGGTAGTCATGTTACCTTTTGCTGAAACAATGCAATGGATTAGTTCAGTGTTCAATACAATTGCACTCAAAATAACCCACCTTCTTATACAACTTCCGGGGTGGTCGGGTAGCCATTTCTGGTGTCCCCCGTCGTGATATTGCTGGAATATTGCTAAAAGCGGCGTAAAACCATCTCACTCACTCACTAATGCAGTAATGTGACCAGATTGGGAATGAGTCGCCTGTGACGTGATGATCGCCCGAGGGCTTTAGGCATAATATAAAGTGGAAGAACTCAGCAGAGGTAGCCAATATATTCAATGTGTCTCAGTCTGTCATTTGCAGACTTTGGAATAGGTTTCTGCAGACACAAAGTGTTAATGATCTGCCACACAGGGCGTCCTAGGTCAACAACTAAATGCAGTCTCGATTAATCAGAAACCAGGTTTCGAGAAATCGAGCCCAAACAGCCAATCAAATCGCTGTTCTCTTGCGCCAGGCAACCGACGTTCAAGATACTAACCAGACTATTAAAAATCACACACACGCTCCGGGACTACGTGTTGTACCAGGTGAAGTGAAATGGGGTTGAACGTCGCGTCCAAGATTATTGCACTTATATAAGCGACGTGCATGCACGTGTGTATGTGTGCATGTGCGCGTGCGCGTGCGCGCGCTTGTACGAGACCGGACTGATGCCGATTTATAGTGCTAGCCCACCGAGATACCATGCCGCAGTTTAACATGAATACCCCACTCAGACACAGTATACTCCAACCAGGGTACACTCCGAGCCGACCAGTCCTTGTTTTAGCCCCTTAATGCCGAGCGCCAGACACGGTAACAACAAGTACCATATTTTAACGTCTTTTTTAACGACCTTCCGCTCTCCACGTGTTGTACCACTGTTAACAAATCGACGCATCCAGCCAGAGACCAATAGTGTTTTGAGCGTAGAAACTGGGGGAATCGCCGATGTTCTCGTGTCATGTTTTCAGATGAGTCCAGATCCATTGGACGTTTTGGATATGCGTTGACATGTCTGGAGGCCTCCTAACATACTCGTTCGAACGTCCACGAAAGAAATATGGCAGATTTGCGGATGGGTCTGTAATAACATGAGGCGGGACCACTAAGACAGCCAGGACGCCACTGTACATTGCCCATGGAAGGAAGGGTCACAGGACAGTACTACCGAGACAACATACTGGCGCCGGTAGTTGTACCACGTGTCGTTTTTCAAGACTAATAATGCTCGTGCCCACCCTGCGTTTATCGTGACGGACTACTTCCAGCAGCAAAACAACCCCAGAATGCAATGGCTGTACCCCTAGAGAGCACGTTTGGGACATGACGTCAAATGCCAAACTTGGCTAACTGGGCCAAGAGGAGTGGACAACACTCCCTCAAATTGTCATTGGGAGATTGATTCGGAGGTAAAAACGAATGTTTGTCCAATCGTGAGGGCATGGCCCCTTAGATTTGACTACACACCCGTGTCCTCTTTCTTGGTTGTTTGTACTCTTACGACACACCACCACCACGTCCTGTTTGTTGTCATGTTACACCTAGTCCTTCCTTTTTCTTATTCATATTAGTATCTATTGTGTCTCCCTGTGCTGCGTGTCTAAACGCAGGGATACCTCATCAGATCATCCTTGACAATAAACAACACAACGCAATCAACAATATCTTCCTGCCAAGATTAATTTATTATCTGCATTCAATGATTCTATGATGAAGTAAGACAAGCTGGTGAGTCCGGCATCTGCCTCTATCAGATTCTAGGCACACTCTTCACGCTAAAGCTCATATTTGAACACAGCAATCATACATAGAGCACATACATCACAGTGACCAAATAACACCAAAGATAAACAGGTAGCTTTCATTCACAACACTATCACATGTTGCGAGTCTGAGAAGGTTACTCAACAGGAGGCCATGGCATCCATTGAGGCCATATCATCCATCATCATCCTCAGTCTGCCACAGTTAACTTTCACCATAGGGAAACAAAAAAATTCATGGCTCAGCAGTTGTTAGGTTGAAAGATGTGGAAGATATATTGTTCCTTCACATTTTAGCAGATTAATTGGGTTTTTAATAAAATAATGACTTTCAAAGATTCTACTATCACTCCTCAGTAGTGGGTGAGTGAGTATGATTTTACGCCGCTTTTAGCAATATTCCAGCAATATCACGGCGGGGGACACCAGAAATGGGCCCCACACATTGTACCCATATTGGAAATTGAACCCAGTCCTTGCCGTGATGAGCGAACGCTTTAACCACTAGGCTATCTGACTGCCCCTCACTCCTCAGTGACATTTAAAGAACGCTAGTGAACAGACAGCGCAAACTCTCAGTTGTGTAGTAACTGGTAAGCGGGTTTAGGCTACACGCATGGTGGCAACTCAGCCTTTAGACATTAATTAATATTTTCACCACACTGCAACAAAGATCTACCTATACTCCACCTATGGTGAAAGCCGTAATCTACAAGGAGTTGAGTGAGTAGCATTTAAGCCACTGTTAACAGTATTCCAGTCATATCACAGCATGTCAGTTTAATGTTAGAGGAAAGCTCGAAGTGATGCAGGTCTCAGACGTTTACCACTTCGGTGAAACCCACGCCCCAAAACGTAATCAGGATGACCTAGGATATGAACCAAAAATCAAAGGTTTCTGGCATGTCAAAGGGGCATAACTCTGTACAGTGAATTGCGCTGACTTAGACGACTCGGCCTCTATCTATAAGAACATCTATAAGAACATGACACTAGTCTTTCCTGAATAGTACAGGACTCAGACTAGCAGATGTTATTTCAAACCCAGACATTTTTTTGCAATTAATGTAGCCAATGTACATACAACTTCCTATCATGATTTTTGCACCAAGTTTTGGTATTGTCTTCAGTAGACAAGTCAAACGACTCGCTTACTTAACAAAGCAAACTTCTAAATAAGTAATCTGTTTCATGGTAAGAATCATGTGATTGACATGAGCATTGTTCTACATAACTGGCTTAGGACATGCATCAACTATGTGAGCGATCCTCACCACCCGATCCCATTAGCCGCCTCTTACGACAAGCATGGACTGCTGAAGACCAATTCTAACCCTGATCTTCACGGGGGGCAACATCTAGTTCCCACTTCCTGGCCAAGGCAAGTATTTTGGTTTGATAGTCTGGTAATCATCACAAAATTCAGTTCAAGCTCCAAACACTGAACTGGCTAGAGGTAATCTTGATGATGTGTGGAGCTTTGAACTGACTGTTCTTCATCACTAGGAGCCAGGATGACATCATCAGGACTTCTTGTTGAGAGGGTTTGCCCCAGCATGGCTGTTAACAGCAACTTTTGTTCTCCGATACCAGGGACCGATGTTTGTGTTGGACAGAGCATCTTGGAAAGCTTCACAACCCTCGATGGAACTCAGGACACCGTACACAGCCTGAAAATGAAACCACATGGTCAATCACTCCGTGATTTATAAAAACAGTTTGTTTGTGCCACTGTCATGTGGTGAATGGGCAGGGTTTCACATGGCACATGGCTCAAGACACCCTGAAGACCTGAAAGTGACCTATGTAGTGAATGGGCAGGGTTACACATGGCACAAGACACTGTGAATGACCTGAAAGTGACCTGCTATGTAGTGAATGGGCAGGGTTTCACATGGCTCAAGACACCCTGAAGACCTGAAAGTGACCTGCTATGTATTGAATGGGCAGGGTTACACATGGCACAAGACACCGTGAATGACCTGAAAGTGACCTGCTATGTAGTGAATGGGCAGGGTTACACATGGCACAAGACACCGTGAATGACCTGAAAGTGACCTGCTATGTAGTGAATGGGCAGGGTTTCACATGGCACAAGACACCCTGAAGACCTGAAAGTGACCTGCTATGTATTGAATGGGCAGGGTTACACATGGCACAAGACACCGTGAATGACCTGAAAGTGACCTGCTATGTAGTGAATGGGCAGGGTTTCACATGGCTCAAGACACCCTGAAGACCTGAAAGTGACCTGCTATGTATTGAATGGGCAGGGTTACACATGGCACAAGACACCGTGAATGACCTGAAAGTGACCTGCTATGTAGTGAATGGGCAGGGTTACACATGGCACAAGACACCGTGAATGACCTGAAAGTGACCTGCTATGTAGTAAATGGGCAGGTTTCTGGCAAACACATGTACAGCACAGATTACATCTCACCAGGTCGGCCAGGTTAGGACTGTCTCCACCCATAAACTGCTGCTTCTTCTTAGACAGAGCCTTCGTCCACTCTCTACAGCTGTCATACAGGGACTCGCGGACATCATCCTTCAGCTTGTATCTGTCAGTAGCAAACAGCATTCAAATAATATCAGCATGATGGGAAACATTTAAAATGGGGATTGGGCAGAAAGTTCAAGGCACACTATCCATTTTCAAGGCAGAATCCAAATTCAAGGCCCCCTAGTGTTTATGAGTTGGTTGGGTGGTTGGTTTGTTGTTTAATGCCACACTCAGCAATATTCCAGCGATATGACGGCGGTCTGTAAATAATCGAGTCTGGACCAGACAATCCAGTGATTAATATCATGGGCATCGATCCACGCAAATGGGATACGATGACATGCATCAACCAAGTCAGCGAGCCTGACCACCGGATCCCGTTAGTCGCCTCTTACGACAAGCATAGTCGCCTTTTACGGCAAGCATGGGTTGCTGAAGACCCATTCTACCCCGGCTCTTCACGGGTCTAGTGGTTATTAGAACCCAGAGATGCAGCTATTCTCCTTACCTTATATCAACAAAAGATCAACTGGAAATGGTCTTATGTTAAGAGTGGGACCAAAACATTCCAAAAACATTTTAAGAAATCATGATGTATTTCCACTGCTAAACAGGCATTTTTTATTTTACTTTTACTTACCGAACAACTTACCAAACAGGCCCCAGTTTCACAAATTAATTGTATGAGTGTGTATGGATTTATGCTGCTTTTAACAACAGTCCAGCAAAATCATGGCAGAAATTAGCTTTAAATGCTGTACTCACTGTCTGTGGAATCAAACCCCAGCTGTTTGTTTTGATGAGTGAAATGGCGTAACCACTTGGTTTGCCAGCACCTGTGTATGATTTTTGTTTGTTTGTTGTTTAACGCCGCACTCAGCAATATTCCAGCTATATGACGGCGGTCTGTAAAATAATCGAGTCTGGACCAGACAATCCAGTGATTAACATCATGAGCATCGATCCACACAATTGGGATCGATGACATGTCTCAATCAAGACAGCAAGCCTGAAAACCCCGTTAGTCGCCTTTTATGACAAGCAGAGTCGCCTTTCACAGCAAGTATGGGATGCTGAAGACCTTTTCTACACCGAATCTTCACGGGTCAGCTGTGTATGAAGTAAGGATGAGATGACAAAGGTAATGTTCGTCTATCGTTTCCTTCAACTTACTTGTTCTTGAGCATCTTGCCGATGAAGTACATGACAGTAGCGCCGAGGTAGATGACAATCTGTCTCTCCATGCCGGAGAAATTCTTCTCCCATTCGCCGACATCAGAGAAGTAGTGGAAGGCCTGCAGTGCCTCTGAGCGTGTCCGGTACACGTTTGGGGACAACATGTGCACCAGATTGCTGTCTGCCCAATTGCGCCATTGTCTCTCCTCTCTGCATGGCAAACATGGACGTTCAGAGGATTCAAAACCACTTTTAAAGTAACACTGTCGTTACTTCATGAGTTTGTATAAACTATGTGCCTCCATCACCCAGGAGTACATACGGATGCTACATGGAGCAGAAATGTTTCTTTGTTTCATGACACACTCAACAATATTTAAGCAGTATGACGTCAATCTGTAAACAATCGAGTATGGACCAGACAATCCATTGATTGACATCATACAGTTTGTTTGCTTGTTGTTTAACGCCGCACTCAGCAAAATTGCAGACGGCGGTCTGTCAATATTTAAGTCTGGAACAGACAATCCAGTGATTGACATGATGAGTATCGATCTACGCAATTGGGATACGATGACATGCATCAACCAAGGATTATAACTCAAGTCACATGAGCCGTACGCCATGCAGGAACTTGGTGAGAACCCTGTTACTGTCTGCCACAGAAGTAATGTGTAGACCAGATGACTGAAGGCTGTGATACATGCTGCACTGCTTGTTAAGCAAGAAACATTCATTCATCAGTTGGAGCATCCCTCTATAGTACCTCTGTTTCATTCGTTGGTTAACAATGGTTAAAATATTGACTGCACCGCATCCATTTTCCAAAAGCCACAGAACCCCATCTTCCTGAGGCAAGGGAGTTAACTGGCTGTGAATGTCCAGTTTCCACCCTTGCCGAACTAGGCTGGAATGTCCTGGCTTGATCATATCGCGATTGTTGATTTCACGATTTTGATAGGACTATGCATTAGATGCATAGACTCGTTAGGCGAGCCAAAATATAACTCCATAATTCCAGCCTAGTTCAGCTAGGAAACTGGATTCATATAGTCAGTTACCGTATTCGACGTAATAAGCGCCCCGCTCTAATAAGCGCCCACGGCGATATTTGCTAATATATTGGCTAGTGAACAATCCCAATTAGCACCCCTTCCGACTGATCAAAGTACACAAGACTTATTTATTCGTGTATAATACGCACTCGTGTGTTATATGCACCCTTAATTATGGGCAATCAAATTCTGGAAAAATATATCTGTCGTATATAAACAGTTCAGGACGTCAGCATAAACCACAAAATTTATCTTTCAACTGTTTTTTCCACCAAAATAATATTCTAATAAGAGCCCCCTATTTCTAATTTTGAGAGCGCCCTGGGCGCTTATTACGTCGAATACGGTAACTCCCTTGCCAAGGGAATCTTGATTATTTTACCGAGTCGCTCAACTGACCCAAGTTTTTGTGGATATACCTCTATGACATCATGTTGTGTTCACAACATAAGTGTGCACTGTTACATGATTCCTTCTTATCCTCACAACATCTCGGACCTGTGAATAATACTATGTCTCGGCAGAAGGCAATGGAAATTTAACACTAAATCTGACTTACTTTCTTTCCTCTGGGGTGGTGTCAATGCTTCGGTCCATGTACATGATGAAGTACTTGTTGGGGAAGTCATACACGGTCTTGCGGCCTTCCTTGGACTCGATGCATGGGTAGTAGGAGTGGAGTTGATCCAGCTTCTGCAACTTGTTCCCCATGAAGGACTCCAGCAGACTCACTATCACACAGGAGTCTCGCAAGGCCTGAACAAAAACATAGTCTTTGACAGGCAAGTTGGAAGGACATGAAGACATGAAACAATTTACTGATGAAAACTTCTGTATTGTTTGTTGTGTCATTTCAGGGCTGCTGAAGGGACAAGAAGTAGCACTGAAATGTTCTTACATACAGCTCCAGAAGCTCATTCAGGAGTATAAGCCAACCCAGGAGCTCATTCTGGAGTATAAATAACCCAGTTCATTCAGGAGTATAAGCCAACCCAGGAGCTCATTCTGGAGTATCAATAACCCAGTTCATTCAGGAGTATAAGCCAACCCAGAAGCTCATTCAGGAGTATAAGCCAACCCAGGAGCTCATTCAGGAATATAAGCCAACCCAGGAGCTCATTCAGGAGTATAAGCCAACCCAGGAGCTCATTCGGGAGTATAAGCCAACCCAGGTCATTCAGGAGTATAAGCCAAACCAGGAGCTCATTCGGGAGTATAAGTCAACCCAGGAGCTCATTCAGGAGTATAAGCCAACCCAGAAGCTCATTCGGGAGTATAAGCCAACCCAGGAGCTCATTCAGGAGTATAAGTCACCCAGGAGCTCATTCGGGAGTATAAGCCAACCCAGGAGCTCATTCAGGAGTATAAGTCAAACCAGGAGCTCATTCAGGAGTATAAGTCACCCAGGAGCTCATTCGGGAGTATAAGCCAACCCAGGAGCTCATTCAGGAGTATAAGCCAACCCAGGAGCTCATTCAGGAGTATAAGTCACCCAGGAGCTCATTCGGGAGTATAAGCCAACCCAGGAGCTCATTCAGGAGTATAAGTCAACCCAGGAGCTCATTCAGGAGTATAAGCCAACCCAGGAGCTCATTCAGGAGTATAAGCCAACCCAGAAGCTCATTCGGGAGTATAAGCCAACCCAGGAGCTCATTCAGGAGTATAAGCCAACCCAGGAGCTCATTCAGGAGTATAAGCCAACCCAGAAGGTCATTCGGGAGTATAAGCCAACCCAGGAGCTCATTCAGGAGTATAAGCCAACCCAGGAGCTCATTCAGGAGTATTTAGTCACCCAGGAGCTCATTCGGGAGTATAAGCCAACCCAGGAGCTCATTCAGGAGTATAAGTCAACCCAGGAGCTCATTCAGGAGTATAAGTCAACCCAGGAGCTCATTCAGGAGTATAAGCCAACCCAGGAGCTCATTCAGGAGTATAAGCCAACCTAGGAGCTCATTCAGGAGTATAAGCCAACCCAGAAGCTCATTCGGGAGTATAAGCCAACCCAGGAGCTCATTCAGGAGTATAAGCCAACCTGAACCTTGAGATCAAAGATCAAGCCTACATCTCCAGTGTGTGCCTCCAATATCGTCAGCAAAGTTTGGTGATGTTGCTTCTCAAGAACAGGTCCCTTGGAACTCTCTCCCGCCCAACATCAGAGGTATCCAAGAAGACACAACATTCAATGCACAATTAAGGACACATTTTTACTGAGGCTTACATTATATATAGCAATACAATCAGTTATTTCCCAGCCTGTTATTGTCCTTATCATTGCATGTAGACAAATGGTAGAAACAATTTACTGTTAATGTATCCCGTGGGATGTAGTCGCCACAAGCATTTTGAACAGTTGTTTCAACTGGATTCTGGCGCTATACAAATGTCTAGTTATAATTATTATTAGGAAGTTGTTATTCATAAAAAGTGTGCAGGTTTTGACCTGGGGCTAGCATTAAGATCTGATTTTAATGAGATTGAATTGATTCAATGAAAGTAACTATTACATTTTCAAATAATAACTGATCAATTGTAGTGTACATATTGTATGTTGTATGCGGCCACTTTGTCCTTATAAAGAAAACTGAACCTTTCTCAGAGGTTTGTTTGTTTGTTGTTTAACACTGCACTCAGCAATATCCCAGCCAGACGGCAGTCTGTAAATAATCAGGTCTGGACACATTGAGCATCGATCAATGCAGTTGGAATGCAGTTTCAGAAGTAAATACATATCATATTAATTGTTATTGGAAAAGTAATGAACATTCTCCACTTCGAAGAGCAGTAGCAATTATTTTGTCATCCACTTAACCAACACACCAAACAGCTTCATCATATTTATTACAGATAAAATTTTAAAAATAGAGAGCTAAACAAATGTTTTTAAAGTGTTATGAGACAAACAATAACTAATTGTTCAGTAAAAATGAGTGACAATCACTCAGGTATGACTGTTAATCCCCTCAGTAAGGTGGGTAAGTCAGAATTGTCAAAAATGAAAATGTGTGGCCACAGTAACCATGGCAACCCAATAATATTTCTCACCAGAAAGTCATCTTCTCCAACACCATCTAACACCAAAAGAGGCACTTTTTTGTAGTCAGACCACTTGAGCTGTTTCTTGGTAATTGAATTGACCTCCACTATGTTGTAGGAAAAGCCGTGATAGTCTAGGAAGGCTCGAACCTTGCAGCAGAACGGACATGTCTGATACTGAAATAATGTCAGCTTTAATCCACTTGTGTCAGTGTCCATGTGGATCTGAAACAAATCACAAATCATCTTACATCAGTTGTGAACATGGCATTACAATATTTTCCTGCTCAGATTAGCATTGTCAGCTTGTGAAATGGTTTTGGAAACTTTCGTACCATGTGGGGGAATTGATCAGCATTCACATTCCAGAGTGAATGGGTGGGTGATTGAATGGGCGGATGGGTGTTTGGGTCAGTGAGTGAGTGGGTGGTCGGTGGGTGAGTGATTGGGTTGTAGGTGAGTGGGACTGTTTAGTGTTTTGGTCGATGAGTGGTGAGTGAGTGGTGAGTGGGTGAATAAGTGGGTGAGAGTCTTCGTTCACCTGTTGATACGACATACAACAAGCCTACCCACATTCATATTTTATTTCTGTATTGTTTATTTTAAAGATAATATTCAGGACTTTTTGCAATTATCCAATCTTATAACCACTGATAACTTACCTCACCTCCTATTACTAAACAAAATGTTAAAGCTGAATACAGGATGACATTGAAATGTGACTGTTAACCTTCTAGCGCTTCACAGGCGGCTGGGGTGGTATATTCCCCAGGGAGTTGAGAATAGAAATCGAGTGCAAACTGATCCATAATTATGTAGGTCTTTGAGCATGCTCTAGGGTGTGGACTGTTGAGTAACTCATAAATATGTACAATATTCTTATTTTTATCATGATACTCTGAAACGAAAGTGGTCAGTCTCAAACACTTTTAGCTCACGACACATGCACTTTGCTGAAGCATAATGGGATTCAGATTTGGACTGAATCTGTATTCGAAAAAAAACCATAGAAAGTCCAAGCTCTGTGTAGCAACATGTCAATATGAAAATTGGTTATAGGGAGCAGCATAGATACGGTTACAGCAGCTACACAAAGGTACACAGTCGAGTGTTGAATACTACATAAACAGGCACTACCATATTCAATGTAAATTGTAATAAGCGCCTAGGGCGCTCTCAAAATTAGAAAGAGGGGGCTCTTATTAGAATATAATTTTGGTGAGAAAAATAAGAGTTGAAAGATCGTAAATTTTGTGGTTTATGCTGACAGGCTGAAATGATACAGAAGAAAAGTCGTTTAATTCACGACAGATATATTTTCCAGAATTTAATTGCCCATAATTAAGAGTGCATATAGCACACGAGTGTGTATTAATACTATTATACACGAATAAATAAGTCTTGTGTACATTGATCAATTGGAAAGGATGTTAACTGGGATTGTTCACTAGCCAATATATCAGCAAATATCGCCGTGGGCGCTTATTATTACGGGGCGCTTATTACGTCAAATACGGTAATTATTATTGATCCTGTGGTCCGATGTGTTAACATGTTGACGTGTTGGGTTCACATTCTTGAAGACATTACCCTACATCAAGTCATGTAAGGCAATTCTTGACTGTCAGGCCCAATACACGACCCTATATCACGTGATGTAAGGTCGTGTCTTGATTGCTGGAATCCCATCGCGCCCCTCTATATTCTAGTACTGCTAGCAACTCGAGTTTCATCCTCGGCTACTCGTGCGACGCTAATATTGGATAAAGCGCCGTGGTACAGTGTACTGTAGTTCTCCGAGAGCACTTCTATATATTGTCCCAGTATGTTACCCACCCGTCTAGATGGTGTCAAGTCGGGTTTCACTTTTCCACCTGCGTAAACCTTCCATCCTTCAAAGCCAATCACGGCGGATCCAAGTGTAAACATTGACGCTCTTGTGAAGATAGACCAGGTTCGCTTTCTCGTGTTCTGTCGATATCCATGAGAAGTAGATTGAAAACGGGGGTATGGCGGTGCATGCTGTGTTGTCTTTGATGTTCTTAAGAAATAACGCGAATACTGAACATCCTTGCAAGTTTGATGCAATACATTCACACACGCACGTAACCTTGTGGGCGCCGCCATCTTGTTTATGTAAGAAAAGTCAACGTAATGATGTTATGAAATATTTCTTCTGTTTACACATAGAAACACAATTTTGTAACAAGCAATCTTGAATCAATTAAAACCATTTTGAAGTGGGTTAGAAAGTTATTTCCAGCCTGCCATCTTTATGTTGATACAAGTACGTATAAAAAGAGGATAGGACTAAAACGGCATTGCGTCAAAACGGCAGTTTCGCGGAATGGACCAGCTTTGCCGCCTTTCCACGTGAACTTGCAGTTGAACAGCATTATATGAAATAGTGATACCTAAAGAGCGAGTGCAGTATTATATTATTTATTAACATTAAACATTACAGAGGACTTATATATAATACGGGATGTACAATTTGTGCGAATGTTTGGGCGGCCATTCTGTCAAAAAAACACAGTTGAAAAAAGGACAAAAGTACGCAATAAAGGTCAAATATTACGAAATATTACTAAATGTTAGAAACTCTACTAATCAAGGTCAAACTACAAAACAATGAGACGCCGGTTAAAAAAATACAAAGTTGAAATTAGGTCACAAGTATGCAATATAAATAGTCAAATGTTACGAAAAAACGTATTAAGAAAATAAAGAACAATGTGTACGAAAGAACGTCAGTGCGCACGAACTGACGTTGGCTATTAATATTGCGTACTTTCGACCGTTATTTCAACTTTGTATTTGTATAACCGGCGTCTGTTTGTTTTGTATTTTGACCTTAAAAGTAACATTTAGTTCTTTATTCGTAATATTTGACCTTTATTGTGTACTTTTGTCCTTTTTTTCAACTTTGTATTTTTTGACAGAATGGCCGCCCATACGAATGAGCAGAAATTATCTAGTCCATTTCGAATCTTTTGTATATATTTACGTCTGTAGTGCTGTGAGGGAAGATGGATGCAGGCTAAAATAGCACCTCAGCAAAACGTCACCGATTGCTCGGGCTGTGATTTTGTTTCTTCATAAAGGAGAGCCGAGATTTTTTTACGTCACATTTAACTCACTAAAACAATACAATGTAGGTGATATTAAAACAGAACTTTGACAATTACAGTATAATGTAAAAAAGACCATTTTTTGAAACACCATGTGTAGCAAAAGCCTAGTGTGCAGTTTTTCAGAACTGATTTAGGAATGTATTTTTTAATTACTACGATTGTTGATGATGGACATAAACGGCATAACATTTGATGTAAACTGACGAAGAAATGTTACCAAACTGATCTTTGGACAGGTTTGGTCCAAACCCTGAATAGTGTTAAATTAAAATGGTTGAAATCAATCGCCCAAACAAAACCAAAACAATTTGCGGATTAATGAACGTGCTACAGTGCCCAGATTAATGGAACTTGAGCTTGAAGTGAAACTTTGGCTGCACTTATCGCATACCAACCTACAAAGATATGTGTATTAAAGGAACAATTTAGTGTTTATACACACACCCAAACCGTTGGACAGTAGCAGGCTAAGATTAACCCTACGACAGAAGGAACAAGCTGTTGGTATGACACACCAAGGAGCAACGAATGACCACGTTGCAAGGAGTTTTGGCTGCAGGCGAATGGTAGTCACAAGGTGCATGGACCGATTCTGGTAGATAACGCGTAGGAAGCTTTATCATATAATGGGTAGGTTTCTCGGCAGGATAAAGCCAACGGATAAAAACGATATCAAAGGTCAAGTAGGGACTACTTTCACTGTTTATAAACAAACATGGCGTCGTCCTCGTCATTCGGCGATCGAGTCAAAATTAACCATCGGGAATCTGGATAAACTACAGGGATAATTGCTTTCCTTATCAAAAGAACAGTCATATATACTGAAAATCAGTGTCTAACTGTGACGTAGCTAAGGCATTTTATAAGTTTTGGCAACTTTGGAGATATAAATTTCGAAACAAATTTTGTGAGGGCACGAGGCATAGCCAAGCTGGATCAGTAGCCATATCTGTGCTTGTAGGCCTCTGCGGCTTGAAACCTTCTCAACAAATTAAAATAGTTGGATTTGGACGAAATATGTTTGAATTGTTACCATGTTTCGTTTTGTCGCTGTGTGTACATCTGACTACACTTCTTAACGTTATGACAGGACAGACCGACTGTCAACAACGTCTGACCGTGGCCGTGACGTCACATAGACTAGGGTTAGAGTAGCTTCCCTTTGACAAAGGGCAGTTACTCTAGCGGACAGAACGATGGATTGCCGCGAAAGGCAATTAAAAACAATTGTTGTTTTGCGTATATGTTGCTTCGCCACTGTATAAGAAACAGATTTTAGTTGGAACTATATTGGCTACTGTCACTGTCCGACTGACACATCACTTACCCTGTGATGTAATAAATATTAATGCGCGCATTCCAGGAAAACTCGCAATGTTTCGGTAATGTTTGTGAGAGAGGGAAAGCGATTTTGAAGCACAGAATTAAAGAATGACATTATATGATAAAGACGTTATCACGCTTGTGTGTTTGGGGATGGTAAATATCCTCTATTAGGAATAAACACTATGTATTTAACTCGCCGAGGCTCGCTAAATACAATGTTTATTCCTAATGCAGGATATTTACCATCCCCCAAAACACTCGCGTGACAACCTCTATTTACACGCGTATCCTACATCTGAGGAATGATATTACCACTGTGACGTCAACAGCTGAGACAGTAATGTCAGTCGCTGGACAGTGTCCTGAAGACTGCGTCGGTACATCAGAGCTTGCAGACCACTTGAAGACGTAACGCTGACACTGCAACGCTGGGAGAACAGAACTGGCAAATAGTCATGTTAACAGGAGGTTATTCAAGGTTGTCAGTAGTCAATTCATATAATTTCCACACCTATGTGCCCTTTACAAGTGGGATCTGTTTCGGTAGAAAGCCTAGGATGGTTATTCTCTTGCATTGACAATTTATATTTCCAAGCAGATGGAAGGAATTGTGTCAACGTCGGACAAGGAGAACATTGTTGCATTTCAAGATATCGAACCACTTGGAGGTGTCAGCATCTGTAGCCCTGTCAATGCTGCATAATTAGTTTTGTCAATGCAGCATCTGTAGCCAAATGAAGACAGATCTGGTGATTTTGGAAGGAAACATCACTGCACAGCATTACATTGACCAAGCTCTCTCTAGACCCGGGTAGAATAGGTCTTCAGCAAGTCATGCTTGCCGTAAAAGGCGACTATATGCTTGTCGTAAGGGGCGACTAACGGGATCGGGCGGTCAGGCTCGCTGACTTGGTTCACGCATGTCATCGATCCCAATTGCGTGGATCGATGCTCATGATATCAATCACTGGATTGTCTGGTCCAGACTCGATTATTTACAGAGCGTCAACTGGCATTGACTGAAATTTCAGTAACCAAGTTCTTTTAGTTTGTGTGGATTTCTCTCACAACCAGATGCCTCAAAATGCAAGGTGCACAAAACGGCATGTCCTGTCAGTTTCCGTCGGCCTTTTCGCTTGGAAATTTGAAGAAATAACACTTGGTACTTATGTTTAATGAACGAGTACACCCCTACGCAACACAATATCCAATTTCGCGTCTTCAATAAGCCGAGAATAACGGAAAATCACTTCAGTCTCATGTAGATTAATGTAAAGAAAAGACAATGGCGGACATCTCCCCACTATGACGTCATAGCTACAGCTCGGCTGGTTGTGTGATCAGGGCAGTTGTTTACTGCTTTTAAGATAACAATGAAAGTCACATATGACTTTTTGTGTGTAAATATATACTTTGTGTGACTCTTTTTGTAATAGATCTCCTTTAAATTATAAGCTAGCATGTATTTATCTCACACGAACATTATATGTATTTTAAACATATTTTTTAAACAAGAAAGCCCGGTTTGTCGATCACATTGATTGACCATGTATTTAATATTTTATTTCTACTTACGGAATATAAATAATTGATCGGATGAATTAAATCGAAAAACAAAACAGTCTTGACTTCTGGCATAATTCACTTTTTTTTATCAAGCAAACTATATTGGAGGTTGTTGGAGAGGATTTTCATGTTTTCTCAATCGATGTTGTGATAAGGGCAGTTGCTGGTATGGTCCGAGATGGCCAGTTTACTGCCACAAGAATTCCTTCAACAGAGATCTAGGCTATTTATTACCATCCGCCTATTGTGAACTCATCAAGCAATAGTTTTTCAAACCATCCCACCCAGTATTTAATCCGGTTAAATTGGTTGTTTTTTTTGTATCCTGTTTAATTGACTTCGTCACCGTGTTCTCTGTCGAGTGAGTAAGTATGGCTTTACGCCGCTTTTAGCAATATTCCAGCAATATCACGGCGGGGGACACCAGAAATAGGCTTCACACATTGTACCCAAATCGGGAATCGAACCCGGGACTTCGGCGTGACTAGCGAACGCTTTTACCACTAGGCTACCCGACGGCCCCTGTTCTCTGTCGTAACGTTGCTATTACAGTATAATAAAGAAGTTGTTATCCATAAATTTTCATCTACCCTGTCATCCGTCACTTCTAAGAAATGTCTATCACACAAAGATATTTTAAAACAAAATCGATATGGAGCCTCGAACAATGTTCAGGCCAACAGCTTTGATAATCTAGACTTGCCAAATCATTCTAGGCTTGAGTTGGATTATTTATATTGTATTCTCTTGGGTCTGGGAGACAGACTATACCGGTGCCCCTACTAGGGAATGAGAAGATGTATACTGTGACGAAGCCATGGCGAATTGGTCCTGGGTAGTGTTTATCATACGGTCTTTTATTTTGTGCATCTTCTTCGTCCAAAACGTGTGGCTGAACATGTATGAAATTAAGTACAAATAGGGAGAGGGAATGCAGGTTATTTTTGTGGTGATTTTTTGTGTCATTTTAATTCGTTTCACCACGGACCTATATAACCTATACAAGTCCGTGGTTTCACCAGAGACCACATATATACCGGTATATGGTAAATACAATGAATGCAGAAAAAGTAGAAAGAGCCTGTAAAATAGACATTTCTTGACATATAGCTTTAAATATGTTAACATCTAGCTTACAGGATATTTCATCACACAAATGTATATTATGTATACCATGACCGCGGACCTAAATAATTTATTTAGGTCCGTGCCACGACCGACTTTTAGATCCTGATAACTGCATCTGTAATTCGGCGTACTATGGTTGCCAAAGATTGCACCACCCACTAAGTTCCAAATTGATTACTGAAATCCATTGTTGTTTTCTTGTATGACCTAAATTCTCAGTCTTGCCAATGCCAAATATCGTCACCTTGTTAAAGATAATCAAACATGTTTAAATATTTCACTCGGACATCATGTCGAGGTTATAGCTAAAACGGCATCACGTTAAAACGTCACTACGCCAAAACGGCACGCAATTTTTGTAATCAGTACCTTGATTTGGCGAAGACAGCGACCGTTTTACCTAATACAAACGGTACCGCATCTTCTTACTACGTGTTTGAGACTTTGTATAAATGCAAAATAAACATTTGATAATTTTATGTTTGTCTTATCCCCCTGTACTTTATTATATTATTTTATTATATTAAAAACAAGTTTACCAAACATATAGGTGATATTTAGTTCTATTGCCATACAAACACGTAACTAATTAAAAACAATTTCAAGCAACGTCTTCACTTGCAATCACACTCATATAGTGAGTGTAGACATAGATCCATACCACGCTGTTTCGGTTAGAAACAATATTCTTTTATATATCGATTCTAGTATGAACAATTCCTTCGTTTTGGGAGTGACGTCAACGCCCCAAACGCTCCTATCTCTAGCTTAGCGCAGAATTTCTCTTGCTCATAGGATTAATTTGATTGGACGGTTATTTTTAGCGTCGTGACATTAGAATGGGGCTAAAAAAGACACTATATGGTAGCGAATGGGCCCAGGGTATTTATAAACATAAAGGGGATATAATACACTGAATAAATAAGGGAGGGTTTTTGTAAACGTTATTACAATGATGAGAATGTTAGATTAGTGCTGAAATATGTTATGTATATAAGAATTTTTATTAATTTTGTGATTTAAAACTGTGAAAATGTTTTGTCTGGTTTGGTAGAAAAAAGAGCCAGGCAAATTTGGTTCTGTTTTGATGTGGTGCCGTTTTAGCTTCATCCCTCTCGCCGGATATTGACACCGGTGCCGGAAGCCACATGTCAGCCTCGTTTGTAAAAATCTCATGCAACACTTTCATCACGGTGTAATATACCTGTTATAAAAGTACATTAACATCGGATCTGTAAGAACTGAAGTTAACGACGTTGCGACAATGTCGACCGAGGAAGCGGTACCCCAAACGAAAACCGACAATGGCGCTGCAGGGGAAGGTAAGGTCGAGACAGCCGGTGTTTCTGCCGGTCCGGCTGTTGACGTTGCAGCAGACGCTCCGAAGCACTGCAACTTTGGAAAACTTTCTGATCAAATCGTATCATCAATGGGTCGGTTGTTATTGTCAAGTCAAGATTTCTGGATCATTGCAAGTGTAATTGTGTAATGCATTTTGAAGTTATTGCAAACTCAGCTGTGGGCAATCACAATCACAAATATTTCAGAGATAGGATTTCCATACCCATAATATATTTATCTTAGCCTAGATATTGGATCATGAAAATACTTATGCTCAAACGTTTTTACAAGCCGGTAACATATCCTTCTAACCTTAGAATTTCTGTTATAATGTGACGAAGGATTCGTAAACATGTTAAAAGGGTGGAAATTGAAGTTTATCATCAACAAACTTCCCATCTTCCCGAGGCAAGAGAGTTAACCGACTATAAAAGTCCAGTTTCCACCTTTGCTGAACTAGGCTGGTATTGTGGAGTTACATTTTGACTGGACTAACGAGTCTATGTATAGTCGAATCAAAATCACGCACCAGAATCAAAATCCGCTTCGTAAACTGTCGTGCAGATTTCGGTCAATTGCAAATATATAATGAACAGAACTAACTACATGCTAAATGTGCATCATCATGATTTTGAATTTTTGTTCTTCCATGAATTAGTCAAGTGACACCACCAGCATATCTTTTCTCAAGTTGTATCCGGGGAATGGAATTAGATCTATATATTGTGTGTTTTGTTTTTAATATTACCTGACAAGAGTTAATTTTTTTCATCATTTTCAGATAAATATTTCTCTTCTAATGAAAATGAGCAAAAGTTGTGATCACGTGAGCGCTATAATGAGGGAATAGTGGTAATATGTCCTTGGCGATAACTGGTCGATATGTTTATCTAAATGTTTAGACTTGTCTAATATGAAACAGAGGAAAAATATATGCAATGTCTTGAATGTTCTGTGTAAGATGTGAGGTTCATCACATGTCGCTGGCCTGTGGCAGAGGTACTAGGCTCGGTAGGAGAATGTTTTTTAGAACTAAACTTCCTCTTTCAGCAGATATATCATCAGATGTGCCGAAAGTTAACAATACGAAGAATGAAAAAAATAACCAAAGGCAGACAGAGCATTCAATTTTTTAACATGATTCGTACATCGTAACTTTGGTAAAACTGGGATATTCTTTTCCAAACTTAATAGCAAGTCGATTTCCTTCAAGAGGCAATCTTTCAAATATAAAATATGGAAAATACAGTCTGATCAAAAATGCATATTCACCATATTTCATACAAGATGTTTGCTTGTTTACTAATAAACTATTAATACACAACACCTGATTGAGAAATTCAAGGCTGATACATCATGTACATTGTATTACTAGGCTATTGCTGTGTTACCGAATGTTATAGATCTAGGCAGCTAGCTTCTGTCTTTTCGATGATTACTTGGAAATAAATATGGTGCAGCTGCTGTGATCGCTGTCATCTGTTAGGTCGGACGTTTTATCAAGAATAACAAGATTTGCCCATTATTTACATAGTCTATTGTAAAGTACTTCCATAAAATAATGCAGGAGTTACTTGATACTTATATTATAGGACAGTGTTCAGGAGCGTATAATCTGGAACTTGTCAGATAGCTGATGTCAACAGCCTGTTGCAATATCTTATCAGAATGCTGACCAAAAAACTTGAACATAACCATGATTATCGAAACTATCAATGGTTATGCATACTATTAACAATACTTTACATTCCTATCTAAATAGTACAATTGTAGGGCAGACAATGGCAATGCACACAGTAGTGAATGGGTATTCCATCAATGGCAGCTGGGGGTGTATGATCCCCAGGGAGCTGAGAATGAAAATCGAGTGCACACTGATCCATTGACCGTGGTAATAACTTGAAGTAATGTAGTGCTGGAGCATTCGTGTGGTGTATGGAATTTGGTGCATATAGATGGATTTGTTAATACATACCATCATGTTTTTTTGCAGGTGCTCCAAGGCAGAAGAGTGAAAAGGAATTATTGAAAGAAGCAAAGAAGCAAGAGAAACTAGCCAAACTGAAGGCTAAACAGGAAAAGCAGGCAGCTTTAGATGCAAAGAAGCAGGACGGAGAAGGGGTATGAGCCTCCATTTTATCTTATCATGGCGGGTTGGAATAGGTCTTCAGCAACCCATGCTTGTTGTGAAAAGCGATTATGCTTGTATACAGTAAGAGATACTAACGGGATCGGGTGGTCAGGCTCGCTGACCTGGTTGATGCTTTGTTTGTTTGTTGTTTAACGCCGCTATATTTGAGTCTGGAACAGACAATTCAGTGATTGACGGATGAAGGCCTCTTCCACAGCTCTGTACAGTTTGTATAAAACAACATTTACTGGGCTCAACACAAGATGAATCAATACATTCCATACAATTTGAATCACATGCAGAAACTAACTAAATAAATTATTATCATGATGTTTGATATACAATGGTCTGATTTGTTTGTTGTTTAACGCCGCACACAGCAATATTCCACCTATATGATGCCAGCCTGTAAATAATTGAGTTTGGACCAAAGAATCAAGTGATTGACATCATGAGCATCGGTCCAAGCAATTGAGATATGATGACATGCATCAACTAAGTCAGCAAGCCTGACCCCCTGATCCCTTTAGTCGCCTCTTACAACAAGCATGGTTGCCTTTTACGGCAAGGTTGGGTTGCTGAAGACCTATTCTAACCTGGATCTTCACAGGTCGACTTGGTTGATGCATGTCATTGTATCCCAATTGCGTAAATCGCTGTGCATGATATCAATCACTGGATTGTCTGGTCCAAACTCGATTAATTACAGACTGCTGTCATATACCATAGCTGGAATATTGTTGAGTGCACCATTAACAAACAAACCAAACCATTTTGTATCAAGCATCATCAGATCATGATAATAATGTTTTATTTAGTTTCTGTTTGTGATTCCAGTTGAATGGGATGTATTGATTCATCTTGTTTGTACTGTTATAAATGTTTACAGTCTATTACAAACAAATCTAAGTTAGTTTTCTCATCCAAACAACCCTTATCATGCTAATTAATTGAAAACAATTAAAGAATGGAAGGGGCAAATTTTATTTTTATTTCATATTCAACCACAAACGATCAAAACGATATGCCTAAACTGTTCCATGACGTGGATGAAATAACTAATCAGCTGCTAATTGATATAGGAAATGCCCATACACATAATGTGAACTCTCAACATCTACTGAATGTCGTATTGAATCGTAGACTATTCATTGTGTGCTATGATGAATAGATAAACCACTAAACTCTTGAAGTTCACGTAATAATTTTCAAACAAACAATCCTGATAGTGCAATATGGCAATTTTAAATTCAAGTACACACTAGTCTTCTTCTCATGTATCCGCATTCAGCCGCTAAACACACAGGCCGCGGACACCTAAACAAGCCTCCTGGTCGTAATGAAGGCCGGGAATCAAGCAAGCGCTAAAGGTGAAGTGACACCAGTACACAGGATATTCAAAGTCCTTTTACACACGCTTCAGTGACTTTGCCCACACACCCTAAAACCGGGTCCTGTAGTAGGAATTGAAAATCCACATTCCAAAAAGGCCTCCCTGACTGACCAACCCATCATTACTGGTGATGCATAAGCCCACTGATGAAAAAGGCTTTACTTTAAAGGGGAAGTGTACACGCAAAAATCACTTTCTTTCTTTTTCTAAACAAAACGCAATTTTAGAATTAATTAGTATCTATGTTTGAAAATATACACTCATTTTTTTCACAGTGAAAGTAGGAAGCTCACAATAGTGTGAAAATGATATGCCGTTATGAGGCCTTCGTTTTTCGAGCTAAACAGGCCTGAGTTATCCCCCTTAGATTATGACGTAATTGGTGCCAATTCAACTGGGTCCCTGTCTATTCTCAACGCAAAAGATATCAAGTACCAGTTTGCGGTAAAACAACATGGCCTACGACACACTCCGGCGCAGTGGTGACTCAGCATAACACTATGCTGGCTGGCATCTGAGACGCTAGAATCACACACCTGGACCTACACCACGTGAAGCGGCTCTAACAAAGCATAATGACGTCATAATGTTTGTCAATTGGCACCAATGACGTCATATTGCAAGGGGCATAAGCCATGGTGTTTTTGTTGTGGAAATAGAACACTTGGTAAATGTGAAAAATATAAAATTGTTTTAATGGGAAAAATATGTTAATTAACTGTGATATTTTTATATTTTTGTCTATGACACTTCTAGGTTAACACTTTTAATGTGGAAAAAGTACAAGAAAAATAGGTTCATTTCCGTGTGAACTTGCCCTTTAAAGTACACTCTTTGAAATGACAGTCGTTTCATCATTCTTTAATATTATGAAATCTCTTTGTTTTAGAAGAAAGATAAGAAAAAGAAAGAGAGATCAGTCATCTCTTATGATGTCAAAACAGAAAAAGGAAGCAAGAAAGGTTTGTGATGATCATTTGTCAACCCATTTATTTTCAATACAAAATGGCCACGGTGCCCATGGGTACAGAAGATATTGTGACAGGTTCACTAGCCATGGGTACAGAAGATATTGTGACAGGTTCACTAGCCATGGGTACAGAAGATATTGTGACAGGTTCACTAGCCATGGGTACAGAAGATATTGTGACAGAGATTCTGTAGCCATGGGTACAGAAGATATTGTGACAGAGATTCTGTAGCCATGGGTACAGAAGATATTGTGACAGGTTCACTAGCCATGGGTACAGAAGATATTGTGACAGGTTCACTAGCCATGGGTACAGAAGATATTGTGACAGAGATTCTGTAGCCATGGGTACAGAAGATATTGTGACAGGTTCACTAGCCATGGGTACAGAAGATATTGTGACAGGTTCACTAGCCATGGGTACAGAAGATATTGTGACAGAGATTCTGTAGCCATGGGTACAGAAGATATTGTGACAGAGATTCTGTAGCCATGGGTACAGAAGATATTGTGACAGAGATTCTGTAGCCATGGGTACAGAAGATACTGTGACAGAGATTCAGTGGCCATGGGTACAGAAGTTACTGTGACAAAGATTCAGTGGCCATGGCTACAGAAGATACTGTGACAGAGATTCAGTGGCCATGGGTACAGAAGTTACTGTGACAGAGATTCAGTAGCCATGGCTACAGAAGATATTGTGACAGATTCAGTGGCCATGGGTACAGAAGATACTGTGACAAAGATTCAGTAGCCATGGCTACAGAGGATACTGTGACCAAGATTCAGTAGCCATGGCTATTGTAACAAAGATTCAGTAGCCATGGCTATTGTAACAAAGATTCAGTAGCCATGGCTATTGTAACAAAGATTCAGTAGCCACTGTGGTGGCTGAGTAGTCCTAGTCCTTGGATGGATAGCCATATTTGTAGACCATCTTTCAACAGGCTGGTTGGTAATACTCTTAATGAGCCCCGAGTGGCGATTCTGGCTTAGAGTAGGTCCCCTGCCGAATATGCAGTTTGTACGACTTTATGGATGTGGTGATTAGGCTCTGTGAGTTGGTGGGTAGCATGTCTATGAATACGCAGTGCCATTTATAGGTTTCGGCCATGGGAGCCGTGCCAATTTACACGTTTCAGAGGGTTACACAAAGTATGTGATCTGGACTACCAGTTGTCGGACTTTTGTTGAACCATCAGTGGCTGAGTGGGTTAGATCGCTGACTTTGTGTGCTGGCGATTAGGTGCCTCACTCTGAGACTGTTGGTTTGAATCCCGGATGGAACTCAACCCCCAAAGTACTAGAATTTGTTGGAGTATGGCTGTAATAACTAAACCATACCAGCTGTCCTCCCTGATGCTGTCAGTCAATGAAAGATACTAAAGTTCAAACTTCATTGATACAACAATGTACCTTCATGAAACAGACAACATGAACAAATGGACGAGACAACAGCTCATTTGTAAGCTGTATTCTTTAGACATGTATAGAAATTGTGGCCGTCTCAACCAGTTCATGTTTTGTATTTTTCATATTTTTCATAACTATTAAAGATCTGTGTTAGAATAGGTCTTCAGCAACCCATGTTTGCCGTAAAAGGCGACTATGCTTGTCGTACGAGGCAACTAACGGCCACAGGTGGTCAGGCTCAGTTACTTAGTTGATGCATGTCATCGTATCCAAATTGTGTAGATTGATGCTCATGATGTCAATCATTGGATTGTCTGGTCAAGACCGCCATCATATACCTGGAATATTGCGGCATTAAACAGCAAACAAACTAAAGTAGTTATCTAAATGTACAGTACACTACACCATTTCAATACTTTACAGGACCCTCATGTTGCCTGCAAGGACCTGTAACATTATTTATTGGGGGTCCCCTGGACCCCCACTTTTGTAAATCAAGGTAAAACCCTTATCCTTCTTTTGGAACACTGGTAAGTCTGTTACTGTGCATGCTGGATGAGAGATTCATAGATACTGATTGGTTATCAGTACGAGTGGAGCATTACATATGATTACAAAGCTAACTAACATGACCTCTTTGTTTTCAGACACAAAATGTCCCATGCCAGATTCCTACAGCCCTGAGTATGTAGAAGCTGCCTGGTACGACTGGTGGCAGCAGAGTGGCTTCTTCAAACCAGAGTACGGGGTGAGTTGGAGTCTGGTTACTGGTGATGGGTATCGGTGTGTCACATCTGATGCTACCTAAGTCAGACCTTTTACACTGAATCAATACCTTTCTTCATCCCAAACTGACAACCCACCATGAAGATGCAACCATCCTGATTCTCTTTCAGGTTAAATCCTCCTTGGGGCACTTATTGCATTTTCCTGGCACAAGAAAATCTACATGACATAGTTGTAACCATTTTCCTTAATAAAAATTGTTACCACACAAAAAACTTTGTTTTTGTATGATATACGTCCACCCTTATGGTGCCTCACCCTCCACGGCGCGTCACGCCAAGGGAAGCAACTCTCACCCAAATCACTTTCCTTATGTCATCTGACAAAGACAGACGTGCTGTTTTTTTCAAGACAAAATAAAGTACAAGATAATCGTTCGTACAAGAACCATGGCAGACCAAACTGTATGTATGGTACATTTCTTTCATGCAAAGGCGTAATACCTCGCATTGTAAAGTTATAAAGTTGTAATTATGTGACACGTGTACGATACCTTTGAAATGAAGGCCGTCGTAGCGTCCATTTTGTAGTGCCACGTATGATACATGTAACACCAGGGCCATCAAAAACGGCTTCGGTTTTTTAATCTATATCATCGGGCTTTAGCCTACAATCTTTTCCTTTAAATAAACCCAAGGTGGTGTGTTAATTATTTTAAATTACACTTACCTTTTTTACGGGTTTTCTACACCTTCGCGCGTAACACGCCCACTTTGGTGTTATAATTATACTACGACATTGGCTATTAGTATCGCGTTACCAATCGCATTCTAAATTACGCCTTTGCTTCTAGTTACACAATTTATGCACGTATCTTTCCGATCTTTCAATCGCACTGATACACTTTATTACCCTTCCCGCCAAACTAAAAAATTACGGTCTTTTTTACAGACCTTCAAACTGTGTACGGGGTGCTCGGCTTCGATTTCCCCCCCAAGACAGGCATGATACTTGCATAAAGTGTTTGGCCGAAGACGGGCATGACGATGGGTCATGCCCGATCTGTGTTGCATTCACACCACGGGCGCAGAAAAAGAGAAATGTGGACCTCTTACACTTTAAGGGTCTATTGAAGGCGGGGGTGGACATTAGATCGGCAAAGACCGCCCCGCCCCCCTCTAAAAAAGTAAGAAAGGGTAAAAAGGCAGCTGAGACTGTCTCCTCCGCTCCCTCCCCGGGGGCCGGGGGAGAAGGCTCTAGGGTCCCCGTCACAATCACTGCACCCTCTCCTGCACCGTCTTTGGCAGACATCTCTGCCTTGTTGAGGTCGCAGATGGCGTCGATGATGGAGGAGGTAAAGTCTCAGCTCCGAGCCTTCCCCGTTGTCGGCGCCGGACGCGGCTTCGAGACCTTGTGATATGCCCCGCGTCGGCCGAGGCAGGCCACTTGGTCTCGGGGACGAACTCAGACCGGGCTTCGGCGCCGGCTCGAGGTCGCTCCCCAGCGGAGGGGTGGCAGGCACTGGCCCGTTCACTACCGACGCACAGTTCTCCCTAGCGGAGCCAGACGCCTCTTCCGAGGCCGAGGCTTCCTCTAGCGGATTTCTAGCCCAGAGCCAGGTGGGTTCCCTTGAACCCCCGGCACCTCGGGACCGGGACTCGGCTTCGGGCCAGTCCTCAAGGAGAGCGGTATTCCTGCACGAGTTGCAGACACAATACTGGCTTCGCGGAGGGATTCGACAAACGTTCAGTACGAGGATAGATGGGCCTGCTATGCGCGCTGGTGTGTCGATAGAAGGATTGCAGATCCCTTTTCTGCAGATCTCGTAGCCGTACTTCTTTCCTCCAGTCGCGACTAGATGTCGGCCTGGCCGCATCGACAGTCCGGGGGTACTCTACAGCTATCGCTGCCTTTCACGTCCCCGTCGACGGGGCACTTTTGATTGCGCACCCATAGGTGCAGCGTTTTTTAGCAGGTGTGGACAGGATCCGACCGCCTGTCCGGTCCTTCCTTTCGGGATCTGTCGTCTCTCTCTCTTCAGCTGTTGAGCTGGAAGACGGCGTTCCTTGTGGCGGTAACGTCCGGCAGACGGGTAGGCGACATTCACGCAATCTCGCCGATCCCGAACTAACTGTCTTTCACCAGGACAGGGTCAGTATTCGCCTGCCGGACTCTTACCGTCCTAAGGTCGCACACGCCTTCCACGTGACGGCTCCTATTGAGCTACCTGCTCTTTCACAGCCTTCCTCGTCGGGGACCACTACAAGACATGCTCATGTCTTGGATGTCCGCAGGACCCTTAAGTCCTATATCAGCAGAACTAAGGGTATCCGTAAGGATAATCAACTATTTTGCTGTTATGGCGGTAGGAAGGCTGGCTCACCTGCGAGCAAACAAACTATCTCGCGGTGGATAGTCTCTACTATATGTACGGCGTACACACTTCAAGGCAGGGACCCCCCTACCAAGTTGAAGGCTCATTCGGTTAGAGCAGTGGCTACGACACAAGCGTATGCTGCGGCTCTGCCCATTGAGGAGATCAATTCCGCGGCTATTTGGAGCCAGCCGAGCACGTTCATCAAACATTACCAACTCGACAAACACTCAAGCGAGCGTGCTCGGTTTGGTCAGTCAGTTCTCCGAACTGGGCAAAGTTCTACATCTCTAGCCGATTGAGCCTTCGAGATTTTAGACCGCCCGGACCGGTTATAACACTGCTCAGTAACGGTCCGGATTTTATCTTCTACGGTCGATACAATACCAGCCATTACTACTCGATAATCATCGTAATTGCACATGCACTCCTTCGATTTAAGGGGACCCTCTGGCCTAGCTCTGTGCGGGTTTATAGTCTCTCGTGATCTGTGCCGCCAATATCACTTGTTCAAAAAAGTGGGTGGGGTGGGGGGTGTGTGTGTCTCGAGTTCTCGATATGATAAGCCACAAAGAATGGCTCTTTTCATTGTGTATGGTCGATTACGCCCTGTCTCCAGCCCCCGCCTTTCGACGGTGGTGCCTCACGATAAGGTTGGTTCCATTTATTGAACTCTTGTTTATTCATTGAAATAATCAAAATACGATGTATTTATGCACGCTTGTTGCTGACGGATGCCACTTCCTAGATTATCTTTAGGAGTCTATCTTGATGCAATAAGTGCCCCAAGGAGGATTTAATCTGAAAGAGAATTTTACAAACCTGTAGAGGTTATGAATTCTCTGATGAAATCCTCCTTGGGGCACGGCCACCCGCCTCCCCACATTCCGTCAGCATTAGACATATGGAAAGTGATTTGGGTGAGAGTTGCTTCCCTTGGCGTGACGCGCCGTGGAGGGTGAGGCACCATAAGGGTGGACGTATATCATACAAAAACAAAGTTTTTTGTGTGGTAACAATTTTTATTAAGGAAAATGGTTACAACTATGTCATGTAGATTTTCTTGAGCCAGGAAAATGCAATAAGTGCCCCAACCGTTATGATGTGGGTGGAATCATGGAGATATTTTAGAACAAATTGTCCAAATATAATAAATGAAATGCATTATGTCTCGTAAGGAATGCTCCCACCCTGGATTCCTTTAGATATATAAGCAAGACTTATTATCCCCCGCCGCGCGAAAGCGCGAAGCGGGGGATATAGTATTCACGACCGTCTGTACGTCCGTCCGTACGTCCCACCTGTTTGTTGCCGCGATATCTCAAGAACTAAACACTGGATTGTCTTCATATTTGGAACTATGGTGTATATACAGACTCCGCAGACACCAGTCGGTTTTGGTGACCTTGATCCCATTTTCAAGGTCACAGCAGACAAATCTGCTTTTAGAGTTGGAAAACGGTGTTGCCGCGATATCTCAAGAACTAAACACTGGATTATCTTCATATTTGGAACTATGGTATATATACAGACACCGCAGACACCAGTCGGTTTTGGTGACCTTGACCCCATTTTCAAGGTCACAGCAGGCAAATCTGCTTTTGGAGTTGGAAAACGGTGTTGCCGCGATATCTCAAGAACTAAACACTGGATTGTCTTCATATTTGGAACTATAGTGTATATACAGACTCCGCAGACACCAGTCGGTTTTGGTGACCTTGACCCCATTTTCAAGGTCACAGCAGGCAAATCTGCTTTTGGAGTTAGAAAACGGTGTTGCCGCAATATCTCAAGAACTAATTGCTGGATTGTCTTCATATTTGGAACTATAGTGTATATACAGACACCGCATACACCTGTCAGATTTGGTGACCTTGACCCCATTTTCAAGGTCACAGCAGGCAAATCTGTTTTTGGAGTTGGAAAACGGTGTTGCCACAATATCTCAAGAACTAATCGCTGGATTGTCTTCATATTTGGTAATATGGTGTATATGGCGGGGGATATTTCGTCACTCTGTGACAAATACTTGTCTATTCAAGCTTTCATACTCATCTCAGTCTCCTAGGCAGTCCAGCATTCTTATAATTCCTATAATTCCAACATATTTAAATTTCCCTATACGTGACAGCAGTGGGAATGGTATAAGGACTGTATCATGTTTTGCACACCCCACCCCTATTTAATGGAAAAACAATTCAATTCAATTTCATGACACCCACAGACCCCTATTGATTAATGTCCATGTCCTTGAATTATGTATTTTACTATTACTTCATGGTCTCTTCCCCCACACACACACATTTGTGATAAATTTTGGTAACCACCCCCTCATCCCCCCTTTTTTATGACCCCTCACCCCATCCCCCTTAATCTCACCCACCACCCCACCACCCCACCACCCAACCACCCCTTATGATAAATTTCCAGTCCCCAGTCACAGATGATTCAATGGTGTATGGTGCATTCATGCCCCCATAATAGTAATGGAATCATGTTGGTCATGTTCTTGATCATTGTCATGTTATTGTTACTCTACAGGGTCGAGACATCAACACAACTCCATATGAGGACAAGTTCATTATTGTCATCCCGCCCCCCAATGTAACAGGGAAACTCCATCTTGGACATGCGCTCACCAACGCTGTGGAGGACTGCCTCACAAGATGGTGTGTTTGTCATTCAAGCTTTCCAGCATTAATCATGGTTCTCATTTACTGAGGACGCAATATGTTCACAACTTGATTTTGAATTTTGAAAGAGCGTTAATCATGTTAAAAGTGAAATTTGAACATAGATTGACATGAATGCGTTAGACTGCTATGCTGTATATCATTTGGAAGTCAGATCCTGTAAGGAATGACATTTGAATTTATTATAATGTTTTGTTGTTAGCCTTTGAAAGTAGTAAGGGTAGCATAGTGGTTAATATTTCCAAATTTCAAAACATTTTATTCTGTATCGCTAAGACACATCATGGCTTGATAATTGTTCTGAGGGTCCTGATCGAATTGCTTACCAATCATTCAGTGAATCACTCCACTGCCAGATTACAGGAGATAGTAGGTCTTTAATACCCGATATTCAGACAAAGTCTGCAGCAATTGTCAGTAAACATTCCCAAATTAAAATTGAAGATTTCTTATTTCATGTTATATAGTTATAACTAATGTTATGGCTTTGTGGAGGTGAGTCATACTTCACTGACTACTAAGAGAAAGTTTCTTTACCTTGTTGCTTTCAGTGAAATGTTAAGATACCTCTGAACTCAAGAAAATAGAACAAAAAATCCCATTTTGAGAGAAGAAAATCTTTTTGATCTCAATCTAAGTTAAATCCCTTTTTATACTGAACAAAAACATTAGGGATCGCGAACTTTTTTGGGATATGTTTATGAAATTATGTGCTCAGTTTTCACAACAAAAAAATACATGTGTCCCCCCAAATATTCATGCTCCTGACTATTTTGGTTCAGTTTACATAGCTTCAACATGTGTTGTGTTTGGTTACAGGCATCGGATGAATGGTAAGATGTGTCTGTGGAACCCCGGCTGTGATCATGCTGGTATCGCCACGCAGGTGGTGGTGGAGAAGAAGCTGATGAGGGAGAGGCAGCTCACACGGCATGACCTGGGCAGAGAAAACTTTGTCGATGAAGTGTGGAAGTGGAAGAATGAGTAAGTTTGGAGGAATTTCATATTTGAAAATATTCCAGTTGTTTCATGGTGATCTGTAAATTACGGCAAACCAGTGACTGAAAGAAGGAGCAGCATCACAGTCGTCAGGGTACAGTGACACACAATCGTGAGGGTACAGTGACACACAATCGTGAGGGTACAGTGACACACAATCGTGAGGGTACAGTGACACACAATCGTGAGGGTACAGTGACACAATCGTGAGGGTACAGTGACACACAATCGTGAGGGTACAGTGACACACAATTGTGAGGGTACAGTGACACACAATCGTGAGGGTACAATGAAACACAATCGTGAGGGTACAATGAAACACAATCGGCAGGGTACAGTGACACACAATCCTCAGGGTGCAATGAAACACAATCGTGAGGGTACAGTGAAACACAATCGGCAGGGTACAGTGACACACAATCCTCAGGGTGCAATGAAACACAATCGTGAGGGTACAGTGACACAATCGTAAGGGCACAGTGACACAATCGGCAGGGTACAGTGACACACAATTGGCAGGGTACAGTGACACACAATCGTGAGGGTACAGTGACACAATCGTCAGGGTACAGTGACACACAATCCTCAGGGTACAGTGACACACAATCCTCAGGGTACAATGAAACACAATCGTCAGGGTGCAGTGACACAATCGTAAGGGCACAGTGACACAGTCATCAGGGTACAGTGACACACAATCGTCAGGGTACAGTGACACACAATCATCAGGGTACAGTGACACAATCGTGAGGGTACAGTGACACACAATCGTCAGGGTACAGTGACACACAATCGTCAGGGTACAATAACAAGCATTCGTCAGGGTACAGTGACACAATTGGGAGGGTACAGTGACACAATCCTGAGGGTACAGTGACACACAATCGTCAGGGTGTAATACCTAGAAACAATCAGGACAAACCAGGATACAAAGCCATGATCATTGGTTTCTGACACTGTTTAGACAACCAGCAACCCAGGCTTCTAAGATTTTCTTGACTCTTTCCAGGAAAGGGGACCAGATCTACAACCAGTTGAGGAGAATTGGCGGCTCCTATGATTGGGACCGAGCTTGTTTCACCATGGAGCCAGTAAGTCCTTCAACCAACTCCAGGGGGAAGTGGACTGATACTATCAGTCTTCCAAGTTTGATTTGTAGTCTTCAAAGCCTCCTGGCTCCAAGTGTTATTTGCCTGGTAGCCGAAGCAATAGTTTAGGAGCAAACACAAATTCACAAAGTGTTACCATGATCACTTACCATATTCCTTCTTTGTAGACCTTACATGCCCCCAGCAATACCACATGGTTGAGGCACTATTTGAAACAGGAAAAAACCCTGCCCTTTTAGCTGTCAGTAACCTCCTGTTGAACACTAACATTGTATGTACAGGAATGTACAGGGCTTTCTCTACAGGCAAATTCGAGAGCACTGTTATTTGCTTCAAAATTGGAATTTTTGTTAAGGTTCTTACTTTCTTAAATTAAATTTTAACATTGCATTCATGCAATGATGTAAAACTAAGCATTAAAGCCCTTCCTCTTGATTGTTTCTGTTATCCCTGACATACAAGACCTTTCTACAAACAGTTTCTATGACATTAGTTATACTTATAGAAACATGCATTGGGAAGACATGGGCTGAATAGCAGTCTCAAGGCAGATTTAGATAAATCGTTCACTAACTATACTTGTTAGCTGCAAAGTGTTATCAATATAGTCAACAAACATAGGGAGGAGATTTTCATTTTTTATTTTGTTATATTTTTGCATTTTTTATATCAAGCAACACGTAAAGATCCGGGGTAGAATAGGTCTTCAGCAACCCATGCTTGTCGTAAAAGGCGACTGTGCTTGTCGTAAGAGGCGACTAACGGAATCGGGTGGTCAGGCTTGCTGACTTGGTTGATGCATGTCATCGTATCCCAATTGCCTGGGTTTATGGTCATGATGTCAATCACTGGATTGTCTGGTCCAAACTCAGTTATTTACAGGCTGGCATCATATAGGTGGAATATTGCTGAGTGCGGCGTTAAACAACAAACAAATCAGACCATTGTATATCAAACATCATGATTATTATGTTTATCTAGTTTGTGCGTGTAATTCCATTTGAATGGAATGTATTGATTCATCTTGTGTTGAGCCCAGTAAATGTTTTGTAGAAACTGTACAAAGCTGTGCAAGAGGCCTTCGTCCGTCTCCATGACAAGAAACTCATCTACCGCAGCGTCCGACTTGTCAACTGGTCTTGTACACTTAACTCCGCCATCTCAGACATTGAGGTAAATGTGATTTGTCAGGAGGTGTGTTAGAATTGTCTTTTAACATGCTTAGAACTAGGGCTGGAACGATATGCCAACTGTGTGATCCGACAATACCTTGCTCACAATCCAGTACATATCAAGATACTTGCATGTGCTCTTAGTTGTAGTGCGTAAGCCATCTATTTCATAGACAGGATATCTGGCACACTGACGATTTACAGTTGGCCAAGTCAATTATGGCACAGTGGATGAAAATAGTAACAGTTTCACTTTTAGTTAGTGTTTGTTTGCTGTTATGGTTAGTAAAGTCAATTACATTTACAGTAAGAATCAATATTTTTTAAGTTAGTGTCTAGCTTTGATTGATGCTTGTATCGGGAAGTTAAAAATCCACATCCACCATCATACATGTACCACCACTACTTACAAATGTAGGTGACCGCCTCTGTGGTCTAGTGATAGAGCGTCCACCCGGAGAGCGGAAGGTCTGGGGTTCAATCCCCGGCCACGTCATACCAAAAGACGTTAAAAGATGGTACTTGTTGTTACCCTGCCTGGCACTCGGCATTAAGGGCCTAAAACAAGGACTGGTCGGCTCGGTGTCAGTATACTGTGTCTGAGCGGGGTATCCATGTTAAACTGTGGCATGGTATCTCAGTGGGCTAGCACTATAAATCGGCATTGGTCCGGACTAGTACTAGCAGCCACACACACACACACACACACACACACACAGGCTATATATGTGCAATAATCTTGACGTGACGTTAAACCCCATTTCACCTCACCTACAATAGTAGGTTTGTTTGCCATTGATTCAGTGCCTGTGTCCTCCATCTGAGTTTATGTTGTACCCCAGGTGGACAAGAAGGAGATCTCAGGGCGCACCATGCTGGCCGTCCCGGGCTACAAGGACAAAGTAGAGTTTGGTGTCCTCATCTCTTTTGCTTACAAGGTCGAGGGATCAGGTACGACTTTAAAATATTATCATCATATTGTGCGCTGTAAACAGCAATATATAGAGAAAGCAAATTTTAACTTTTTTTAAATTTATGGAATTGTTCGTTTGCATGTCTACTTTAGGTGCTGCCAAAGTTTAACATTCATACTATTTTCTTTCACAATCCATTACCCTATTATATAATTAAGTGACTTTGATTGATGTTTCTTGTACCTATACCAGGTTGGTGGGGTCACATTGAAGGCCCTGGTGTGAGTGCCACATTGGTACAATGCATGAAGCCCTATACGTGAAGTTTCGGGTTAGAATAGGTCTTCAGCTACCCATATTTGTCGTAAGAGGCAACTAACGGGATCTGGTGGTCAGGTTCATTGACTTGGTTGATGCATGTCGTTGTATCCCAATTGGTAGATCGATGCTCATGATATCAATCACTGGATTGTCTGGGCCAGCTGTAATATAGCTGGAATATTGCTGAGTGCGGCGTTAAACAACAAACAAACAAACATAAAGCCCAGGTGTCCATTGTCAGCTTACAAGTCCACCCACTCACCCACTCACTATTGTCCAGAATGTAACACAAGACATGTCTACAAGGAAAGCTTTTGTTCAGATGAGGAGATTGTGGTTGCTACCACTCGTATTGAGACGATGCTGGGCGACACTGCAGTGGCCGTCCATCCTGAGGACCCCCGCTACAAACATCTGCATGGGAAGAGTGTCATTCACCCCTTCACAGACCGGCGCCTACCCATCGTGTGTGACGACTTTGTTGAGAGAGAGTTCGGAACAGGTAAGGATCATTCAACATAATCATGTATATGCAGTGTGTCATGAAATATATGTGTCACCAACATGATACGAGTGAATCCATCCTGGATATGCAGTGAATTATATCTATTATATAGAGGATATAATATTCATGTTCATATCATATTACATTAAGTAATACCTTACCACGAGGCTGTTGTCAAGAGTGAAGGGTGTTACATGACAGCATGGGTGGCTAGGCACGTGCTGCATGAGGTAATTGAGATCTCTGTGGAAGATTTCGCTATAAGCATGATAAGAGCAGTTGTGGGAGACAACAGCCTCGGTATAACAGTGGTAACATATTACTTATAGAATATTCCGAATAGGAAAATTCTACAAATTATGTTTATGAACGAGTGTCATTTAGGCACTCGTGTCGTAAACATAGTGTGACATGAACACGAATATAATGTATTTATTACCGAAGAAGATGTCTATGTACAGAGACAAATATTAGTATTTACCTATCAGGGCAGCAAGTCGCAACAGTAGCGGAACCACAATTTATCGAATGAGGTCAACGATCTTCAGCTGTGACCTTGTTTCTAGTGTGACGTTATTCCGACTTCACGCCACAATAAGATTTGAATGACATAAAACAATGCCGTCTGGATGACGGAAACAATGCACTGTTGTCTCGTAACGTGATATGATCCAGAGTGTTTATCATGATAGAACAGACATATGATGCACTGAATGGTTGGTCAAGGATCAGTGCTCCAGGATCAGTACAGTCATAGTCGTTATCAGAACTGACGAGTACCAGACATATATTTGGGAACCAATAAGTACCATACTGTTCATTTCTAAACTTGACGAGTACTGGTATGATATTTTGCCGCCATCATTCAAAGACCTTGTGTTGTACATTCAAAATTTGGTGCAAAACTAACGTAAGCATAACCGAGACGAGAGAATTTGAGAACATTATTATTAGCCAATGACAATGCACGATTGGGAGAAAATCCATTTGCTGCTGACACGAAATGATGTATTACCATTGAAGCGGAAGTTGACCGGGTAATGCCTTATAAGGTAAATTGTTTTAATACTGTTTTGTAGGATGTTTTTGAGAATAAATAGACAATGTATGGTAATAATTAATTATGAAAGTGTAAAGTCTTGTTTGCCTGCGTATTTGATACGGTTGTAATTTGCAATCTGTCTGTTTTTGACTACCTTTTGTCTGTACAATATGCTGATATCCAGTTTGCATAGGACTGTTTGTGTTTCTTAATGTCTCAAACCAAGTCCTCCATTGACAGGTGCTGTGAAGATCTGTTTGTGTTTCTCAATGTCTGAAACCAAGTCCTCCATTGACAGGTGCTGTGAAGATCTGTTTGTGTTTCTCAATGTCTGAAACCAAGTCCTCCATTGACAGGTGCTGTGAAGATCTGTTTGTGTTTCTCAATGTCTCAAACCAAGTCCTCCATTGACAGGTGCTGTGAAGATCTGTTTGTGTTTCTCAATGTCTCAAACCAAGTCCTCCATTGACAGGTGCTGTGAAGATCTGTTTGTGTTTCTCAATGTCTCAAACCAAGTCCACCATTGACAGGTGCTGTGAAGATCTGTTTGTGTTTCTCAATGTCTCAAACCAAGTCCTCCATTGACAGGTGCTGTGAAGATCACGCCTGCCCATGACCATAATGACTACGAGGTTGGGGTGCGTCACAAGCTGGAACGGTTGAACATCATTGATGAGAAGGGAAATATCACTGGAGACTGTGGACAGTTCACTGTAAGTGCAGGATTACTTATGTAGCACTTAATGCTCTTATAGGAGATAGGATCACTTAAAGCAGCACTTAATGCTCTTATAGCTGCCAGGATCACTTAAAGCAGCACTTAATGCTCTTAAAGAGGAAAGGATATCTTAAAGAAGCACTTAATGCTCTTACAGAGGACAGGATCACTTTAAGCAGCACATAATGCTCTTATGGAGGATGGCTCACTTAAAGTAGCACTTAATGCTCTTATAGGAGACAGGATCTCTTAAAGCAGCACTTAATGCTCTTATAAAGGACAGGATCACTTAAAGCAGCACATAATGCTCTTATAGAAGAAAGGATGACTTAAAGTAGCACTTAATGTTCTTATAGAAGACAGGATGACTTAAAGTAGCACTTAATGCTCTTATAGAAGACAGGATGACTTAAAGTAGCACTTAATGCTCTTATAGAAGACAGGATGACTTAAAGTAGCACTTAAAGCTCTTATAGAAGACAGGATCTCTTTAAGCAGCACATAATGCTCTTATGGAGGATGTATCACTTAAAGAAGCACTTAATGCTCTTATAGAAGAAGGGCTCACTTAAAGTAGCACTTAATGCTCTTAGAGAAGACAGGATGACTTAAAGTAGCACTTAATGCTCTTGTAGAAGACAGGATCTCTTTAAGCAGCACTTAATGCTCTTATGGAGGATGTATCACTTAAAGAAGCACTTAATGCTCTTATAGAAGAAGGGCTCACTTAAAGTAGCACTTAATGCTCTTAGAGAAGACAGGAGGACTTAAAGTAGCACTTAATGCTCTTATAGAAGACAGGATCACTTAAAGCAGCACTTAATTCTCTTATAGAAGACAGGATCACTTAAAGCAGCATCTTATGCTCTTATAGAAGACAGGATCACTTAAAGAAGCCCTTAACACTCTTGTAGAAGACAGGATCTCTTAAAGTGGCACTTAATGCTCTTACAGAAGATAGGATCACTTTAAGCAGCACTTAGTGCTCCTATAGAAGACAGGATCACTTAGTTTGGAGTTCTAAATCCCTGGTGTAAACTGATAACATCAGGATACAATCATGCTGATAGGCCAGCTTTGGTTAATGGGGTTGAAAAGAAATCATTCTTTCTGATTGGAATGCATGGCTTTGGTTGTGGCAAGGTGTATGTTATGATTGCAGGGCATGAAGAGGTTTGATGCCAGGATAGCTGTTCTTCAGGCCCTCAAAGACAAGGGCTTGTACCGGGACACCAAAGACAACCCTATGGTGGTCCCTACCTGCAGGTGGGTCATTGGTCAACTAACCCTCTCCGGGGTCTAGTGGTAGAGCGTCCACCTGGAGAGCGGAAGGTTGGGGTTCGATCCCCGGGTGTGTCATACCATAAGATGTTAAAAAGATGGTACTTGTTGTTGCTCAGCGTTAAGGGGTTAAAACAAGGACTGGTCGGCTCGGAGTCAGTATACTGTTTCTGAGTGGGGTAGTCATGTTAAACTGCAGCATGGTATCTGAGTGTGCTAGCTCTATGAAATCCGCATTAATTACATTAAGTAATACGTTACCACTGTTATACCGAGGCTGTTGTCTCCCACAACTGCTGCTATAGCGAAATCTACCACAGAGATTACCTCATGCAGCACGTGCGTAGCCACCTAGCTGCCATGTGACAACCTTCACTCTTGTCTCTTCGCTTGCTCTAGCAAGACGTACAATAAACTGCTCAAGCGTTCCTGTTTCTCCGACCATTCGGTGATATTTATTACTGTTTATTCTCTCTAATAAACTGTGCTTTTACGGGGCGTTTGCTGTAACTACGCTTGGAAATATTTTTCCTGCCAAAAGGAAATATTTTTCCCGCCCTTTTTTTTTATATACTTGCAGGGTGTCTCGTATGCACGTTGCGTCTTACGTTCCCCTGTTCTAGTATATCTTGGGGTTTTTACATCACTTATTCCTCTATATGTTATATGTGTATGTTCTATATTCCCATTGCTCGTTTATTTTCTTGTGAAAATACTCGTTTGTGACTATTTGTGGTGCGTGTGTTTTGCTCTTTGTTCATAGTACAAACAAAATGTCTGACATGGATGTTTTGCCGTCCTCCACCCCCTCTACCCCCGCAACCAGGAGCTGAGGGGTGTGCCGCAAGCGAGCGCTACCGGCTGTATGTGCAGTCCGTTTCCACCCCTGTGGTGGCCAGCTCGTCCGGTCGGGGTCCCCTTGCGGGTACCACCACCACGGCTGCGGCGGATCCCTTGGTGGCCCGTGGGCTGTCCGGGAATTCCGTCGCTGCATTACTTGCATAACTTGTGGACTCACCGGTCCTTCCCCCGAACCGTTGCTCCCGCTATCGGTTAAGGACCGCGTGGCCATGGTTTATGACCTCTTTGAGGACATGCCCCGGCCGGTACCGCGGGGAATCCACGACTGTGGGTTCCTCCGAGGTATACGATGAGTCTTCCGACACGGCTTTCCCCGCATCAACCTTGCTGCGCGCTCCGGTTAGGAGCGGCACCCAGGCGCCTATGCAGGGACCCAACAAGAGCAAGTGTGTGCCGAGAGTCCTCGGCAACGTACTCCAGGGAAGCATTTAAACTGAGCAGGCAGTTGTAAATGCGCTGGTCACGGTCCATGGGAGAACCTTCGACCAGACTGGCCGCTGCAGCCAAGTAAGTGTCTCCGTGAGACATGGAGTGCCAAGCGAGGGCGTCCAGCTGGTGCAAGGTAGGCACGGCAGCCGGTGGGGCACGGACACCCAACCGCTCAACATGGGCCTCCGAGGTAGGACCAGCCTCGGGAAAGGCAAGGTCATGTACCGGGAATAAACCCTTTCTCCACGACGTCGGAGGCAACGGGAGACCCCGACCGGAGGCCGCCGCGAAGGCGTTCTCCAAGGAAGGCTTGATACCGCGCAGCAAGGTTGATGCGGGGAAAGCCGTGTCGGAAGACTCATCGTATACCTCGGAGGAACCCACAGTCGTGGATTCCCCGCGGTACCGGCCGGGGCATGTCCTCAAAGAGGTCATAAACCATGGCCACGCGGTCCTTAACCGATAGCGGGAGCCCTTAACACTCTTGTAGAAGACAGGATCTCTTAAAGTGGCACTTAATGCTCTTACAGAAGATAGGATCACTTTAAGCAGCACTTAGTGCTCCTATAGAAGACAGGATCACTTAGTTTGGAGTTCTAAATCCCTGGTGTAAACTGATAACATCAGGATACAATCATGCTGATAGGCCAGCTTTGGTTAATGGGGTTGAAAAGAAATCATTTCTTTCTTTTCTGGAATGCATGGCTTTGGTTGTGGCAAGGTGTATGTTATGATTGCAGGGCATGAAGAGGTTTAATGCCAGGATAGCTGTTCTTCAGGCCCTCAAAGACAAGGGCTTGTACCGGGACACGGCTTTCCCCGCATCAACCTTGCTGCGCGGTATCAAGCCTTCCTTGGAGAACGCCTTCGCGGCGGCCTCCGGTCGGGGTCTCCCGTTGCCTCCGACGTCGTGGAGAAAGGGTTTATTCCCGGTACATGACCTTGCCTTTCCCGAGGCTGGTCCTACCTCGGAGGCCCATGTTGAGCGGTTGGGTGTCCGTGCCCCACCGGCTGCCGTGCCTACCTTGCACCAGCTGGACGCCCTCGCTCGGCACTCCATGTCTCACGGAGACACTTACTTGGCTGCAGCGGCCAGTCTGGTCGAAGGTTCTCCCATGGACCGTGACCAGCGCATTTACAACTGCCTGCTCAGTTTAAATGCTTCCCTGGAGTACGTTGCCGAGGACTCTCGGCACACACTTGCTCTTGTTGGGTCCCTGCATAGGCGCCTGGGTGCCGCTCCTAACCGGAGCGCGCCCCAGGCTGCTGCGGCCGGTAGGTCTAAGGGGTCGGGTTCTTCTTCCTCTGGGAAGTAGCCCCGCCCTGAGGGCTCCGGTATGGGCAATCAGCTGCCCTTTCACGGGAAGACGGGGAACTTGGGGAAGCCCAAGTCGTCTAAGGACTGCAAGGGCCCCTCCAGGTGACTCTCATTGGAGGGGTTCGTATGCCGACAGCGCCAACTTCGGTTGGCCCTTAGGCGAACCCGAGTCACTTGGCCCTGGACAGTTGCGCCTGCCGCAGCCTGTCAGGGCCCCCTCCCCTTCCCCAGTGGAAGCCAGACTCCAGACTTACTGGGAGAATTGGGAACAAGTGTTCGACGACCCGTGGGTGGTCAACACGATTCGGTACGGCTATCGGCTTGATCTCAAAGCGAATCCGCCGCTCACCGTTGCCCTGTTGGCAGGTTTCGATTCGGAAACCGATCTTCCCATCCTCGCCGATGCCATCGGCAGGTTGGTGGAGAAGGGGCAGTACGGGAGTTAGCTCTACCAGAAATAACATAGGGGTTTTACTCCAGGATATTTCTTGTTCCCAAGTAGGACAGTGCCGCACTCAGAATGATTCACACGTCCGTTCCCTGGCTGTTCACTGGTTAACCACCCCCATAGTGGGGTTCCTCCACAGGAGGGGTGTCCGGTACTTCGCGTACCTGGACGACTCGCTAGTAGCAAATCGAATGACGGACACCCTGTCACGCCATCTCGTTTTCGCACGTCGGCTCTTGGAGCAATTGGGGTGGATTATCAATCTCCCCAAGAGCGAGTTAACCCCTTCTCAGAACTTGCTGTTCATCAGAGGTCGGTTCAACACGGTGTCCCATCGCCTCTTTGTCCCCCCAGACCGGTGGCACAAGATTCAGGTGATGATTGCCAAAGTCTTAGCGGTGCAACAGACTGTTCACTTTTGGGAACAGCTGTAAGGGCTACTTGTGTCAGCCCAGGACTGCACCGAACGGGGTCGTCTCTAACTCCGCCCGCTGCAACGGTTTCCAATCCAGTTGTTAGCAACGGAGGTGAACAGTGCGACCGTCGCCCTCCCGGATCGGCTCCGACCGCATCTGGAGTGGTGGACGGTCCCTTACAATGTCTTATCAGGAGTCTCTATGCGGCCCTACCGGGCCACGTTGAACCTGTATACAGACGCCTCTGTAGTGGGCTGGGGCGCCCATCTAGAGGGGGAGGTGAGCTCGGGGCTGTGGTGCGTAGACGAACTAGGTCTTCACATCAATTGTCTCGAGTTCAAGGCAGTGATCAACGTAGTCAATCACTGGAAGCGTCGTCTCGTCGACGCCCGGCTCATGCTGGTGACCGACAACACGATGGTAGTGTCCTATGTGAACAAACTGGGGGGAACCCACAGTCACTCGCTACTCGATCTCACGTTCGAGTTTTACGCTCTGGTGGACAGTGTCCCGTGCCAGATACGCGCCCGTCACATCCCAGGTGTGCGGAACGTACTGGCCGATGCTCTATCGAGGCCTCAGGATCCGAGCCCCACAGAGTGGATGCTGAACCCAGTAGTGTTTCAGTGGCTGTGCGAACATTGGGTCGTCCGATGGTCGACCTGTTCGCATCGCGGTTCAACAATCAACTCCCGTTGTTTGTATCACCAGTCCCGGACCCGAGGGCCATCGATCACGATGCTCTCGCGTTAGACTGGACGGGCTTGGACGCTTATGCTTACCCGCCGACAGCGTTGATACCACACATTCTAAGCCGGCTCCGAGGAGTTCGCTGTGGAATGTTACTGATCGCGCCCATGTGGCCGAACAGATCGTGGTACCCCGACTTGCTGACCCAGGTCACGCAGTCGCCACTTCCACTGCCTGTGAGACCGGATCTCTTGATCCACCCTCACACCCGTCAGCTTCATCCAAACGCAGGGCAGTTCAATCTGCACGCGTGGATGTTGTCACCGAGCGTCTGAGGAGTAAAGGTTTTTCTCGCCGGGCGTCTCGGGCATACGTTAGTATGCATCGTGATTCTACCCAGAAGGTGTATAATGCACGTTGGGTTATTTTCACGAAGTGGTGTTGTAAACATCACATTCATTCGCCAGATAAGGTATCTGTGCAGGATATTGCTCGTTTCATGTCTCACTTGCGAGAGACCCGGAAACTCTCCGGGGGTTCCATTGCCAACTTTGTCTCGTCCGTTGCTACGGTACGGGACGTTGCTATGGGTACCAGTCTCTCCAAAGAGCCGGTGATACGGGGTATTATCAAGGGTTTCAAACAGCACGATCTTAAGAAGGGCCGCCTTCGGGCACCGGCCTGGGATCTTTCCTAGTGTTGCAATCACTTACGGAAGCTCCGTATGAACCCTTGCATAGTGCTTCGTTCCGGCATGTGACTTGGAAAACAGCATTTCTCCTCTCCTTTGCCACGGTGGCACGTGTATCCGAAATTCATGCACTCGATGTCGCCAAGGTACGATTCGATAGGGGTGACGAAGGAGCGGTCCGCCTGGGCCTGCTCATGGGCTTCGTCGCCAAGAATCAGAGAGTCGGGCAAACGGAGAGTGAATTCACTGTAAGATCACTCAAAGAAATCTTACATCCTGCTGATACTGAGGACAGAGCGCTGTGTCCGGTTAGGGCCCTTAAGTATTATCTTAAGGCTTCGAATGAACGTAGACAAGGGCGTGACCGTCTGTTCATATCGTGTAACCCTAATCGCACGGTTGACATAACTCGCAACTCGATTGCGTTGTGGCTTCATTCTGTCATCAATCTGGCGTACCGGTCTCGGGGGTTACCAGTAGCGGGGTCAAACCCGCACGAGATCAGGGCGCTAGCGGCACCATTTGCCCTACACTCGAATATCTCTGTTCGCAGAATATTACGAGGTTGTTACTGGCGTTCTGACTCGGTTTTTGCCAATCATTACCTCAAACAGGTCGCTGATGCCGTCGTGGAGAGTGTGCACCGTCTTGGCCCGCGGATCGCGGCGCAAGCGGGCACCTAAGGGGTGTGCCCAGCGCAATTCTGAACTCCTCAGGCGTCAGACCTTGCACGGTGGTCAATCTGGGTCGACTCCAATGTTCCCACTGCCATGGATACAGGAGTTGGGGTCCCGCAAACCAGCGCACTCACACCACAGGTGAGGGCGGCTTTTTGTGTGCTTTGTCCTTATTTGTATTTTGACAATTATGTATTTAATTGTCTGTCGTGTATCCCAACCTTGTGATGCATGCTTACAAATACTGGAATTAGGTCACGCGCCTAATGCATACTTTAAGTAGGCTTGCTCTGGGATATACGGTCTGAATGAAATTAATTTCCCTCTTTTCGACTGTTTAACCTGATCTAAGATTAAGCTCACGCGGATACAGTGTTCTCATCCGCTGCGGCGATGAAATACCTATCCAGTGGGGCCGTTTGGAGTCACCAATCGTTTTGGCAATGACGATTGAGCCTTACGGTATGCGCTTGACAGTGCTTTGGTATTCCTATAGGGTAACGCCTAGCTAGGTGCATGCGCATCGAGTGCTTCCGCCTTGGTGTTTACTTCCGCTGGTCGGAAGGAACGCTAGCAGTCAGGATTCGGGTTGTAGGTGCTCCCCACCGCCTACTGTGGTAGTCAGCCTCGGTATAACAGTGGTAATGTATTACTTAATGTAATTTGTAGAATTTTCCTATTCGGAATATTCTATAAGTAATACGTTACCACTGGGCTGCTGCCCGCCCGTCCGTCCCCCGAGCACTTGCTCTCGCAAGAGACAAGAGTGAAGGGTGTCACTCACATGGCAGCTAGGTGGCTACGCACGTGCTGCATGAGGTAATTGAGATCTCTGTGGTAGATTTCGCTATAGCAGCAGTTGTGGAGACAACAGCCTCGGTATAACAGTGGCAACGTATTACTTATAGAATATTCCGAATAGGAAAATTCTACAAGTATGGACTAGTACAAGCAGTCACACACACGTACATGGACGTAGCTGTATAAGTGCAATAATCTTGAATGTGATGTTCAATCCTATTTCATAGGAGGTCCAATCTGCCAGTCAGGATCAAGGCTTGTAAAGTCTTGGTACCTGTGAGCAAAGCGTTTGCTCAAGCCTATCTGATTTCTGTTTTCAAAAACAAATATGATCAGGGAGTTCCAAATAAAAAAAGTAATGCTGCGCAATTATATTATTGTAGATATATTATACATCCAGTCTTTTCTGAACACCATGGCATCTACACCCAAATTGGTGTACTATTGAGGGTATGTTTGTTTTCCCTGTCTCACATACCCATGGAAATGAAACTCTTGTGTTTTCTTTGCTTCACTGACGTTTAACTGGCTGCAGGTGAACACCATCAGTTGTCTGAAGATTCAAACAAGGCCTAACACAATACATTCCTAATAACTGACTCGGTGTGACATGATTTGAGAGCACCAGCTGAAAGCAGATGCCACTGTAAACATTTTGGGTTTTTTCAAGACCCTTCCGGAACTATGATTTGTGAAAAGTCAAAATGAAACTGACCGGCAAAATTTTACTAATGTCCGGAAACACCAAGAGGAAGCACTGGTCAGTGTATTTGCATTATCCAGATAGATTGATGGGGAACAATGAGAGGTACTCCGCGTGGCCCATATATATTCCACCATTCTTCAGTCTTCTGTAGGACCTGTGAAGATCAGGGGTAGAATAGGTCTTCAGCAACCCATGCTTGCAGTAAGAGGAGACTATGCTTGTCGTAAGATGCAACTAACAGGATCTGGTGGTCAGGCTCACTGACTTGGTTGATGCATGTCATCGTATCCCAATGGTGTGGATAGATGCTCTTGATGTCAATTACTGGATTGACTGGTCCAGACCAGCTACAGTATTGCTGATTATTGGGTTAACAAACATGATTTCCCTTCATTGTTTCAGTCGGTCCAAGGATGTTATTGAGCCCCTGCTGAAGCCACAGTGGTATATTGATGTGAAGGACATGAATGCTGCAGCAATCAAGGTGAGTTTCAGTCACCAGGTTGACCCTGCGGGCATTCACGGCCACAAGTGCTCCCCAATACACAAGCTTGTTGTAGGAGATGAGTGAGTGAGTATGGTTTTACGCCGCTTTTAGCAATATTCCAGCAATATCACGGCGGGGGACACCAGAAATGGGCTTCACGCATTGTACCCATGTCGGGATTCGAACCTGGGTCTTCCGCGTGACGAGCGAGAGCTTTAACCACTAGGCTACCCGACCGCCCCTTGTAGGAGATGATTAATGAGTGTCTGATGGATACAGTGGTAGTGTGTCATTATTCCCTGACAGTGTGGGCCAATGTTCATGATATCAACCACTGGTTTGTCTGAGTGATACAGTGGTTGTGTGTCATTATTCCCTGACAGTGTGGGCCAATGTTCTTGATATCAACCACTGGTTTGTCTGAGTGATACAGTGGTTGTGTGTCATTATTCCCTGACAGTGTGGGCCAATGTTCATGATATCAACCACTGGTTTGTCTGAGTGATACAGTGGTTGTGTGTCATTATTCCCTGACAGTGTGGGCCAATGTTCATGATATCAACCACTGGTTTGTCTGAGTGATACAGTGGTTGTGTGTCATTATTCCCTGACAGTGTGGGCCAATGTTCATGATATCAACCACTGGTTTGTCTGAGTGATACAGTGGTTGTGTGTCATTATTCCCTGACAGTGTGGGCCAATGTTCATGATATCAACCACTGGTTTGTCTGAGTGATACAGTGGTTGTGTGTCATTATTCCCTGACAGTGTGGGCCGATGTTCATGATATCAACCATTGGTTTGTCTGAGTGATACAGTGGTAGCAGAGCTCCAGATAAGCTGCGTAACTGCGTAAAATACGCATCAGAAATGCAGAGATACGCAGTAAAATAAAATCCAAGCGTATCAAATACGCAACGAACATTACAGATGCGCTACAAAAATAAGACTTGTGCGTATCATCAAAATATTGTGAAGTAACCTTGCGTATTCGATAAGGAAATCAGCAACTTATTTTGAAATTATAAACTGGCATTCAGTCAACGTTGCCAAACCCCACGATGACAGTTACATCATGATCATTTGCCATCACACTTTCTTGTGGAAGTATCGTGGTATTTTTGAGTCCTATAAAGCTCGCGAACCAACACGACATTAGTTTGCAGGGACCAGATGAATAGTGTTTTTAAACATTTAACTTAAATACCCATATGTGTAAAAACTAGTGGGTAACATAAATTTGAATACCCAGATAGAATTACTGATACCGAATGATTTTAAAATGCATGGGTAAAATACCCACAACACCAAAAGCTAATCTGGAGCTCTGGGTAGTGTGTCATTATTCCCTGACAGCGTGGGCCGATGTTCATGATATCAACCACTGGTTTGTCTGAGTGATAAAGTGGTAGTGTGTCATTATTCCTTGACAGTGTGGGCCAATGTTCATGATATCAACCACTGGTTTGTCTGAGTGATACAGTGGTAGTGTGTCATTATTCCCTGACAGTGTGGGCCGATGTTCACGATATCAACCACTGGTTTGTCTGAGTGATACAGTGGTTGTGTGTCATTATTCCCTGACAGTGTGGGCCAATGTTCATTATATCAACCACTGGTTTGTCTGAGTGATACAGTGGTTGTGTGTCATTATTCCCTGACAGTGTGGGCCAATGTTCATGATATCAACCACTGGTTTGTCTGAGTGATACAGTGGTAGTGTGTCATTATTCCCTGACAGTGTGGGCCGATGTTCATGATATCAACCACTGGTTTGTCTGAGTGATACAGTGGTTGTGTGTCATTATTCCCTGACAGTGTGGGCCAATGTTCATGATATCAACCACTGGTTTGTCTGAGTGATACAGTGGTAGTGTGTCATTATTCCCTGACAGTGTGGGCCGATGATCATGATATCAACCACTGGTTTGTCTGAGTGATACAGTGGTTGTGTGTCATTATTCCCTGACAGTGTGGGCCAATGTTCATGATATCAACCACTGGTTTGTCTGAGTGATACAGTGGTTGTGTGTCATTATTCCCTGACAGTGTGGGCCGATGATCATGATATCAACCACTGGTTTGTCTGAGTGATACAGTGGTTGTGTGTCATTATTCCCTGACAGTGTGGGTTGGTTTGTCTGGTCAAATGATTTGATGAAATACTACAGTTAACAAGCAGCATCGTCTTCAGGGATTAGGGTCTTTGATGATTATTTCTTTTTGTTCTTCAGGCTGTGAAGGACGGAGAGTTGAAGATTATCCCCGAAATGCACATCAAGACGTGGAACAACTGGCTGGGGAATGTCCAGTGAGTACCTATGTTTACAGTTTCTAGATCCTTGACTCAGCGTGCTGGCATTGGTGTTTTCAGGGAATCATTGCAGATAGTGCTCCAGTGTCTTCTGTTAGTTGAAAGAGGCCTACGATAGAATCACCTGAATTTTGTGTTGTAGCATTATGAAATGATTATGATATAGGGTTAGTTAAGGACGTCTACTCCTTTACATATAATAAAATCCAAAAGATCAAACTTATTTTTCATGGATATGGTAAACAAAATACCTGCTGACACATCCATGAGGATTTCAGGTACAAATATAGGTCCCCAGCAGTCTATGCTGGTTGTAATAGGCAACTAAATGGATTGGGTGGTCAGACTCGGTGACTTGGTTGAATGCATGTCATCATAACCCAATTACCTGGATCAATACTTATGATGTTGATCACAGGATCGTGTTGTCCAGAATATTTCAGAGTGGGGCATTAAACAACAGACAAAGGGTGTCTACAAAAGGACATATGTTCATAAGAAAATACAAATCTGTAATTGACAACTTTAGAATGACTGTAAAATAGCAAATAGTTCCAATTCCCTATTTTCAACGACGCCCTATGTCCCAGGTAAAACCAGACTGGGGAGAGTCGTAGCCATGTTGTATGTCAGGGGATGTTGATGTGTGGATGTTTGTGTGCAGGGACTGGTGTATATCACGGCAGCTGTGGTGGGGACATCGCATCCCCGCCTACTTCGTCACTGTTGATGACCCAAGCGTCAAGCCAGGCCAGGTAGGTCACAGTTTCTCTCATTTTCTGGAATGCTGCTATTTTCATAAATATACAATAACTTTGGAGAGAAACATCCAAATTTGATGGACTGTAGTTATGTATGATTCTTAAGAGTGTCACCACCTTCATGTGGTTCAAGGCCCCCTCCGTGGTCCAGTGGTAGAGCATCCATCCAGAGAGCAGAAGGTCGGGGGTTCCAAGAGGTTATAGGATGGTACTTGTTGTTGGTGCTTGACATTAAGGGGCTAAAACAAGCAATGGTCATTTCGGCATCAGTATGCTGTGTCTGAGTGGGGTATTCATGTTAAACTGTGACATGGTATCTCAGTGGACTAGCACTATAAATCGGCATCAGTCTGGACTAGTACAAGCAGCCACACACACACAAATGTGCATGGACGTCGCTATGTAAGTGCAGTATATAACCCCATTTTATCTCACCTTCAGGGGTGCTAGGGTAGCCTAGTGGTTAAAGCGTTCGCTTGTCACGCTGAAGATCCGGTTTCAAATCCCTACATGGGCACAATGCGTGAAGCCCATTTCTGGGGTCCCCTGCCGTGATATTGCTGGAATATTGCTAAAAGCAGCATAAAACCATACTCACTCACTCTCACCTTCATGTTGTGCAGCTGTATGTTGTGTGTGTTGACTACAGGACAGTGATGGGGATTACTGGGTGTGTGGACGCACGGAGGAGGAAGCCCGACAGGCAGCCGCAAAGAAGTTCAACGTCCCACTTGAAAAAATTTCCCTCAAACAAGGTAGGTAAACAAAAGCAACAAATCCCTTTTCATATTCATAAGAAATGTCTGCCTAAAGCAGAGTCCACTGTACGATCCTGACCACATCGTGAGCATGTGTCTATGAATCAAGTTATAAACCTTTTGGGACGTGACACTGTGTTGTGAGTAGGTTCTTTAACATGTTGATAAACTGTGAATGTAATCATTGACCAGGAAATCCTGGGCATTTGGAAGGAAATGCACCAGCATTGTTTGAATTGTAAATTGTGAATTTTATTAACTAACTTTTTGATAAGCAAAAATTTCTGGAAAAGATTTTCACAATGGATTGAATCCAAGTGTCCACATACTGGCAAGATAAATCTTACTTCAGATCTAATTCTTTTTGGCTTTTCAAAACATTTCCACACCGATGATATTTTTGATCTGATACTCTTATTGGCCAAATTTCACATTTATAGATGCAAAATGAAAAATAACCAACCAACCATTACACATTTCCAAAATGAGGTTAAATATTATTACCAAATAGAAAAATATAGACACTTTAATAAAGTCAAACAGACTGAATTCTATACGAAATGGGCTCCTTATGAAAACCTTTTCAAAATATAAACATTTGCTATTCCAAAACTTTACTAAAAATATATCCTGCATTCTGTCTTCATAAGTACTAAAGCTTCTAGTGAGTGTGAATGTGTATATGGATGTGTGTGAATGATATGTACTTTCTTTAAAAACCCTGGTCATGTATTTTGACTCCTATCAAAACACGATGTACTTTTACCAGGAACAATAAAAAAAACTAAAAAAAACAACAAAAAAACCAACTAATTTTTTGATATAAATCGAATGTTGATTTTTGATTGGTTAAAAGTGAAATGAAAATTCCATGACGTGAATCGAACCTGCATCCTCACGTATCATGTTTAGTTTTGTAACCCACTGTTCTCCCACTGAGCCACCAGGGCAGCTGATGAAGGGTGTTCAATCTTACATGTCATGACTTCACTTGTGTGATAGCTTTCATCGAATTCCTTGTATCCCGCGATGTACTTTTTCACTGTAAGGTATCCCGGTGTATAAGGTAGATGGTTTGCAAGCTGGATAAAAAATCTCCTAATCAGGATATTGGGTCGGCCTTTCCCCCAAAACCTTCTGCCTTGGGCTTACATTCTCAGTGAAGACTGAGGAGGAGGTTTTTATCCTTGATATCAAACAGTGATGATACCAGGTGTTCGCGAAAAGGTGAGCGTATCCTGCCCCATGAGTGGCACCCATCATAAACACATGCAAAAGCATGTAAATTGTCTACCATAAAACCTTTTGAAAGCTTTACTGGGGCCTTGAATATTGTAACCTTCATCAAACAACTTTTTGAAAAATGATGCTCTCTCAATCTTCGTAAAACAAGCATGCTCAATTTTCCCTTAAAAGTTGTCAAATGTAGACAATCATGACTGTTGCTGCTGGAATATTGCTCAACATAAAGGGAAAGTTGAAGTCATCCCTCTTGTCATACAGTCTTGTGGGGAGTTAGTTGTATTGTTGTTGGTGCTTTCAATTACACGTTGCCTGGTCTGGACTCGCATTGTCAGGCTGTAGTGAATATTAGGGGTGAAACGGTACAGGAAGGTGATGATACGATACATATCACAATACATAGGTCATGATACGATATGTATCCCGATACGCCAGATCATGTGGAAACTTGACTATGAATATTTCAGAGCAGGTTCAAAGGGAAAGGCTAGCTGTACACACGTTCTTAGCTGCTATTTTTAGTAGTGATCTTGAAACGCTAATTACAACACATTTTGCAGTAACTGACAGACAAAAACGTTTGTAGGTAATTAAACGAGTAATAAATAATTTATTTAAGCCAGTGTTTCTTCTTGTATCGATACATTAAAAAATGTATCTTGTATGGTAACTCCCGATGCACCGATGTATCATTTCACCCTGAGTGACTATAGTCATGGCCATGCTTGTGTTTCAGATGAGGATGTGCTAGACACGTGGTTCTCATCAGCTATCTTCCCCTTTTCCATATTTGGCTGGCCGGACCAGGTGGGTTCTCACATGTTTCTCTAGCCATAGGCTACATAAGTCAATGATTGGGAGAATAATCATGTAGGTTTAGCTGTCATAAGTGAATTCGGCTTGTGAAGATCTGGGGTAAAATAGGTCTTCAGCAACCCATTCTTGCCATAAAAGGCGACTATGCTTTTCGTAAGAGGCGACTAACGGGATCAGGTGGTCAGGCATGCTGACTTGGTTGATGCATGTCATCGTATCCTAATTGCGTTGATCGATGCTCATGATATCATCACTGGATTGTCTGGTACAGACTCGATTATTTACAGACCATCGTTATATAGCTGGAATATTGCTGAGTGCGGCATTAAACAACAAACCAACCAACCTAGGTGAATTAATGTTGTAAGTTCCAACCATAAATTCCTGTCAGCCTGTATCCTGTCGACTTTCTGCAGGCTCCTTGTGCAACTGCCAATGTAGACTTTCTTCAGGCTCCTTGTGCAACTGTCAATGTAGACTTTCTTCAGGCTCCTTGTGCAACTGTCAATGTAGACTTTCTTCAGGCTCCTTGTGCAACTGTCAATGAAGACTTTCTTCAGGCTCCTTGTGCAACTGTCAATGTAGACTTTCTTCAGGCTCCTTGTGCAACTGTCAATGTAGACTGTTTGAAGCCTTCTTGTGTGTCTATCAATGTAGACAGTGTACAAACTCCATGTGTGACCGTCTACGTCCTTGTGTTACAGACTGTTGACCTGGAGGCCTTCTACCCTGGCACACTCCTGGAGACTGGACACGACATCTTGTTCTTCTGGGTGGCGAGGATGGTGATGTTTGGACAGACCCTTATGGGGAAACTGCCTTTCAAGGAGGTCAGTAAGACAATCTGTTTTTCAAGTCAGTTATTATTTAGTGTAATACTTCATTGAATGACAAAATATTTGCATGTACTGGGCAAAATGGCATGTCAGCAATATTTCAGTATATTTTACTTTCATATATAAGCTTACAAGCGAAAGAGAAATTCTACTGGACAAAGCACATCAATATTCATCGGGTTACCCAAATTGGTATCCCATTTGCATTTAACGATGCTCATGATGTCAATCACTGGATTGTCTGGTCCAGATTCAATTATTTACAGACTGCCGTCATATGGCTGGAATATGGCTGAGTGTGGCGTTAAACAAACAACAAACAAAACTGTGTATAGCTCTGTTTAGTACAGTGCGAGCCATCTGTGTGTATATCCATGGTATGTATGTGGTTGTAGGTTTACCTGCACGCCATGGTAAGAGATGCCCACGGCAGGAAGATGAGCAAGTCTCTGGGCAATGTTGTCGACCCCATTGATGTGATCCGAGGAATCAGTCTGGAGGTGAGTGTCTGGCCTGAACTCCATCTTCTTATTATCCAAATTCCGGGGTAGAATAGGTCTTCAGCAACCCATGCTTGCTGTAAAAGGTTACTATGCTTGTCTTAAAAGGCGACTAACCGGATCGGGTGGTCAGGCTCGCTGACTTGGTTGATGCATGTCATCGTATCCCAATTGCGTGGATTGATGCTCATGATATTAATCACTGGATTGTCTGGTCCAGACTCGATTATTTACAGACCGCTGTCATTTAGCTGGAATATTGCTGAGTGCGGCGTTAAACAACAAACCAACCAACCAAATCTTGCCTGTACTCCATCTTCTGTTATCAAAACCCTTGAGGATTCCGGGTAAGAAGATCGGTCCCCAGGAAGCAACGCTTGTTGTAAGAGGAGGTGAAATAGATCCATTAATTACACATCGTCATTATAGAGCTGGAATTTGCCCAGTGTCAAAACAACAAACAAAAAATTATCTAGTGTATTATGTATCCATGCTATTATAAGGCTTAAAAAAATGTTTTGTTTTTGCTTGCAAAAACTAGTATGTAACCAAATACCCAGCTGTGTACCATCAACCGGGGAACAGCCTCCCTACATAAACAAGCATACAAACTCCTATTGCTGCTATGACCATAACACGAGATGTGCAGTAAAGCAGTGTGCATGTAAAGGGAAGTAACTGCAGGCTATATGTTGGATATTTTTAGCCCAATATATAATCTGGCCCCATCTGTCATCAGAGCTTCATTCATAATGTGCCGTATTACCGGTATACCACGATTTGGAATATGTCACAATACATTTGGAAAATACCGGTATATTGCGTTTTTCAAGATCATGTCTATTTTCATTTTGTTGACAAAGTTTACATTAGTGACAAGTGGAATTGAAATTCAGAAATTAGAAATTGATTCCAGTGATAAAAAAAGTGAAACGAGTCACAACCAGTTACTGTATATATTGTGTTTGCTGCACATGCATTGTGACCATAGCAATGTCCACTGTGGTGGATGACTTCGAAGTTGTCAGAAATGTGATGGTTTGTCAGCACCATACCTTTGCCCTTTCACCAAAGTGGTAAACGTCCGAGACATGCATCACTTTGGGCTTCTTTTGCACACGCTGTGATATAACTGGAATACTGTTCGAAGCAGTGTCAAACCAAACTCACTCACTCACTCACTCACTAACCCACTCAGTCACTCACTAACCCACTCACTCACTCACTAACCCACACACTCACTCACTAACCCACTCACTAACCCACTCACTCACTCACTCACTCACTCACTCAAACACCAACCCACCCACCCACCCTCACTCATTCACTCACTTGTTCACTCACTTACCCAAACACCCACCCACCCTCACTCACTCACTCACTAATCCACTCACTCACTCACTCACTCACTCACTCACTCACTCACTCACTCACTCAAACACCAACCCACCCACCCACCCTCACTCATTCACTCACTTGTTCACTCACTTACCCAAACACCCACCCACCCTCACTCACTCACTCACTAATCCACTCACTCACTCACTCACTCACTCACTCACTCACTCACTCAAACACCCACCCACCCACCCTCACTCATTCACTCACTCGTTCACTCACTCGTTCACTCACTCACTCACCCAAACACCCACCCACCCACCCTCACTCACTCACTCACTCAACTGTATGTCATACTGATGGAGGTAGCAGGAATGTGGCTTTGAACAACAAACAAAGTCCTCAAAATAAATACATGTTTACCTGCAGGGTCTTCATGAGCGTCTGCTGGATGGAAATTTGGATGAAAAAGAAGTCAAGAAAGCCATTGAAGGACAGGTAATATTTCAACCCCAACAGTTGTTCAACTGATTAACTGATTCACACATTGCCATGTGGAGACACCTGATTGTGAGACTTTTAGCATAAGAAGAAAAGAACATGGAGGGTTGATCTGGGTTACAATGGGACCAATTCAGCTTGTGCTTGTTGTACGAGGCAGTTAAATGGATAGGTGGTGACAGGTCATGCTCGTTAACTTGGCTGATTTCATTGTGTTGTAATAGTATCTGGATTGCAAGGGATATTGCTCATAATATCAATCACTTTTTTATGATAAAGCATTTGGTTATTTACCAGCCATTGTCATGTAGCTGGAATGTTGCTGGAAAAGAAAGGAAAGAAATAATTAGAATGATGAGGTAGACTGCACCCTCTCTGTTGTGGTGTGCCTCCTGGTCTAGTAGTAGAACATCCACCCAGAGAGCTGAAGGTCTGGGGTTTGATCCCCGACCGTGTCATACCAAACACTCCTGGTCTAGTAGTAGAACATCCACCCAGAGAGCTGAAGGTCTGGGGTTTGATCCCCGACCGTGTCATACCAAACACTCCTGGTCTAGTAGTAGAACATCCACCCAGAGAGCTGAAGGTCTGGGGTTTGATCCCCGACTGTGTCATACCAAAACACTTTAAAAGATGGTACTTGTTGTTACCCTGTCTGGCGCTCAGAATTAAGGGTCTAAAACAAGGACTGGTCGTTTCAGAGTCAGTATTCTGTGTCTGAGTGGGGTATTCATGTTAAACTGTGGCATGGTATCTCAGTGGGCTAGCACTATAAAATCGGCATCAGTCCCGACTAGTACAAGCAGCCGTACAAATCACTGGATTGTCTGGTCCAGACTCAATTATTTACAGACCGCCTGTCATATAGCTGGAATATTGCTGAGTGCGGCGTAAAACAACAAACAAACAAACATACATGCATGCACGTCGCTATATAAGTGCAATAATCTTGGACGTGATGTTAAACCCCATTTCACCTTACCTCACCTCACCTCACCACCTCTCTGTTCTACTATGAGAAATTCAATAGAAATAAGGATAATTATATTTTTTCCTTGGACCCGCAGGATCTTGTCAAGACTAGATAGTGTCCTGCAACAAAAGTTCAAAGCCCCTAAAGGAAACAGTAATTACATGGGCTAAATGTGTGTGTTACAGAAAGCCGACTACCCCAATGGTATCCCTGAGTGTGGCACTGACGCCCTGCGGTTTGCTCTCATTGCCTACACATCTCAAGGTAAGCTGTCAGTTTGTGATGGGGGCACAACTGGCTATTACGAGTTATGTCCCTTCTATGTCCCTCCTATTTACCATTCAGATTCCATCTCTTTCATCACTTGCATTTGCTTCAAACAAAATGGCTGCGCCCAGTGAAGGCTACTTGATCAATAATCAAGATCTATATTGTAATAAAACGGGTCTTACTTTGCAAAGGGCTTCAAATCGCATGAGCACCTTGATTAAAAACATGAAAAGATTTGCAAAATATCTTTTGACGCTCAGTTGACGGTACGCATGTTTTGCAAATCATGATACATAGACTCGTTAGTCCAGCCATAACATAACTTCATAATTCCAGGCTAGTTCGGCAATGGTTGAAACTGGACTTTTAGAGTCAGTTACCTCACTTGCCTCGGGAAGATGCTCGTTGGTTTCACCAAAGTAGTAAACGTCTAAGACCTTCATCACTTTGGGCTTTTCTCCAGCATCAAGCTGACCAAGAGTTCAACTCTATTATGTTGTCGGTTATGTTATACATCCTGAGGGGTCACGGAGGACCCACTTGTCATGGATTCGAATCCCAGTTCGCCCCGATTATGTTTCTAGGTTTGTCAGCACCGTACCTGTGCTCGTGGGTTTCACCGAAGTGGTAAACGTCTGAGACCTGCATCACTTCGGGCTTTTCTCCCCATTAAGCTGACACGCCGTGATGTAACTGACATACTGTTCAAAGCGGTTTTAAACCGAACTTACGCACTCACTCACTCACTCACTAGTTCATCACGATCACCCAAAAGGGTGGACTATCAAGGGTATATTTGTGTTCTGTGTGGTTATTCATGCAGAGGGTCATCTGATTTTAATTAAATTGGGAAACATCGACTATTTATTTTTTGTTGTGATTGGCTGCAGGTCGTGACATCAATTTGGATGTGCTTCGTGTCCAGGGCTACAGGTTCTTCTGCAACAAACTCTGGAACGCCACCAAGTTCGCCCTGAATGGGTTGGGAGAAAACTACAAGCCCACAGTACAGCATCAGGTAACCAGCCCTCAGCTCGGGGTATGGGCACAGGTGGCCACTTGTATACAGCGCCTCAAGTTGGTGTCCAGAGTTTCATCCTTCAGACATGCCACAATCCTATCATCATGGGTTTGAATCCCCGAGTTATGTTTCTTGGTTTGTGTGCGCCATACCTGTGCTGATGGGTTTCACCAAAGTGGTAAACGTCTAAGACTTTCATCACTTCAGGCTTTCCTCCCACATTAAGCAGAAACTCTGTGATAACTGAAATACCTTTCAAAGTGGCGCTAAACCAAACTCACTCACTCATTCATTCACTCAGTGAGTGAGTGAGTGAGTTATGTTTAGCACCACTTTTACCGTGTTCCAGTTATATCACAGCGTCTCAGCGTAATGTGGGAGGAAAGCCTGAAGTGATACAGGTCTCAGACGTTTACCCCTTCGATGAAACCCACGAGCACGGGTATGGTGCTGACAAACCTAGAAACTTAATCGGGATTCGAACCCACACTCATAGGTTTCTGGCGTACCCAAGGGATGCAACTCTGCACAGTGAATTGCGGCGCCTCCACGACTGGGCCACCCGTGCCCCCAACTCATATGTAAATATGTGGACAAAGTATTCCTTATGTTTGGTATACTTGACTTCCACAAATATTAACTGACTCCCTAGAAAAGGCTACATCATCCTGATTTTCTCTTGTAGTTGAGTGGCAAGGAGAGGGAAATGGACTTGTGGATACTGAGTCGGCTGTCCCTCGCTGTGGAGTCGTGCACGAGTGGCTTCCAGGCATACGACTTCCCTGCCGCCACCACAGCCTGCTACAACTTCTGGTTGTACGAATTGTGTGACTGGTACCTGGTGAGTCGGGGTCTAGCTTTGAGAAGTAAACTTGAGACTGTGTACAATGGAGTGTCAGGATACACTTGCCTAAGATAGTGATAGAGACAAGCGCTTGCAGTCAAAGGGAGATAACTCAAGATACCAGAAGTGATAACAAATGTAAACGCTGTCAGTGTGGGGAAGTTCTAATAAATAAAGTAACTGGTAAATAATGGTCAGTGATTGAATGTCTGGTACTTGTTGCTAGGATATCTGGTTTGGTTGTGAGGAGGTAACAGAGATGGTAGAAACGCCACTTTGAGTCTGGATTTGAATAAGCATGTCATGTTGTAACGAGCTGTGTTACGATCTTACAAAAGACACACATGGGGCTGCTTTTGCCTCAACTTCTCCATGTTCTATGTAAAACCATCATAAAAAGTCGACAGAGTTATGACCTTTTTTTATGTGTTCTGAACATGGTACACAGTACAACTAATTTCTCGGGAATCATGATGACATTTTTAATGGTTTATATGACAGTATGTTTTTGGTTTGTCAGCACCATACCCATGTTCGTGGGTTTCACAAAAGTGGTAAACGTCTAAGACCTGATATGATTGTAATACTGTTCAAAGCGGTGATAAAACCAACTCACTCACCTTTCTACACTCACTCACTCACACTCTCTATCTCACCTGTTTCAGGAGTACATGAAGCCGATCCTGTACGGTTCCGATGAGGATGCCAAGGCTGTGTGCCGCCATGTTCTGTACACGTGTCTGGACGTAGGGCTGCGACTTCTTCACCCGTTCATGCCTTTCTTGACAGAAGAGTTGTTCCAGCGGTTACCTAGGCGACAAGAGAACTCCCCGCCAAGTATTAGTGTCACAGCCTATCCACTACCAGCTGATGTGAGACATACTTTATATACTGTTTGTCGTGTGGAATGTGTTTCATGAACTAGACCCCCTCAGGATTATGGGTTAGAATGTTCCCCAGCAACCACTGCTGCAGAACCTCTTGGAGAGGGGAACCACATGACATGGGCCAGGCTCTGTGACTTGGTTGATTGAGTGTCATCGTGCCCTGATAGCATTAGACATTCACCTTAATCATGATAATAACTTGATTATTTAGAATAAAGCTGGAATATTGCTGAGTACAGCATGACACAATAAACAAACAAAATGTACTGGTATGTTATGTGCATGGGTTGAGCTAGATGATGAAGTTGGATGTACAGTAAACTGCGTTTATAATGAACACCCTAATAACGAACTTGCGGATATAAGAAACTGTTTTTTGTCCCGGACATTTGCTGTGTATATGTTGTATATATACTTGTAACGAACAAAAGTTAAAACGAACTAAATTTAGTGATCCCTTTGAGTTCGTTATAACCGTTGTTTACTGTATTGTTATAGGCCATGGACATTTGCAATGCGTTGTTCAAGAAGTTATTTCTCCCATAGTGTTTATACCCGTGTAGATCCAGGGTTGAATAGGTCTTCAGTAACCCATTATTGCCGTAAAAGGCGACTAACTGGATCTGGTGGTCAGACTCGCTGACTTGGTTGAAGCGTGTCATCAATCCTAATTGCTCGGATCGATGCTCATGATATCAATCTCTGGATTTCTGGTCCAGACTCAATTATTTATAGACCGCCATCAAACAGCTTGAATATTGCTGAGTGGAGCATAAAACAACAAACCAACCCATAGTGTTTAAAAACAAATATCTTGTCAAAAACATAATTGAAAAAAATGAGACCGTGCTAATGGCTACCTTTCTGTTACAGATGCAGCATCGAGACATGGACCGGGAATCTCGTGTTGAGTTTGCCCAGAGTATAGTGAAAAGCATCCGCTCCATGCGGGCCGACTACAACCTCACCCCCAAGACAACAGCTGATGGTAGGGCGTAGGATTTTGTTTGTGGACTCTTATGAACATTAAACTACAACACAGGTCCCCGTTTCACAATGCCATCTTAGTGGTACGACTGTCATATGTCTATGTTAAAGTATGGGAGTTACGAGTGTTTTAGCAGTATGACTGTCGTATGTCTATATTTGAATAGGTTTTCAACAACCCATGCTTGCTGTGAGAGGCGAGTATGCTTGTAACATGCGACTAACAGGATGCATTTCATTGTATCCCATTTGTATAGATCAATCACTGGATTGTCTGGTCCAGACTTGATTATTTACAAGCCACTGTCAGATAGCTGAAAAATTGCTGAGTGCCGTGTTAAACAACAAACAAACACATTGCTATTCCTGACAGTACAGATCTTACGAACTTTAATAAACAATTGAACTGGGGTCCTCATGGTCTAATCCTCAATGTCTTTATGTCTGACACAAGCTCGTCTCTGCTTCTTCCAGTGTATGTGAAGTGTACAGATGACGACACAGCCAGCAAGGTGAAGTTGTTCACAGACATCATCCAGACACTGACCAACTCCAGTGCCGTCCACGTCCTGGTGTCCGACTCCGCGCCTGAGGGATGCGCCATGCTGACTGTGTCGGCCAAGTGTGAGGTGCACCTCATGCTCAAGGTGAGAAGGAAACAGATGTGCAAGGACTCTTCCCATCAGCAACTGCAGACTATTCCTGATAGTCTGTGTGCTTCATCATAGGTTTTATCAGTAAATGTCTTACTGGCACGATCATGTTATAAAAAAATCTAAGATTCGAAAATCAATGTTGCGCCTGTACAGGTTTTTGTGCAGACTTGAAAACTGGATTCAGATGCTGCATTGAAATGGTCTTGAATTCAGATGCACTAAAAAAGGCCTTGAATTCAGATGCTGCATTGAAAAAGGCCCTGAATTCAGATGCATTGAAATGGTCTTGAATTCATATGCTGCATTGAAATGTTCTTGAATTCAGATGCTGCTTTGAAAAAGGCCTTGAATTCAGATGCATTGAAATGGTCTTGCAGTCATATGCTGCACTGAAAAAGATCTTGAATTCAGATGCTGCTTTGAAAAAGGCCTTGAATTCATCTGCTGCATTGAAATGGTGTTGAATTCAGATGCTGCTTTGAAAAAGGCCTTGAATTCAGATGCATTGAAATGGTCTTGCATTCATATGCTGCATTGAAAAGGCCTTGAATTCATATGCTGCTTTGAAAAAGGCCTTGAATTCATATGCTGCTCTAAAAAGGCCTTGAATTCATCTGCTGCATTGAAATGGTGTTGAATTCATCTGCTGCACTAAAAAGGCCTTGAATTCATCTGCTGCATTGAACATTGTTGAAATGGTGTTGAATTCATCTGCTGCATTAAAATGGTGTTGAATTCATCTGCTGCATTGAAATGGTGTTGAATTCATCTGCTGCATTGAAAAAGGCCTTGAATTCAGATGCATTAAAATGGTGTTGAATTCAGATTCTGACTCACTGCAATATGTCAGACAGATGATGACACAACAGCATTGACTGTTCAGCTAGAGGTCTGCATGTTTAGGTGTCCATAGTATAGTTTGAATGTTGCTGAGAGCAGCATTGAAAACATTCAGTCAGTATTATGGCTGTTTATTTCAGGGTTTGATTGATGTGGAGAAGGAGACGAAGAAGCTGGAAGGGAAGAAGGAGACACTGGGCAAGTCGCTGAAGAAGCTGGAAGACGCCACAGCCAAACCTGACTACAGTGACAAGGTGCCGCAGGACGTCAGGAACCAGAATACAGAAAAGGTACAAATGCGCATCAAAATGTCCAAAACCCAGTGGTGTAACAACGCTTCAGTTTGATCGTTATGGACTGCTTCTGTGGTCTGGTAGTAGAGTGTCTGCCTGGAAAGCATGGTACTTGTTGTTAACCTGTCTGGGGCTAAAACAAGGAGTGGCTGGCTTAGATTCGGTTTTCATGTTTAACTGCGGCATGGTATCTCAGTGGGCTAGCACTATAAAATCGACATTAATCTGGACTAGTACAAGCACGCACACATGCACACCTGCCTGCATGCACACCCGCCTGCATGCACACACATCCGCACACACCCATGCCCACAAACACACAGAGATCTTTACTTGCTGAACGAATACAAGCATCACAGTAACATTAAATCTGCTCTAGTGAAAAATGCACAAATTGCCATATATAACATTTTAAGAGTGGGTTATTATTGGTTTATGAATACCCAAAAGAGTCGAACCAAGGGGGTGAAAATATATTGAATACCCCAAAACAAGTATGTGAATGATAACATGGCTGAGAAAAGTACCTGGAGCCCTCAAGGTCAGCTTTGCTTATGTTCAGGGGCAGGAGATTCTTTTTCACCCTGGGTGGTTTTAGTTACTACAGAAGCATATGACGTCATACATGTATCAAGACATCCACATATCATGACATCCACCTATCATGACATCATCCGTGGGATAATGACGTCTTATCATTCCACCGTGAAGGCATGTCATTTCAGAATGACATCACGTGCAACTCACAGCTATGAGATAATGCTACAGAATTGAAGTTCACCGATAACTTATATATTTTACAATGCCAATAAGTAGGGCTGGGAAGGGTAACTCGGGTCGGGTCGTGAGTAAGACCCGGGCACCCACAGGACTACCCGGACCCGTGGTTAGTCATGTGTTATATTGTTTAATGACAAAAACTCACTATAGATTAGTGGTTACACTACAAGTTGCTAATGTTCGCATTTCTTTCTGACGATGCACACATTCCTTTTGACTTGTATGTTTGGGTAAAGATAAAGCTTCAGTCAACTTCAGTGTACGCATGATCTGATGGTTTGATACATGTATCGAAATAATTTTGGCCAGGCCAAAAATTCCCAATCAGACAGTTTGTTCCCAACTTTGGAGATCTGCACTGGGTACCCGGGTAGGGTTGGGTAATAGGGTGTCGGGTACCCGTGTAGTAAATTTGGACTCGTCCCAGCCCTACCAATAAACATGTTTTTTGTGTATTTGCATGTTTTTGAGTTTTCAATGAAACCTGCAAATCTGAAAACCCATAATGTTTATCTCCTAATTGTCCTGTACAGAAAGTTGTGTTCTTTTCTTTTCAGGTGTCGCAGTTGAAACAAGAAATAGAAAAGTTATCACAAGCCTTATCCACGCTACTAACATTCCAGTGATTCCTGCTCTGTGTAATTTATTCACTCTGAACACTTTCAAGACACATTTTGGAGTGGAGATTCATGTGATAAAAGATGTGCTGTGATGTTCTCACACACAACAGATTGATCTGGCAACAGCTGAAAGTGCCCCGGGACTGTATAGTCTTCGAACACTAAACTATGTGGTCTGGACACCCTGACCTCTCCTGTGCTGAAGTTCCTGGGTTTCAAGATTCATCTTTCAGATGCTCAACAAATTCCATGGGAATGGTCATGTAGCACCAGGGTCTGGTTGATGTGCAGGTTCTCCATGGAAATATTTGTCCATGTTTAAAAAAGTCTGAACCATGTATTTTCCGCACTAATAATTATTTTTGTTTTTTGATTATTTTTGTGTTGGTTTAATGAAACAAGCATTTGTTTTTGAAGTTTCAATGTGTTTTGGAAATCGAAAAAAAGTGTGCAAAAAATTGTACATAGAAATGAAATTATTAGAGATTTGCAGACATGCTATCCGAATATTAGATGGCTATATGAATAGATAGAGTATGATCCATGTGCAAGGTATAATGACTAGGCTCACTAGGCCGTGGATAGTTTGGCAGGTCTGTATGTAGTATGTACATGTGACGTCTGCCAGAAGTTAGTCTTATTTTGTTAGTGGACAGACTGGCAATGACAAAATGTGCACATTTTTCATCAACAATGTTAACCATTCAGCGGTCAGAATGCTTCTAGAAATTTTCTCAGAGCCTATTTCCAGGATCCTTCAAGACCGTTGCCCAGTCTCTCATTCCACTCAGCCAACAGAGGGGGTGAGAGTGAAGGCCTATGCATTAGCTCCTTAGATAATCATGGATCGGGTCCACAAGAAACATTTCATTTCTCAACACCAAAAGCACCTTATTCACCCATTTTTTTCATTTTTATTTATTTTTGTTTATTTTCCACAAGTTTTCAGTAACCACCTATGTTTTTTCTGAACGTATTTGGATTTGTAAAACAATTTGGAGTAGGATGTTGTCAGTGTCTTATCCCTATCCATGTCTATCAGCATTGTAAGGCAAGGCCACTAAACAGTAAGTGGAGCCAATAGCTTCTCGCAGACCAGAAACATCACTGAACTAGGGACATCCCTTAGGAACTATGGACATCCCTTAGGAACTGGGGACATCCCTTAGGAACTGGGGACATCCCTTAAGAACTATGGACATCCTTAAAGACAGGGCTTCTCTGCGCCAAGTAAAAGTTTCATGAAAGAACTGGTCCAGCATGATTTGTGATAGGTTGACAATTGCCAAAATATATTTTCAAAATTTCAAAGATTTTCGCTAAATGTTCTTTATTCAAGAGTCTTGACATGCTAGAAGCAAGAACTAAAGCTTGTAGGATCTTCACCACTCCCCTGTGTGTACTGCAGGGATGTCAACACCGGCTACTGTCATTATCATGGTCACATCATTTACTCTTCGAAGTGCAGGAATTGATTGCTATTTATTTCCTTTTCAAATTTTTAATTAATATAAGATAATCACTAAAAGATAAATAGGTGTTTGTTTGTATCTTTAAACATCAGTCTTTGAAGTATCAATATGATAAGGTGTGGTTCATTGGAGGACTATGAAGCTGTTATCTGAAATCCATACCTGGTGACGTGGCTGTCACATTGGTAAAGGCAGACCAATACCATACCCATGTTTAACTGCCTCACTCACGATACTTCATCTATGTGACAGCATTCTGTAATTAATGAAGTCTGGACCAGACAAACCAGTGATTAATATCATGAACAATGTCCCAAGTCGTCAGTCGTCATTAAACAAAGTCAATGAACCTGACCCTATCAATTTTGTCTCCTCTCACAAGTAATGGTTGCTTGGGACATATTCCAAACCAGAATGCCCACTGGACAGTTGCTATACAAACCTTTCAGATTAAAACTTGACATGCTTCAATGCATCATCATCCTCTTGGCATCCTTTGTGCTCAACTCAAAGATTCTATGTTTTGCTGTTCAACTGAAGGTCCAAACAGCAAGAAAATCATGTTTTTGATTGTTAAAAATGTTTCAGCTTCATTTAGATAACAGAACTAAATATCCAATCTGTCTGTGTTTATGCTCAGGTTACGATTATCAACACAAGTATGCTTGAAACTGTAATAAATGAACAGATAAATACGCCTTTTGTGTTTGTGATTGTGATTGTGATCGTGTTGTACATTAATTAAGTCTGTAAGTAGTAGACTGGGTTTGACAAACCAGTGGTGAGACATCAGGCAACACCCACACTGTCGGGGTACAATGACACAAGATAATCCCCACAGCTTCTGTGACCTCTTTGTTTTAGAGATGTGATCCCAGTGAAGATCCGAGTTAGAATAGGTCTTCAGCAACCCATCTTGCTGTAAAAAGCAACTTTGCTTGTTGTTAGAACATTATGGTTCAGACTTTAAAAAAAAAGGAAATTGTGCCTGCCACAAAATTTACACTGTTGCAAGGTGTTTTTCTTAAAGAAAGCAGGTGGCCGGGTAGCCTGAGAGGTTAAAGCGTTCGCTTGTTGAGCTGAAGACCCGGGTTCAATTCTCAACATGGGTACAATGTGTGAAGCCCATTTCTGGTGTCCCCCGCCGTGATATTGCAGGAATATTGCTAGAAGCGGCGTAAAACCATACTCTCTCACTCTTAAAGAAAGCCTTGCGTCCTGACACTGTACCTCTCACACATCCCAGAGCATCGGGATCAAGAACGAGGGTATGCCCCACCAAATTCAGGTGAAAGTATGGCTGTTAATCCAGGTGTCGGTTACGTCAAGGCCAAACACGAACGACCAGCAAATTGCTGTGAAATGACAATCTTAAATTAACCTTGGACAGTAGTGTTAAACCAAAAATAAGAAAGTCATAGCCATGAATCGTGAATCATGTAGAATTCATTTATTTCCACTTGAACTGCTTGTAACAGCAACATTCGGGAACGTCTCTATTCCTTTCAGGTCCAAGACCTTATTTAATTTACACAGATTAAAACAAGACCATTATTTTATTTTATTTTTCTGAATCACAGATTTATCTTCCAGAGGTGAAGGGGGCATCACACAAGCCTCCCTTTGATTTTTATCTCAATAAGTGTGCAAAGTGTCAGCTTTCCATGGAAGACTAATAGCATTAATTTCTCCAAAGTATCACAATTCGAATCAAACTATTGAGCCTTACACATGTATTTGTGATGTTGATGACTTTTATAAAATGCTGACAAATCATTCATTATTCATTTAGCATATCACTGGAAAGAAAAATAATTGTATTTTTTTATTATTTACCTGTGATCCATCAAATAAAATAATAATAATAATAATAGCCTTCATCACAAATATAAGACAATCTCTGTACAATTTCCATGTTGTTTCAATATCAGGCTCAACACAAAAAATAAATCTGTGTTTACATATTCTAATTAGCTGAAAACAATATCACAAAATCAAAACACCATATTATCTGGAATAAACTCAGAAAAAAATGTAACAAGCAAATTATAGAAAAATCATTTCTAAAAATCACCATAAACCAAAGAATCGGAATACTTCATTCAAATGTAGACACCGTAACAAATACGAGAAAATCACAGCTGGGTTTATAGACATGTATTCAAGCTCTACATGGCGAATATCTTACATATCAATGGAGGGGATGCTATTGCTTAATTAGGGTACAAATATCTGGTGAAACACATTTGAAATGCCATTGCTGTTAATATAACACCATTTTTCTCTCCTTCGTTCTTGTTTGCATGAACATTAAACGTCATCAACTACGTGTCTGGAACTGAATGGGCCATGTATTTTGCTAGGGCGGATGCAACATTTTTAAAAGGGAGGGGTCCAAAATATCAAAATCCTCTCTCGGTCAATTTTACCGTCTAAAACACATTTGGTTTTCAAAAGGGGGGTGGGTGATGGGGGGCAGACCCGCTGGACCCTGCCTCTGGATCTGCCTATTAGGTATTATGTGTTTTTCTAATCTTAATTACGGTCCAAACTTTAAAAAATAAATATTGGTCCATTCACCTGTAAGTATATATCATCATATCCTAGGACAAAAGTCCTGTTCCATAAAACACTCTGTATTTATATTGTAAGGATATATGAAGAACTCTCCCCACTGATTGTTTTATGGTCTTTTATCCTCCATGTTCTCCATCTTTAATCCTCAAACACATCAACCACATGCCCCTCATGTCAGTCTTCAGTATTCTCAACCAATGGCTCCCTCGGAAGCTGAGCATGGAGGAGGAACATGCAGTAACATTGTTGGACTTCTGTAGAATTATCCATAGTAGAGACCAAGAGAGCAACAGAAACTGTAATGCCAATAAGGTTTTGCTCATCTTCCCAAGGCAAGGGAGTTAACTGACTATAAAAGTCCAGTTTCCACCCTTGCAGAACTGGGCTGGTATTCCAGGGTTACATTTTGGCTGGACTAACGAGTCTATGCACAGTCCAATCAAAATCATGTTATGAACTACACATCTGCTTCATAAACAACATGGATTTCAACGAGCTAATCTTTTCATGTTTTTAATCAAGGTGCTCAAGTGATTTGATGCACATTGTGAGGTAAGACCCGTTTATAGATCTTGATTATTGATCAGATTGTCATGCCATGGGGCGTTGCCATTTTGTTTAAAGCGATATGAGAGATGGAATTTGATTGGTCAATAGGAGGGACATAGAAGGGACATAACTCATAATAGCCACTGGTGGCGCTAAGACCGAGCCTGGAAATATCAGCCTAGTTAGTTCAGCAAAATATGAAAACTGGACTTTGGGTATTGCTGGGGCTCCATTGTTTTAACTATACACCAAGGAAATACAGTCACTGTAGTTGATTAAAATTACAATTATTTATTTTATATATTAAAAGACAAATCAATTTTAAATTCTTCCACAGTTCTGCGCTGTGAAAATACAAAGTTGTCGATCCCCCCTACAGGTCTACAGAGTCTCAGCACCAGAATGACTTTGTTGAACAGAGTGATTGTAAACATTATTTGTAGAGCTGGTTACAACTACGAGACAAACAATACACTGGTAATCTGAGATTAGCCAGTTATTCCTTCCATTGATCTCTGCGAGATCTGTCATGTGGGACCAACTCCAATTTCTACCCTTTCACTGCATAAATGCAAGTCTGTATATTGAGCAAAAGGACGTCCAAGCAACACATGCTTGTCGTTATCATGAGACTAATAATAAACATTGTACATAAACGTCTTGTTCAGGTTAGTGAGAAAATACCATGTACTATAGACATATATAGGATGATAATTATGGATAGCATCGTGCATTTTCAATGCTGAATATATGATTCTTATAAGGCCACAATAAAATAATTATTAGATTTTTGTAATTGTCTTTGGCAGTGAATGATTGAAGTGCTAGTCAAATGTCAAGTGCTGTCAATGGAAGCAAGAGTAATTCAGAGTTATCTGCCCTTGTGTAAACATGAACATCACAGTCGTGTTCGTTTGAGAAGTTTTGGGATGGGATTGACAGTTTCAAAAGACTTAGGTTAAACCTTTATAAGACTAACAAGAAGGATTCAAAGCCTTTCTACCTTTTATGTACTTGCCAAGTGCAGATACCAGTTTGAGAACACAGAATTCTTGACAGCTTCTAACACAGAGACAGGCCTGTTTCAAGACGTTTGACCATGACAATATTACTAGAAATAGATTTACAAGTCTCCACTTCTATGTGACAGTCGTCCTACCAAATATTCATGCTTCATGCCGATAACATCTGTCGACAGTTATTGTGCTCAGATGCCATTAACATGAACCAAACAATTTAAGATAAATAATATAGTTCCCTAAGCCTCACATCTAAAAAGAATTGGATGAAAACCTAAAATTAATTTATTGTGGCCTAAATTTACAACATCAAAATAATACAAATATAGTCCATGGTTATTAAAAAAATGAAAATGATCTGATGTTACAACAGTTAGACTGTTTTCTCAAGATATTTCCAATTTTTGTTATTGTAATATGTATTTCAGCACTCAAAGTACCCAATGTAAGCTGCAGATCACAAATATGTTGCTGGACAACTGTTAAGGAAGTTTTTAACAGTTATGTTGTAGACATTCTACAATGTTTGTCACTGTGTTCTGTAAACAAACTAAGGCAACTGGCATTTCACATACCATGAACCCTTGTTAATGTGGACTGTGTCGGTCCAAGTAGAATCATCTGGATTAACAAATATCTGAATAAACAAATCATGGATGCGGAGGTATTGTGTCTTTGTCAGGAAGGTAAGGTTTCTGGAATAACAGGTTCCGCACTAATGAGATTTCGCAGTACTCCAGTGGCCAGTTGGACCACCGTGATCTGAACATCACTGGTCCTGATCCCTATTTACATGTCATGGTCTCCTGGGCCAGTGTATTTGTGGAGTCCTAACATCCAGACTGAGAACTCTGTTACTTCGCATGGTCAGCATCAGTACAGCTCTATCAGTGTAAGGCAAACCACACCCACCACACTCCACCCCACACCCTAACTTAAAGAATTAAGAATTTCTTTTTAAATATCAAACCGTAACTCCTCCCTAAACCGACATATAAAATGGTCACCACTGAAACTGTTCCACTGATGCGGTCCTGAGAAGAAACACATTTGACTTCTAGACTTCCTTAGAATAGACGTAAGATATTATGTGCATAGAATACAAATTAGTTTTATGTAGCTCCACTACGACATGAACATTGGAGGATCACTGACTGTGAGAGTTAAAGCATTGATTACACTGTGGATTTACATGATTCAAGCATACACACAACACAATGTATTGAATTATTGCCATTAGGGCAGAGTATGTATCTAAAATAGCTACACCTTATACTAAAAATATCATTTACATAAAATATTTTAAGCATATTTATACATATGTCGCATACAATATATATTATTCAATAAAATGTAACATAGAATATATATTTTAATATAGTATATAAACTTGTATATGCTTGTTATAAGTTCAGACTTATTGACATGAACACTTCAAACTCTGACTCTCGCTGTCTTCAAACCAGACTAGACAATGCCACTCCACAAGACTCCATCAGTGCCACTCTTTAAGGCCGAGGGCTCTGTCAGTACCGCTCCATAAGGCCGAG